CTGTTTTTTTATTGATTCTGTTTATATTTGGTTAGGTTTGTTAAAATTCCCGTTTTCGCTTTTGTTTTTCTGAAAACAATAATAATGTAACATAACTTATCCTGAATAATGTAATAAAATAACGAACATGTTTCAGAATATTATTGATATTCCAATATGCGTAACGTACTACATCTCATATCAAAGTGTATTGCGCGAAAATATTACAACAAGCAAACAATCGACAAAACATCGCCCCGAACAACAATACCTAAATTAGATACAATACAATAGAAATAAAATTAGTAGCACCTGGGCGGTGTATCATAACATATACCGTCGTTTATTATAGGACATCTTAATTCAGATTTCAAAACATAATTTGAGAAATGTATATAGTCTCATATTTCATAACTTTACTGTCAAACAATAGTTAAATATAGATTTCAACTACAGTCTAGCATAAGCGTGCAGAAATTAAGATTATTGCGTAGTGTTTACGTCTAGTCGTCAAGATAACAATCATGTAGTATTATATAAGGTTGGCCTGATATTACAAATATACATACAAAATTCGAATGAATTTATTTCCGAAACGACGAATAGGGATTATTTTAAAGACACACATCGACATACGCCCCTTCGACGTCCACCCAAAACTTGCTTCTTGGAACAGTAATTTCTTTGAAATTGATCAACTTTAATTAAAATTTGTTTTATATTGAGTAGTGGTTTGCCTATAAAACGATAGTTTTCTCACATTCAAATTTGTACAATTTAAAATAAAAGTCGCTATGCCGGCAACGGTTAAACGCGAAAATCATTACCCCGGAGTCAAAGATTGGGTAGATAATACTCAACCGAAAAGAGTACCGGTCCTCCCAAAAGTACTGACTGCTTGTATAAAGCCTTAATGAATAGTGAATATGTGAAAACGGCTTAAAAAAAAACTGAAAAACCCTACTTAAACTAAAACCAAACGATATTGGATATTTACTAGTCCAAATACGTCTACTTTTTACGCAATGTATTTCATACGTCTTTTTATCCGAGCAAGGCCCCGTGAAAGCCTCCGCCATTCGGTAAGGAGTAACTTTACTTCGTGAGAATAGGATCTTCCCCGTTCAGCTTACCGACTTTATAACAATCTGTGCTAGGTGGTGGGTAGGGATCCGAACTCCAGATTTTAACCTGCGAAGCCACCATAGGCATAACGTCACTCGGCCCACTACTACTTTCCTTTGTCCAGTACTGACCAACGCTAAAACTATCTCATAAAGAGATTGGATGTTTACAACTCGTTTACCGTTGTCCAGGTGAATCGCATTCTTTAACTTTTAAGCGCAAAAAAAAATCGAATCAGATCAAAGTATGCCCGCCTTGCTTATTTAGTCGAAATTCGATCTCTCGTAGGCTAAGTACTCTAATAAAAAACAATTCGATTGTCCAGCGAGATTACGTCTTATGAAAGAAATAATATTGAAAACGATTATTACTATTGGACTTTTAATCCGGAATTGGGGGCTAATAATGATATAACATGGTTAAAAAAACACGGTCTCACTCTAGAGTTTAAGAGCATGCGACATATTTCGAGCGATTGGAAGTTCAAAAACAACAATGGTATTAGAGTTTTATATTGTTAAAATAGTATGAACATAGAGAACTATACAATATACTGAGTTAAATTCACGAAAGCTTAGTCCCAACATTAGGCGAATTGAATTTTATATTTGTGTTATGTTATAGGTAAAATCGATAGCCTTTATTCGATGAGACTACAGTTATATATGGTGGATATATGGACCATATATACATTCTACAAAAATATATTTTACTAATTATATGAGTGAGTCCGCGTGACAATGCTTTGCACAAATTCTGTAGAAAACAACCCGATATAATGAAAAAAAAACTCTTCATATTGCTTATTGTCTGTTTTGACTAAAAGTTGAACAAACTTTAAATATTTTTTAATAGAGAAACGGGTGCATAAAGTAATCATTCCTAATGAATAACTACAGTAAAAAAAGATTTTCTTCGCCGTCCGAACTCAATAATTCGAACAATCATAGCAAGCCTTGTATGTTCATCCTCAACAAGACTTTAATTTGTACGTCAGTTTCAAGTTCGTCGACTAACTATTACTAAATCGCTGTTATCTGCCAGCCTCCGTAGTTGTTTTCTTATAAACACAGCCAACAAAAGCATTTAACTTCAAGTAAAACATTCAACAACGCCCTAAAGTTCGCTCAAGGTTAAACCAAGACGTCACACAGGCATTACAGAGTTTTTATTTTGTACAAATTCAATTTAATCCGGCTGTCGAGAAACCTACCTAATGGGCATTTCAAGTCAGCGGGAGAGATCCGCTGATAAGTTAGCATCAGTTGTTATATATTTCCAGTGCGGATGAGAGGTATGTTATGTAGGGCAAGCGGTATATTTAAACATAATCAAGCATGATACAGCTTTGATCGTACAAAAATGCTTGGAAAAGTTGAATTATGTATGAACAATACTTATTCAAATCTAAAAAGTTAAAACAAAAATGTATTTCAAAATATAACTCAAGTGACATAAAAAAAACTAAAATCGTAGGATAATGATGAATGTGGACCAAGCAAAAAGCAATTCCAAACATCGGCCATGTTTGATCCTGTCTAGTTACCTCAAACTTTCCCTAAATAGAAATAGACAGTACTTGACCCAATATGGTATGAATTCCTAACGTGTTTCATTCACTAAACAAACAAGCTATCATACTTAATATTAAATGACGTTCTCAATTCGGTCACCAGTAATATTAATTGGGCAATGCTTTGGACTTTACAGAAACAGCTTATATTTCAGTGCTTGCATAGAGTCTCCTCATATCGATTCAATATGTGCTCACTACAGGAGAAAATTTTTTCATGCAGCGTTTTTAAATCTTCACTCCAAACAAGGCCTTGTACAAGCATCCACTGGTAGGTAAGATCAACTATTTTTGAAATGACCAAGTTTCCAATTTAGTATTCGATGCCAATTTATTACTCTTTGTCAAGTGATGACCATAATTTGAACCTGACTTTCTTGACACGCGACGTCAACATAGTTAAGTGTAACGACTATCGAGTAGGATTGAAGCAAAAATTATAGCAACTTTGCTAATAATTTGATTACTCTCAGAAATTTTAAGAATTTGACACAAAACAAATTTTTCAAACATTATGACGAGAGTCATGAATAAATACCAGCACTCAAATCGAAAATATTGGTGAGAGTATCAGTAAACAATATGTCATCTTAGAAAAATGCAGTATACTTGAAATAAACTAACCAACTTCAAACAAGGAAATATAAATTTATGAAGAGTTGCCCCTTGTTTTCTTCCAATCTAGACTGGTAAAATGAATTTTCGAACCAAAAGTTTTTTTCAAGAGCTTCAGTTATGGGGAGAGCACTACCTAATAACTGTTTCCTGGTCGCATCAGATTTGAATTCATCTTCATACAGTGATTGCCCAAACCATTGCCTCAAAATGAGTCTCCTTTTCTCCTGAGTGACTTTGCACATGCAAAATCACTTTAAAAAATCGCATTGAAACTATTTTGATTTTGAGTATTATGCACGAAATTCATATTTTGTAGTGTCATTTACATAATCCATGTCATGCCGTGTGTAAAAGGGTTAATTTCACAAAAAAAATTATTATTTTCGATCCTATGCCTTTTACTAACTATAGCTCGGTAAACTAAATTTAATAGATTTCGATTCCTAAACATCAATCCATACTTTAAAATCGAGCGCTGCAGATAATAAATCAAAAAAACAAACAGATTTTCTCCTCTTAAAATTTGATTGACACACGACTAATAATTGCGAAACAATACCACAAGTACATTACTAATGAGCTGGTAAAAAATTTTAAGAGTGTCTTTTCTTCTGATGGCTCTTGAAGCTTTGGACCATTTTTTTCTATATTTTATGCTAACCGACGGCCCTCGAGAGTATCAAGTGGCCAATTCAGTGCGCCCTTTACATAGGTATGTGACAGAAAGAGGCGCGGTTTCAATGACTATTAGTTGAGATAATCTGAGTCAATTAACAATGGACCTGTCAGGTGCGGAATGAGAAAAGAAAAACATGGAATTGAGCCAATTGAGTTTAAAGGAAATTATTTAATCGGTTCTCAATCAATTTTACAGTTCTAAAAATCAAATTAACGCATGTAGCAGTGGTTCTCAAACTTCATCAGCAATGCCCCCTTTTTAGTATTTATTAAGTCTTGCAACCTACCCCAAAAATAATTAGGTAACAATAAGGTACAAATACAGATACTCAGATAGAAAAGCGAATGTTTAATAAAAAAAACATGTAGAAAATATGTGGATGGAACGTAAATAACCAAAATAAGGCGGACAGGATCAAATCCAGCAAATATTTTTACTTTTAATTAGCTTCACGCCCCCTCAAAAAATTGTCTACGCACCCCTTGTGGGGCGCGCCCCACCATTTGAGAACCACTGGTTTATACTGTTAGATTCTGATAGCTGTTGGTTGTCTTAATAATCCCAAAATAATCCTGGCTGTGTCGCTGAATATACCAACAGCAATACTACACTTTTCTCTCTAGCTGGCAACCTCCATTTTAATCTTGGGAGATACATTACACTAAGCGACTATTTTCTGTACGGCAGGCAGTGTTGCAAATAAACACTTGGCATCGAACCTCTCATTATTCTATGCAAGTTCGCAAGTTTGAATCCTGTTGGGAAAAATTACGCACAAAAGGATTGTCGACTCCCAGTAGACACAGGGTGGTTCACGTACAGCATTACAGCTTTTTCCATCATCTGTACAAATGAATCTGTACTAATTACTGAATAACTATTCCCACTCCCGACATGGACTGGTAAAGAGAGACAGACCATGGTCCATTCGTCATATGACTAAGCCATCTTATTGGCTTTCCTCTTCCTGTGATAATCATGAAATTCCCAGTATTTTTCCCATCCTTGTAACAAAAAATTTCTTACTCTAGCAGCAACTATACTGAGTCCCATCCCTCCTCCACGCTTGTTGAAGGTAACTGTTGCCATTTCTGGTTGTTCCAAAACCAGAGGTTGCAAAGATGGTGGTGGTGTAGCTGGTCCGTTAGGTTTTTCCTGGAATGATATAAGATTGAAAATAAGTTGAATAGAAAAGGCGAATTGTGATTTACTTCTTCTCGGGTTAAACTATTGGTTCCTAAACTGTGCATTGGGAGATAGTATCTGGTATCGGTATGTCATGAAATCCCCAAAAATTTACCTCTTAGGCTCTTATCTCATTATCTGCCTGCGTTTTTTTAAATCTTTACACAAATAATAAAATCTGTTGAAATTTTCGCTGCATGGTTCCTGAACTATTCGATGAGAGACAATGTTGAGTGCTTCGTAAAATATCAATCTGATCTGCCCGCGATTAGAAATTGATTTAAAATGATCAAAACTGTTTAAATTAGCCTTGAAATAGATGAGTGACCAACTATATTGAATATTCAGTTCAGTGTTGTATGATCATTCATATGCGAAGAAACAAGCACACGTATTGTATTGATTAAATGAACATATATTATAAAATTTCTCAGTGTCGCAATTTGATATTGATATATTCAAATTTTCTTTCCAATGTCTCATGATTTTTATAACAGATGATGCGTCGTGTATTTGAAAATTTGGCATTGCAATTCGGGCTTGATGTTGAGACAAAAAAATGGGATTAAAACACATATTTATTTGAATTTGTAAAAAAAATGAGCAAAGAAATGCAGACAAATCCTAATAGAACAGTAAGTAAGAAAATAGTTGTAAGAGCAAAATATTACCTCAACGATATGGTGTTCCTCTCCATAGAAATAAACAGTCCATGATCCAGTTGCCTCAGGATTTACAGAATAAGAACAAATACCTGAAATAATGAATAGAAAATTTCACTTTCACACTCTTAACAAGGCTCTGCAGAAGCATCATCAAATCTCACTTGATAATAAATATCATATATTACTTTTATCTAGGAACCATGAGAAAACATTTCAAGTTTCATCTTTATGAATCTATCTAATGTTAACTACATTCAAATTCAGGTACTACTGTAGTGTGTGTACCAAGTCAGGGTCAGGGCATAATTTTATTCCGATTTTCCTCTATTTTAGTTCTATTCAGAGTTCGAGGACTGTCTGTGTGAGCCAGGTGAATATATCCTCTGCTCATAGGTTTGTTTCTCTTTACACAACCTGACGTAAAGTAGGTAGGGCGGGATTTTCGAATATCTGATGATTTCAGAATACTTTTTTTCGAATCAAATCTCGAATACTTGGAAGATATATAGCTGTATTGATTGTTTTATTGTGATGGGTCCAGATACAAAATTGAGTGAAAACATGTAATACTCCGACAGTTTGCTGAGTGTTAACAAACATGTTTCATGCATATGAAACAATTACTGTATTTGGTCAGCTATTCGTATACTGGTAAGAAGTTGAGGATATGTGGCTTGTCACACAATTAAATAATCTTATCGACTTTCCTATCTCTAGATTTTTAAGAAAATAGAATTCCTGGTAAATAAAATTTGAAAAACATAGAAGTATATTTCATACTTTCAGCCACTAGAGGTCGTGCAAATTCAGTCAATCCAGAAGGAACAGATTGTACGACGTCGCATGAATAACCATCTTCAGGAAGAAGAAAAGGGAGCTGCAAATCTGGGTCTTCTTCTAATTGTACTTCTCGACCATCAGATCGAGTTAGCTGTAAGATAAAGATAATTCATAAAACGATATAAGCTACCTGGAGAGGTTGAAAATCTTCTATTTCAAATACATTTAAAATTATATTTCCAAATTTAAATTATATATTATATTTTGAAGTAAATTTCACAAAAATGAAGCGTTTTTTTAATTCTTTTTAGACAAAATATTTTTCCAAAACCCCATTTATATGCAATTTCATTCAAAATATTTTTTTTCAATAGGAGTTTACAGGCAATAACTGATGTGTCCTAACACAATGTACATTAAAATTCCATGTGACTTTACAACTTCTTTTTAATAGCACAGAGAATCTTACTTCATCAGCCGTATTCCTTGCGACTTGCACAACTTTGTCTATCAGTTCATTAGGAATCAACGTCTCTCCATCTCTTTCAGAAGGAATGTATTGACTCAATAGCGCCCTCAACTGGAGAGAATTCAGTTTGAAACAAGTACCGCTGATAGCCGCAATGTCTTCTGCGGATTGTTTTGGTGCTTGTAATAAATGCATTGCTTGCGTTACTCTCGCCAAGTGACAATCAGCAGCAAGTTCCAATCCCTGGGAATAAAAAAAAAAGGAGATCAATTTAGGAAACTATTAATGACACTTTAAAATATTTTTAAGATCACGAATTCCAAATTATATGTTTCTGAGTGATTCGTATCTATTCATATCTAGTTTTGGACATCTCAGAGCTGATCCCATTCAAATTTTTTTATTAAACGATCTCACAACCGGCCCCTCATTCAAACCGGCCCTTATACAAGCATGGGCGCTTGTTATTTTTAAAGTAAAATTGCGACGCCCTATCAATATTGAAACGACGCACTTGGGCATCGCGACGCCCAGTTTGAGAACCAGGGTGTTACGTAATCAATGCTATCTGTCATGTAATTGGGCGCCTAAGGCATGAGTGTTATCTACCAGGGCTTAAAATTCAACAGCATTGTGACAAAAGCGCTTCTTATTTCCTTGTTCTTTACCACTAAAAAATCAGCTTTTACATCGGGCGGGTATTCAAGCACCGGCCCTTATTTATTTTTATGTTTTGTTCACACGGGCGGCTATTCAAGCGGGCCCTTAATCAAGATCGGGCGGTAAAACGAGCATATACGGTAGTAAGGTCTATATCAGTGGTTGCCAACCTTTTGTGAAACACCTTGTGAAATAACCTTAACAAGCAATGAAACTAGGTAGAATATGTAAGGTTTTCTAATAGAGTAAAAGTGAAATGAGTTTTGCAAGTAATATGGCCCCTTAATTTTCTGTTGTTCGGTCCTTACCTGTTTTTCAGCCCATGCCTCCACTCTAGCTAGTCTCGCTCTGAGTTTAATGCCCCACGACCTGCAGCACAACCCTCTCTCTGGTTTGGTGGCAACTTCGTTAAATATCCACATGTTTATGAAATGGAATAGTTGAGAGAAGAGTTGGATTGTAAGAGCTGCATTGACTCGACATCGTCTCAAAAGTGACATAGCAGATGACAGCATGTGAAGTATGTTATCTAAAAAGAAGAAATGATAAATTTGAAGTTATTTTGTGGTGAATGGAAAACATTTACAGAACTTAAAGATTTAGACATCTGATGCCTATATTTTGAAGTACGGATGTAAAGTAGTTATTGCAATAAAATCGTAACATTTTATTTTTTTTCAATTTCCACCAGCGACAATGAACATTTCATATAAAGTTGTTTCAATGAATTTTCAAAGTCCTCATACTCACACATAGTAGGTTGATCACTGGATTTATTCCTGCTTTCATTTCCACCTGGCAAATCATCGTCAGATAAAGATAAAAATGCCGGCATCAGTTGAAACAATTCTTTCTGCATACATTGTACTAAATGCCTGAAAAGGAGAGAAATAAGAAAATAATGAAACTATATTTTAAAATATGGGTAAATCAGCGATGTGTTTTTACAAACAAAAATTCCATGAAATATGGCTTAAATCATTATGGCAATTGTTGCTTTACATTTTTTTTATATTCTAAATAATTCTGAGTTTATTCAGTATTTAGATATACTCTGTAAATAATATTAAGATATATCTGTACAAACGGCCAACTATTAAAAATTAGAATTGGAATAAAACTTGGAAAAATGTAGAAACTCAAACAAACTTAATACAAAACAAATAGATTTAATGAATGTACAAACCTAAAAGCAAGTTGAACTGTTTTTGCTAAAGTATCCTGAGCTTCAGCAGTGCACGGTGAAACATCTTGATCATGACGAACAAAGTTCAGTAACTCCGAAGCGTTTGCCATCCAGAACGCTAATTCAGTGGCTACTTTGCTGTTCAACTGAAAAAGGAAAATGTATAATTCTATAAAACAGGTAGGGTAATAATCACAACTGAATTCCTATGCTGAATCTCCGTTACATGACAATGGTACCAACTTGGTGTTACTCCAATAATGTTAATGTTAAGTGCTCACATCAACCAATATATCTGTTGCCGTAAATCTATATTCAGATATATTACATTTTAGCAAACATTTCTGAGCACCAAGTCAGGTTTTCCAAAACCCAGCCTATTTCGCAACAGTCATTTTCAAGCCAAATGAATGAACAAGAATACAATATATCAGTTATAAATTTATTTCATTTTTTATAAATCATGGTGTTGGTATATCTTTCTCTGTGAAAATCGGGTCTCTTTATAGAGAAAAACAGTTTTGATTGTAATCAATAAGTCTGCAAATATTTGAAAAAATCGAAATCGCTGTTATGCAAGCAAATCAGCTAGTCTACCAATCAAATGACATAAGGAAATTTTCTTCTTGACAACCTAAATACTGTTTTACAGTGTAATACCCATTATTTAAAATAACTTTATTTTACCAACCTGTATAGTTTGGTCCAAAAGATCAGTTGTAGTACAAAGATATTCGATTAAAACGGGTTCTAACGATGTTTTAGGTGTAACTTCCACAATGTCACGTAACGATAAATAAATAGCATAAGCAGGAGATAATTTAAAATGTAGATTCATTCCTGTCGCTGATACAACTTCCATTAGGAATGTCTCTTCAGCTAAGAAATCGAGAGTTTGATGAAATTTAAATTTTGAAGAAATGTAAATATATCCATTAGTTGCTTTCAAGTATAGTGAAAATCCATGTACAATTATAAAAAATACTTCAAAACTTTAATAACACTATACCAAATACAATATATTAAGAATGCCCAAAAATAGCGTCATTCAAACAGGGGGCAACAAATTTCAATTTTCCCAAAAAGTACAAAATCCATTATACTTTTTCAGACTTTCGACTTAAAACACTATTATTAAAAAAAGTAGTGAAAAACATAAATCTCACAATTTCGAGAGAATTAACAGGATCACAGAAGTCGCGCGCTTGCATAACAATACAGACATAACAGGGGTTGGGAAAATGTTAACATATTGAAAGAGGTCGCAAGCTTATTAGATGTTTGAAAAGCTCTAATTTAAAAATCATTCGATCTGAAATAATTCGAAATTTTTTTCCAGATTCAGAGAATTTTAACTTACTTTTTCATCTAATTTGACTGTCATGCTATGAGAAGACAATTATCGTAGGTCAAATTCAATAAAGGGGAATTTATTGTATTACTTCATAACAGATAACAGATATGGTATTCATGAAACATAATCTGCGAAATTTTTATCAAGCTGTCTCTGACTGAAAAGGTCTATCTTAATAAATCCAATAGCTAATTTCTTCTATGTGGCTCGAATAGACAAAGGAGGAAAGGTATGAGGAATGCTTCCAGATAAAATTCAAAATAGCACTGTTAGAAACGTGTAGATAGCTCACTCAAAATAATTTAAGACAGTCGAGCACATTAGCGACAAATAAATAATTGAAGAAGAGAGATTTTGAGAATTTGTGATTTCATCAATTTTAGTTACCAGAACTTTATATTTTCTTTAAACATTAGCTATCTTTATTTTTCTCAATATATCACCAATATGACCGAAAATTTTTCTAAACGAACAATATATTCATACACAATAAAAAATCTAACAATGCAACCTACCTCCATTTCGCAGTTGAATAGTAGCTGGTAAAACCCTCACTGTATGAGTTGTTGGTGGCATGTTCTTGGTATTTTTACGATGTTGTTGTTGTTGTTGTTGGTGGGCCACTGAGGACTGTTTACTTTGAGTAGAGGAGGTTGAGGAAGTTGCTCCTCGTGAGGAACTTGAGTAGGGATGATGATATTGTTGTTGATCCTGGATGAGAATATAAGTAAAATATATTTTCAAAATCACTCACATCAAAATGTGGGAGCGATGGCATAGCAGTTATTACGTTAGACTTAAATGTGTTGGCATTGAAGTTGGAATCTTGGGTTCGGATCCCATGATCGTCGCGTCACCCAGGGTATAATAAATTGGTTAAGAAATGCGTAACCCAAAAGATTTCAGTCATTCCAAAAATAGCGACACAATGCATTAGATAACAGAAGCTGATTATACAAGGCCTTGTTCAGAAAGAAAGTGTTGTGTAAAAAAAAAGATGTCCATCAGAGATAGCCAAACCGAATAATTTTTTATTCTAATTTCTGAATATATATGGAATATTGTATATATACTATTATACGGTATATTTCACAGTAAAATTTGAAAGTACCGGTATTGCAAATTCATAAAAACGAATTTGGTGAAGTACAAGAGAGTGGTACTGGTACCACCATACATCTATTGTTAATACTCCACCAAAATCGATAAGCAAAAGAACCCACACAAATGCGAAATTTTTAAAAACTTATAACTTTACCGCTGGGGCGGGCCAAGAGACAATTTGGACACACCTCCAACTAAAAGATTTTTGCAAGATTTCCCTATCTCCAACCAATGAAAATAATCCATCGTAATTTGCAACTGAGTTGCATATAAGTGTAAATATCACAAGATGAAATTTCCAGCTTTCCCAATTTCCTTGGGAGATTCTAAACCTATTTTACTTATGGTAATTGGAGAATATGAAGGAGTGTATAATGCCCAACTGCTGCCTTTTCTCTCAGCATTTATCTTAGTGCATTCATATGCCATGACTGAAAAGATACTGTACTGACATCATTATAGCTAACTGCTTGTTTGTGAAACCAGACTATGGTCACACAAAGCATTACAGAATTTAATTTGTGAAAATGGGACGCAAAGTCTTTGAATCACTCAATATTTCAAACTAACTAAATTGAGTTCAGCCAGCAAGTCTAATTCAGACGTTCCCAAACAGTCATGCGACATCGCCATTGTCGAAAATCTTCCTGGCTTTGATCAAAAACGACAAATATCTGGACACAGAAGCGTGTAAGAGAAATAAGGGTTCAGTTCAGTCAGCCTTGTATTATAACAATATACATTCCTGAGCACTCTCAATAATAATAGCTGTTGCCAAGTATCAATGTCAAATATTATACCGGTATATTACTTTGCAAACTGCTCTATACCAAGCTTGTTAGCATGTAACGAAAAAACATTGCAACAAAAAATACCTTATCAAATAACTTACATCTAATTGTCTTGGCAATGACGCTGACTTCTGACGATTGTCTGCTGCTCTGGCCTGCTGACTGCTACGTTGTTGTTGGTTTCTCTCTGAAGATAAAAATCAAAGGAAAAACATTTCATGCATAAATAAGAGCAGATTAACAGGAAAAATCATGGATAATCCCGGTTTAAATTGAACTACATTAATCCATATATGGTAAATTATGCATTAATCCTTCAGTCAATGAAAATATAAATGCAGTGTTAAACAATTTTGAATGATCAAGCATGATCGGTTGATCATATTTGTAGCATTTATCAGCAATTCATGCTTGGTTATGAGATGATAAAAAACGGTAAAAGGTAGAAAACACATACCTAGTCCCTTGTTTCGAGTTTGTGAATATGCTTGAATTTTTTTTCGAATCTGAGGCATCTGTTGTAATTTCAAAAGAATTTTAAATCACAACCAATTTTAATGATTGTTTCTCTAGTAACGTTACTTGTAGACACTTATTACTTATTGAGTAAAAGTTCTAACTCCATCAAATACTAGTTGAAGATAGAAAGCTGGGCCAAGCCTTATTTCTGTGTTTTTAATAGGTCCTTATTTGAAGGTCAAATTGAATTTGATTCGTATTCAAGGTTCGAAAAGTTCTTTTTCGAAAGATTTAGCAAATACAATCATATATACAAAGTGATTTCAGATGTATTTTACCCAAATTATACACCCGAATTTGAATAATTTGAATTTGAATTAGTAGTGAAAAAGAGATGCATCTCAACAATAAAAATAGTAACTTTATTTTTTATACTCGATTTCACTTCAAACAAGGCTAAAGCAGTCACTGATATGTAAGGACTTATTATTTTAGTGAGTCAGGGGAACTTCTGGCGTCGGCATTGCTTACCCAATTTATTACACCTTTGGTGAGGTGGCGGACATGGGATTTGAACCAGAGAATATTAACCGGCTATGACCACATAGTTAAGTCTAACGCGAGCATGTTAAATAAAACGCAAACATACCGATACTTTCTGACCAGGTTCACAATACACAAGATTCTTATCTCTGCCTATCCTGATAACAGATTCATGAGATAACATTGTTGTTTCTTCGATCGAATGTCCGTCGACAAATACTTCTGAACTATTTTGTGGTGTCACCTATAAATAAATGTTTCACTGTTTCCAACAGAAAAATACAATTTTATCGATAAAATACGTTATACATACATTCACTGTGATTCACACAGTGGCAAGTATTTAGAAAGGACTTAAATTGACAAAATATACCTCACGAAATAATTTTTCGTATATGGATCATTGTATATATTTTGAATTGAATTTATATTTACTAAGTTTAGATTTAGAAATAGCAGTTGATATTGGCAGTGATTTGCGGTTGTTTCTCTATTTTAAAATTTGTCAGAAATTAAATAAAGGCATCTTTGGCCACACTGTAACATTTTAATTGTTTTAGGCTGATAATTTTTTAAATGAAACTCTTCTGCATTATTTTTAGAATCAAGAATTTAAAATTTTGAATCTCCTAAAATATTAGATATATTTTGGAACATACCCGCTGTATATAAATCACATTAGGGAAAAATAATGTCACAGTGCTAAGTCAGAAAAATACACAAAAAAAAAATGATACAATGTTGAACAAACTGACAAGATAAAGTTTAATTAAAAATAACAGTATATCATACAAATTTTTGTATAGTACAGGGTGTCCCTAAAGTTCCTTTACAATTTCAATTTCGCTATGAAGCCAGTTCTCAATATATCATCAGCCAGTCAGGTTTGTTGTTTTTTAATCAGTGATTGCCAAAGTATTTTTATTTCATTTAATACATCTGTGAGGGCCAAAACAATAAATGGTATCGATAAATTTCCTTTGCGATTTTGAAAAATTGTAAGACTTCATGGACAGCCTATAGTTCTAACACATATTTATAAGGAGCAACTCCTGTAATGAATCCCTCAAAAATCAAATTGACTTGAACTAACACGCATCTGTAACTTGTTGTTGTCTCTATTCAATTTCGGGTCAAAAATACACTTTTTCCTCAGAATGAAGTTTGACTAGTTCATAGAAATAAAACTCAACAAAGCACTAACTAAATTTCACAACTGAGAATAATATTTGAAAAATACATCAAAATGACATCCAAAACTTTCAAGATAAATAAAACGGCCAACATATCTTAAAGTTGCTTGCCCAAACTGTATCGAAAGCCAACTAACTAAATTACCTAATTAGTAAAGCTAATTAAACTCTAATTAATAACCATATAATTACATGTCTAACAACTAGTGACATCATTTTTTTGCTATTTCAACGTTAACGTATTTTGTTAACGTAGTTCAGCATTAATCGGTTACATGAGATGAAATCTAGTAACTGAGCGTTTGCAGTCGCATTGCCTTAGGCAATTTAAAAATTTTAAATTTGTGTGAAATAAGCGATTTGTGTTTTATTTTGCGTAAACAAAACTTAAAACATCAAAATACTAAATATTACTAATATTCTATTTTTATTTTTTTGTGGTTGCCCAGAGCGATCAACAGTTATTATTTATTATTGTTTTAAGAATTTGACAAAAAAATTAAAAACTGTACGCTAATTGGAATAAATAGTAAGTAGACTTAGGGTATAATGACCATAGACGATTAAATTTTTGCTTTGCGTCATAATAGGAAATAAAATGGTACAAAATCGTTTGGCAATTTGAAACCTTTTTTGTATATATTTTATGTGATAGAATTTGAGATATGAATAACTTTCATTTTGGTATCATCCAGACGTGTTACAAAATTTTTATACGTTTCCACGTGCTTGTCACTCCAAACAAGATCCTAATAAATAGAAGTATTGGAATGACTGGAGTCCATTACCTGCCCATCTAATTTTTTTACACTCACGCTGAAGTGAGAGACATGAACTTGATATTCTTAACCTGCCAAAACTGGACAATCTTGTATACATCCTAAATACATCCTAAAATAATATTTTCAAATTGGGAGTATTGAAATTAGGCAATGTTTAACAAACAACACAAGAAAAGCCGATGTATATTCAAGGAATTTTTTTAGGAAAAATTGATCCTTGGTCAGGTTGCGAGACTTCATTTCCCCAAAATTATTGTTAAATGAAACAATTCTAAATTATTCCTAAAATCAAGAATAAGAAATATCAAAATTCCGAAAAAATATTGATATTCAAATTCGTACATCCCAGATTCACAACTAAACTTACTGTGACGACGCCATCCATATTTGTGACAACACAATGTGACGGGGCAATATCATTCCGATGTTGTAATTCAATGAAAGGTCCATATGCTGCTCTCCTTCGATCGCTGCCAATCTCTGTTACATTCGGGGATATAACATGCTCCTTATACTGACTTGATGCTGAAAAAAATTGAAATAATAGATTTACATTACTATAATTAATTAGCCATAAATTGTGTTTTTGCAGGAATAACTACCGGTACTTCTTTTTCTCTTCTGTATGTCTGTGTATCTGTATGCTTATAATGTGCACATGCTGTGAAACGTTACAGAAATATATATTTGTGTCAGTCCGCAACGAGACTCTGACAATATTTTATACGGGCAATAATAATTTTTTGCATTTAGATTTGACTAACATTATTATTGTCTGTCTGTAATATAACTATTAAAAAAGAATTCCAGGGTGGGTGTCGTAAAGTTAAATGTGAAAGTGAAGATTAGATGGAACAAATATAAACAATTTTGAATGTATTTGAATATTCGACTTGCTTTAGACATTCCTGGATAGTAGTTAGCAATATTACAAAAGAACAACTATCTTCTCTGTTATTATTGTGATCATAATTTAGTCTATTCGATGCCCAAGGCATTATAATAAACTTGTATCCCGTAAAAAACAACGAAAACAAAGTTACCAATACATACCACAGCTCTTAGTGGCTTTGTAATAGAATTTTTATAAATCATGATATGAACATGCATGGTCAAAGTCAGATCTAGTTTCAAATAACATCAAGATTGATAAACTATTACAGTGATAAGAAAAGAAATAAATATTCAAAGAATATAATGTTTCCTGCAAATATTATTATTCGCTTTTCATCACACTTGATCTAGCTTGTGTGTCTTCTTCTACCAACCTCTGGATTTTCTCTTCGCAAAAATGATCGACCCTTTTTTTATCCCTGGGTAAAGGGAAGGCCGACAAAAGACCTAAAGTTAGACTTAATCATATGGTGAACCACTGCCTCTCATCTGGTTACCAGTCTATGTTGAGTATGGAAACAGTTATTAATTCCAGGCGCTTGGACTTGTTGGTGGAGAAGTCATAAATAACCAATCAGCGATTACATGAACAACCCTACTTTGAGAAAATTTCCAGCAATTCACTACATACACTAGTTATCTCCGTGGTCTCGAACCTGTGAAAATACTCGAAGCAAAATTGCTGTATCAAGTGCCGAGGATTGTAATGAAGGACATAATCAGGTAACAATATTCGTAAACTGTCCATAACTTACAGGTAGATAACTCTAAAAACTTGGGAACATTGTCGTTTGAATTCCCAACTTCTCCGTTGACTTGATTCTCTGATGGTGAAGTAACCGGTTGTTGTGCTTGTGTCTTTTCTTTGTTTTTAGATGATTTTTTATCTGAATATAGGAATAATCAGAAATATTAAAAGCAGCTAGATATTACTCATACATATCTTGTTATTGTCCCATTACTGTTAGGCATTATAGTTTATTCAAAAACTGTGAAAATGGCATTGCGAGTTGCACCTATCTCCAGCTGGGCTATTCCGAGTGACTCTACGGGACAATTCGGAATTTTGGATATATTTGCAATATAATTTTACATTGCCAGCAACATGTTTCGTATCATTGTCCAATCAGTTGCTTTACGGGGTTTGAACAAAACTGTTAAGTTACACAAAAGACTTACTTAGGGGACATAAAATATTTATACTAAAATATAACATGACACTGGGAGATGACAAGTCAACCATGCAATAACGTTTCATTGTGCTGTAAATTTTCGTGTGGTACAGCGGCAGCCCATAATATTTTCTGATGCAGTAACTAAAGGACCCCTCTATGCGCCACTCAATCTACTCAATGTAACACTGTAGATTCATAACAATAATGTGCACATTGTATGTGTCTCTATGAGACAGGACACCTTGGGACATTTATCCACTATGGAACAGTGGCCACTACCATCTCTTGAAAGTCTGGTAAAACATCGTTAAATAGGTGAAGACGTGTCCTACAGCACTGCAAACACTTAAGCTTTATCAACTTAAGTCCAGTGCATCTATTTGAATTGAAATAACTGTACCAGACAATCAAACACTTCATGTTACAGTCATCACAAAACATGTCGATTAGATCAAAATTTCTACACTTCAGACCACTCTATGTGAATCATACAAAAACTGGATGAGATTTCAACTTTTTCTGTGAAATAAATGCTACCCAATAAAAATTCAAAGATCGTTTGCCACAAAAAACACAAAACAATTACTTACACTACACTTTTATAAAATTGATGGAATTCCACAGTCGCTTAGAATGGCCCAGTTATGTTACTTTTAAAAATTAAACAAATAACAGAAAGGAAGAAATAAAGAGATCCAAATTGAAATACTGAGTAAAATAACTTGTTTTATTAAATTTATAATAATACAAGTTATGTGAATGAGATTCCGAGCTAAATGAATACAGAAATAGTGATTGACAAGACGCATGGTTAATGTTAAAAACAGTGATAAGGGAGATATGTTCTTCACTTATTAATAATACAAGATGATACTTGATGTTATCATCAAGTTATGCTTTGAATTTGAGCAGATAAAGTCATGGCCAACAATTTCAACTATGTTCGATAAATTAGGGGTTATCAAAGGTTGAAGGACTAGAGTTAACCCCACTCTGTCACCCACTATTGTTAAAGATTCATATTTTAAATTCTCGATTTGCTAATAATTTCAAATTTGAATAATCAGAGTTACTCTAATTGAGCAAAATTAAATTTTTGAATTTCCATGTATCCCCACATATAATATAATTATTGTTCTACAAATTTATATACCGTATATCCCCGCATATAAGACAAGTTTAAAACTCAAAAAATTTGACAAACTAAGGGGTTGGCTTCTACGCGGATAACTCTGATCGCACTAAAAATTTGGCTTATACATGCATAACTCTGATCGCACTAAAGGGTCGACTTATAAGCACTAAGTTCTCACGCACACACTCGAAGCAGCGCTTGGTATGCTGTGACAGCGATAACAGTCTGTGATTGATTTTGAGATCCGTTATATGCGAGGATATATTATGGTACATGTATTTTGTAAATATAAAATCTCAAGATTCAAAATGAACCTAGTCGTACAAAATTATTTGAAAACTTATCTTGAAAATTAGAATATAAAACCAATTGTAAAAGATTTATTACCAGATTCTGAAGGCTTTTCTGAAGCGCTGACGTGACTTGATGGGGGAGATGAACTTTTCTTGGAATTTTTGCTGTGGTCTATGTCTTTATGACGAAGTTGAATAACTAAGGTTCCTGAAAAAAATGGGACATACCAGATTCAATTTGTTATCAAATTTTCAATGATTACTGCAAATTTCTCTGTTAACTAGATCAAATACAATACATATAAATACTCGATATTAAGAAAAATTTGAAGATTTTTATAAAATTCTTTCTAGCAATTCCATCAAATTAACTTGAACTGAAAATACTTTTTCCTTTTTTTTTTTTTTGCATAATCAAATAACTGATTAATCATACAGCAAAGCGTCTACACATACGATTTTGCTGATATAAAATTAAGAAATTGAAGACTTCACTGTTTTTTTATATTGAATTTTATCCCCTTACCTTCATGGGGTCGCCAATTCTGCTCGATATCAAGAGGACACATTGGATCCGTCAGGATGGTTTCTCTGCCCCAACCTTCATTCAACATTTCTTCTGGTTTAGAGTTTGGTGGTCCAACCACCTAGAACATTAAATTGAAGTGTTTATAAAGGTGATTTACTCTCAGTGGGCTGACCAGTGATCAATTTCTGGTTGCACAGACTCGAGCACAAGAAATGACATTTTTTATATTATAAAATCGGTACTCCCGTTGTGTGTGTACCAGGTTAGGGTTAGACCATAATTTTATTCCGATTTTCCTTATTTTGATTCTATTACGAGTTCAGGAACTGTCTGTGTTAGCCAAGTGAATATACCCCAAACCCAGGGGCGGACACCCGGGGGGGCGAGGGGGGGCGGTCGCCCACCCAATAATTTCTCAAAAAAAATTAATACATGTTGATCATTTCCGAAAAGTGCGATAGTCAAGCGCAATTTAACGGTTAATAGTTACCGATATTATAACCGTTTTCTTATAATAATGTGGACCAAAGCGCCTTCGGAGCACCTCACATTTTCGTGAAACATGCGCGCCCGCACGGGTCATACTCCGTCTTCAAACGCACCGCTGATCACGCGCCACGGTTTTGCACAACTAACTCATTTTTGTACAATTTAATATGATTTTCTTATTGTCAAAATCTTTCAATAGTGTTATTGTTGTCAATAGCGCGAGAAGTGAAAGAGGCAAACTGTGTTTCATTACAACAATTAATTATTATCGCTAAAAAATTAACTAGATCTAAAGTTGTTATAAACAATTTTCACCGCTGGACGTATCTTTTCACGTTATGGATTTCGTGCAAGGCCCAGCATAATTTGCGGGCAAAGATCAAAGCATTTACTATGTCGAAAAGCGGCAATATGAAATACTAAAAATAAAACTGTAAACAATATAGGTTTTGTTGAGGCCCGCGACAGTCTAAAAACGCTTTTCTAGGCATCGAAAATCGCAAAATTTCGTGTGCCTACGGCACAAATTTTGTTTGCTTGACCTTTAAAAACATTTCGTCACTAAAATCGAAACATGGTCAATTGTGAGCGGGATTTGCCTTTTTATCCATTACTTTTAAATTGACGTCAAACTTTTCCCCGACGCGAGCGCGACTTTTCCCCGGTTTGTGATAATATATAAGATAATTAAAGCATATTCGATCACTCTTTGTATTTATTTATGCATTTTTATTGTACTGAAATAACTTTTACTACGTGAGAATTGACAGAAAATTCACGGATTCTTCGAAAGGTTTTATCTTTAAGCCAGTGTTACAAGTACATCTCAAATTTATCGAATTCGCAAAATAGCAAAATTACGGATCAAAACAATATATAAACGGGCAGTTTACCACACATTTTTATATCTGCGGATTGCCGCGGTGTTTTAGACTCAACCGCAGTTTAAATTGAAGACAATTAAATTAATAAATCAAGACATTTTGAATATGCCCGTATCGGTCTTTGATTGATTACTTTGCACAAGTGAAAAATCATTTTTCGTTGAAAAAGTCGGCTCTTTTAACAAGTGGCGCGTAATCGCGGCGACTGTTCCGCGTGGATTTCGAGGCGGTGAATTTGTATTTTTGATTTACTAGTATACTTTATAATTATTTTCATTGTATGAATTAAAATTGTACTTAATGGGATTTTATATCAGATATCGAGATTTTTGTAACGGCGATAACGAGTTCGGAAGATTGCAAAAATACGTATCAAAATTAAATACATCAGGCAGCTTATCTCATATTTTTATGTCCACATATCGCCGTGGTACTAGTTTAGTAATACTTTTATTTTGACCTAAGAAGTCGCAACCGCGAGTTACGTTGCACGCAATTAAATTAATATATGAGGACATTTTAGAATCTCGTGGCTGTCATGGATTGAATATTTTACGCGACAAAAAAATCATCATCAACGAGCGCGTAATCGCGGTGCTTGTTGCAGACGGCAATGGGAAGTTCCGACTTTGACCCCCCACCCCCACCTTTTTTTTTAAATCCTGGCTGCGCGCCTGAACTTGTGCCTGTTTATTTTCGTATTAAATTATGAACAAAAACCCTGCAAAGTCATTGCGTGAATCCTGAATGTTATTTCGAGTTCAAATGATGATTTAATAAAATCGGCAATAATGGCAATTCTACTAGTCAAATGATAATTCCTTGGTAAAATTTAGGAAAAAAATTCGCACAATAGCTTGTTACCTTTTTTTACATTTCTAATTTTACGAAACGGCGTTAGTGCGCTTTATGCAGAACTAGGAATTAAAACAATAACCTAATACGACTCCTCAAATTTGTTATTTTCTGTTTGTTAGCAAGAGCCGTGGGCTAATTCTCGCGGAATTCAAGAAATTGGTTCAGTGACGCGCAAGTTCCGTGTCCGAGCATAGCAGCCTAGGTAATCGATATACGAGTAGCAAAATGACATGCTAATACTTAGAGAATGACATCGACAGGTTATTGTTACGTGATGATACACGGCGCGGCGTTTTCGGTAGGCGATCCAAGTTCGCCCCCCCCAAAATTATGGAAAGTGTCCGCCCCTGCCCCAACCCATAGGTTTCAGTCCCTTTACACAACTTGATGTAAATTAGGCGAACAAAATTAGTCCATATTGGTACACACCAATGTTCCCTCTAATTTTTTGTAGTATGTGTGCGCAGAAATTTTGGTGTGTGCGCACTTTTTTGGAAATGACTAATATTTGTGCAAAAACCAATGAAAAAATTTTGGTGTTCTAACCGGGTAATGGGTGGGCCAACAACAAACTTTCTCAAACTGCCAATCGAGAACATTGTTACATTACATCGAAATACGTCTGTGCGCAGTAAATCTATGCGTGTGCGCAGCCTCTGAAAGCTGTGCGCGCGCGCACACGCGCACACCTTAGAGGGAACACTGGTACACACTCTTCATGAGCGCCATTAAATCAATCCAAAGATGCATATGCTTGTGTAATATGTAATATTTAAACAGTGAGTAAAATACGATGAGCTAAATTGCAAAATCCACAACATGTATAGTTAGGTTGTGTAGTCCAAGTCAAAGTCTAGCATTCATTTAACTGATATTAGAGTCAGCGTCGTCATTTTAAACTCCCCGGGGTCAGGAATCAGCGCCAGAGTCAAAATTTAAATTCTTCGGGAGTCTGGAAGCATTTTTTCAAATGGCCCTCCTCAGCCCTGATATTCAAGACTGCTGTCTCGAACTGAATATAAACCGTTTCACAATGTTTCCCGAATTTATTGATTTCTTTTATTAATTTTGCCATGGAACCCATCTATTTTCAGTAACCAAGTCCATGATTCCAATTGGTGAATTTTCAAAAAATTTCCAATTTCTCAACATTCACAAGATTTTCAGTATTTTTGTTCTTAGTAATTTTCTTAGTGAATAACTCATGGTCGCATGGTTATACAAACTAAACAATCAAATGTTTCCTTTTATTGCTATTTATGACCTCAAACTGCATTTATATAGCTCTCTCGTGTAGTGAAACACTCAGACCTATTTCCTATTCCCAAGAATGCTACTTTATACTTTAATAACGAGTGCAATCAATTGGAAATTTGTGAGACCAACAATCTTTTAGCATTAACTCGAGATTTCAATCAATCAAGTGTACTAGGTAATAGAAATTTTATTGCAATTTTATATGGCACTAAAGTGCAGTAAAACACCAATTTCACAATGATATATTGCATTTATTCGAATGATGGCTGTTATTGCAATGGGTGTAGTACCAGTAATTTAGTGAATGATGACATTACGCATATGTCTATAATTATAATTTTGAATGTTTAGTCGGTACTCTAGTAGTGTATGTACCAGGTTAAGATTGGGTCATCATTTTATTTCAATTTTCCTTATTTTAGTTCTATTACGAGTTCCGGTTGTTTGTGTTAGCCAAGTGAATATACCCTCTGCCCATAGGGATCCGTCCCTTTCAACAACTTGATGTGAAGTGGGCGAACAAAATTGGTTATCTCCATACCACACATACTTCTGGAGCGTCGTTTAGTCCAAGATAAATATTACAGATATCTACCAATACTGATTACCTTTATTAGGAAGTAATCTTTCGGTGATTCTTTTCCCAGGCCATACTTGTCCAGTGCATCTCTTATTACAGTAGATACATTGTCAGTCGGGAGCAAGAGAAGTGATTTGTATGGAATTTCTGGATTAATGCTGTCGCCGTAAACTTTGAGAATATTCGCTGAAAAGAAATTTTGAGTGATTATCACCATTGCAGAGAGAACTCTCTTATTGGACATAGTGAAAAATGGATTTTTTTTGTTTAATTTTGTTGTTTGTTGAAACTGTTGTTGTTGATTTTAAATTGTCAGTACTTAAATATTGAAGCCGTAAAAAGACCATTTCTTTGATTTTTTTCTCAAATTGCTCTCTTTTTTCTGTTTTATTTTTTTACCATCCAGGGATGGCCAACACCAAAAAGCCCAATCAACTATTCCAATAACATTTTCTATCAATATCATTGAACATGGAATATATTCTAAATTGGCTCGAGTTCAACAGATAAAATTGAACAATCCAATGTGAATTCAAAGAAAATGATTTGGTAATTTTCTGTTTTTACGGTAAAATGAAGTCTATCATTTTTTGCCATAAGCATAAGATAATAACTAATGAAAATGACAAATTTCCAAATGAAATTTTTTTCCAAAATCAAGCATTTATTACATCAAATATAATCAATTTCGAATGTATTCAAATATTGGACAAATTTTGGAAATTCAGGAGTCCCTAACCTGACCTACAATGCCATGCATAACACAAGTAAACAGGCCATTTACTCCCTAAAGATATATAGTGTCCATAAAGACCTAAATTTTTTTTAAATTGCAAACGTAATTTATTAACGATACTAGGGATGCGACAAGATTCGGACTCGTGCTCGGATTCGTGGCCGAATCTCTCGTAATTTGATACTCGGATTCGGCCCGAGTCTTTGATGATTTTACCCGAGTCCGGGATATCATACGTCACGCGATAGTCAAGCGCAGACTGGTGGTGGATTCGACGAGAAATTCAACTTTTTCGTTCTGTTTTGCCACGAGACTGTCCAGTCTATTTTCTCTACGGTGAAATTAAAACTAGGCGGCAAAACTACAAATTCACGACGCCGTAAGAACAAAAAAATGTCAGCGAAAGTCAGCTGAATAAATTCCAGTGTTTCGCGTGTAGCTTGCCTTCCAGTGCCAGACGTCGTTTAGTGAATGTCCTATTTCAAGCATATACTTGCTAATCCTCTAACAGTGATTAATCCGTGATCAGCGGTAACCATGTCGCGCTGTTCGCCTTTTATCGTTCCATAAATGATCTAGCTATTTCCGGAGAGAAACAAATGTTAGAAATAAAACGATAAAATAGTGAAAATTACGGTTCTTTTAAGAGAAAAGTACAACTCGCAGATGTCAGTGGCGTTACAATCGTATATATGTACAAAAACAATCTCGCAAGTCGCGTCAATAAATGTGCATAAATTTGGAAACTATTACTCGTGGTAATTGAATGTTAATCGAGCCGACTTTTTATTTCTATTCAATAATTATTTACATAAACCGCGATTAGTGACGGGCAAAATCGAATTTTTCCTGATCGAATAATTCGACTACCGTATTTCTTTTAATTTACCGATAGTAGAAAATTACTAGAAGACTGGAGACTCGATAACAACGCGGCGTCTTTACTTCTTATCCCTAATTTTATCACAATCGTGAATTGTTTTTTCGTCACCGCGGTCGTTTCGGCGACCGACATCCTAATTATGGTTGGTAAACTATATTTTTAAAGCACCCTTTTCACTATCAGTTCTCACGCAACGCCGGACATCGAAGTTTCGTTTTTATATTTCAGGCAGAACGATGAGTACAAATCGGCCAAGATTCACTATTAATTAGTGAATTCATAAATATATTAATTTTATTCTGGCCTCATCTTCTGGACTTGATCTTCCATATCACAGTTTGTAAATTACGGTCCCCATTTTACAATACCTATCGTGGCTGTGTTATTTTAATATTAGATAATAAATGTAAACTCCGGAAATTTACCATTGCGTGCTGTTTCGAGTTACGGCATTTTTACCTAGTCGAAACAATATTTCCATATAATATATAATTTACCTGCCCCACTCAATCTGGTTTGACGTTTCTATATGTGAAAAGGTGTTGGCGCGCTTATGCAAAATTGGGAATTGTTAAGATAACGATAGGCGCAGAAAGAAAACCATAATAATTCTCACATTTATCGTTTCTGTCTGTTAGCGAGAGTCGTATGTGAATTCTTACTCGTAACTCTCACTTCTAAATTAATGTTAATAAATTTGATTTTGCTTTTCAAAGCGCCGTTATTTGTATTAATGGAAATGATTGTGTCATACAGCCGTAACTTAGCATATATATAACACATTTCGCTTTTGCGTCTCTCTTATTGAATCAAAATCAACAATTACACATTCTTGTATTCCGCGGATTCGACAATCGCTATTGATGGTTTTCAAACGAATAATAGCTAGCTATTTTGTTACGATATATTTATAAGATACATTTATTCGATGCTTCCACAGTTGGCAATTCTTTATTAGTATCTCAATTATCACGGAGATGGGCGTCTGTATCAGCGCCGACTAAAAAAGATAACATATGAGTAAAAATTTCCCATAAAAAATTTGTTCCAAACGTGTGGGTTATGGCCCGTATTTATCGTGACAGGACACGAGGGCGGCGTCTTCAGCAGTCGACGCGGCGGTCGATCAGAGTTACGTAACAAAGTATTCTTTCGACGGGAAATATGACCTATTTATTCTAATTTAAACTAGTCGCTCAGAGAATGATTGTCTCGATAGCAATAGTGTTTAAGTGCAACGTTTTTAAAATACATAGTCTTTTCATACAGAATGTTTAATTTACGGCCAATATACGAGAACAACAGCATCACTTTAAGTATTTGTTTCGTAGCTATGTAAAAGTATTGGACTCGGGACTCGGACACGAGTCCAGCACAAATACTCGGGATTCGGCCGAGCCGAACCTTTTTGGATTCGTCGCATCCCTAAACGATACCATTTATTGTTTTGGCCCTCACAGATGTATTGAATGAGGTGAAAATACTTGAACAATTACCAATTGAAAAATAACAAACCTGGTTAAGTTACTTTATGGACACCCTATATATTACCCATACTCTATATTAGCGAGAAGTGCTTGACATTGACATCTTCTAATGTTTTAAAAGCAAATTGCGTTAACCACAAAATTCATGGAAGATTGCATTTAGGTTTATGGGTGAATGCTTTTTTACCATACTACAAAACCTCAAAGTAATAATGTCATCGTTTGAAAAAATTTCAGCCAATGACGTAATGTTTGAGACAATAGACATTGTATGTTATTTGTTTAAGAGATGTACATTGAAATTCCTTTCATAATTTACTGAATATAATGTTCCACAAATGAATCATAGATAACCGAGCCTGATATTAGTTTACAATTTTAATAGCCTACTGTGACATAATAATTGAAAATCCAGATATCCAAATAAGGTATACTAATGAGTGACAAATGTAAAATGTCATATAAAAGTGTTTCCATACATTGAATAATAAAACTTCAACTGTTGGGTAGAATATTGGATCACGTAGGACAAGAGAAGAACTTCAACCATCTTTAAGTAGTGAAAATTTGAAATCAAAAATGTTTTTTTTGTTATCCTCAAATATAATTCATCAAAATGATCTGTATCTAATAACAGTTATATTCAGTAGTGTGCAAAAAATATTCACTTTAGCCTGCCTATTATGCCATGCCATGAAAGAGAATTTTAATGGGAGAATTGTCTGAATCCGTAACCACATTCAAGTCAATCAGAGCATGAGAAGTTCTGATGAACATGTAAAGATTGAAGAACATAAATTTATACAACAAAAATTTTTGGTAAAAAGAATTGAATTAAGTAAATAAAAAATACTGAGTAGTTCAATCAATGTCTTGCACAGTACTTTTACAAATTTTATTCTGTTACAGCTCGTCTGACAAAAGCCAGACTTTCTTAAACAAGTACAACATTGTTATTACTGAATAAAATTCGTGAAATTGTGATTCAACGCAAGACATTTGAAGCACTTAAAATAGCTGTTTTAATTCTTGCTACAGTATCCTTGCAAAGACAAAATATGTATATTTAAGAATATGAAAGTTCTAGGCATTTCAATCAGATCGAAAATTTTTCAAATATTTGGTATTTCAAAAACTAATTTTCGCCAGACTCCCTAAATAATATAGTTAAAAACATAACTAGGCTATTCAACAATGTACCTCCTCGTTTTTGCAATTTTTGCTCCCGTCGTTTTTTCATTACAGCTTCTGGATTAGAAACAGTTCTTGTGAATGTTGATTCAGGTACTTGGCTGTATAGATGTTTTACTGTGTAAATCTGAAAAATATAATTAAAGTAAAAAAATTATCTTCTGGACACAGAGGTGAAACAGGTGCAAATAGAGTATTGAGTTACTGAAAGGCAATTAATTAGTGTATGCAGTTTGATAAACCTTGGTATGCACATTAAAGATCAATAATATAGAGAGAATCTCCGCAAGATTTAAAATACATTAAGGTGTTTTACAAATTACAATATTATAATACTTAAAAAAGGAATGAAGTTTAAATTAACGTCTAGCATCAGTGTTCACTATTAGCGCACTTTTTTGCGAAAATTGCGAAGCACTTTCGCAACTTTTTTTAGGGACTGCGAAATAGCACTTTTTTCCGATTTTGAAGAGAAATAGCACTTTTTTCCGATTTTGAATGGAATAAAAGTTCAAAGTTAACAAATATTTTCGAGTATTAAGTTGACAAATAAGTAACATACTAGTACTTTTGTAACTCAATTCTGCATATCATAACGATATTTACCGGAATTCTAACCTATGAGATGCAGACATAGGAGATAAAGCTTTTGCATTAACGGCAAAATTCTTGTTTATAATATGATTATTATACAAGCACACCGATTCCGCTTCTCCCGTAAAAGACGCTCCCCGGGCGTTTCTTTGAAGGAGAGTGGTCATGTGACTATCAATGATATCATGAATTCAAAATGACTATAAAAGTGTTAGTAACGTGTTATAGTCACTTTGGATGAATTGAGACCAAACTGCACGATTTTCAAATCAGACGCAAAATCACCAAATTCACAAAATACCATTAAGTGCCATTTTATTGTAATCACAATGTTGAAAGGACGTGGCATTTTCCGGAATTTTGCGATATTTACACAAATATTTCTCATTGATATGCGAGGACGGATGGGCAAAATTAAATATTTTTTTGAATCGAATATTTATAGGAGTACCGAATAAACGTGGTGGAAACATTAAAAAATCGGCAACAAAGCCTTTTTACTGGTTAATTCCGTTATAATCGCTAATTGTTCTTGTCACCGATCGTTTTGGCGGCGATATCTAGGTTTTGGGTATTCTATATTCCCGCCCTCTCTTTTTTACAAATATGAATTCTTGTGGGTCGGCGGACATCGAAGTTTTATATTTCGGGTTTACCCGTTGGTTCACATCGGCAACAGCTGTTGAAGACATTGAGGACTCAAATTAACATTTGCGTTGGCTTTAATATTACCTATCAAGATTTGTAAATTTACCGGTCCCAAACATTGAGGACTCAAATTAACATTTGCGTTGGCTTTAATATTACCTATCAAGATTTGTAAATTTACCGGTCCCAATTTTATGCGAATGGTGTTATTATTGTCCATACCGTGATGCAGATATTTATTAAGACGATAATTACCTTTCATGTATTTCTATGGTGATAAACTTCGCAAATCTGGAATTGTGCCAATCCTGAATGTTGATTTGAAATAGTGATTGAATAATTCGGCTATAAAGGCATTTCTGCGTGGTCATAAGACGAGATGACGTTAATGAACAGCACTTCTTTTACAGGATATTTTACGTATGCGACTTAATGCTAAAAAAATTGGGCTCGAGTGCTTTTTTTTTCGAGTGCTCGAGTGCCTAACAGAGGTCAGGCGCTAATTGTAACTAATTCCCTCAAGTTTCAACGTGTTTTCAACAAAACAATACCCCGGCGATAATTATAGCTGAAATGTTACCGAGCAATTCACAATTTTATTTATGGAATTTGCAAATTCACCAGTTTCTTGACGATTTTGATATTGTCACGCCCTAATTATTAGTGCAAAAAATACTCCCCTTCTTCCGCGGCGGTTTGACGGGTTCTTTGTTCCATTCTTTAGAAAGTTCTGACACGGGGATATAGAATACTGAATCGGGAGGGTTGAATCCCTGTCCACTTACTGGTGATTTTCCGTTTTGAAATGCGTGAAACATTCTCTATTTTAAATTAAATGACGTTTCGCGGGCTAGAGCTCTCCCCGAAAATGATGTGTTCCAGACGTTAGTTAGACGATAGATAAAACATTAGATTAATAATTTTCGTGACGCCCCGTTTTCGAAAATACAAAGTTATATCGCAAAAAATGCGTTATGATACATTTGGAATGAAACATTATTTACGGTTAATTCAGATCATATTTTACTCTTCATGACACCCGGTATCCGAAAATACAGTTGTATCCCGAAAAATGTGTTTTGTTACATTTAAAATAAAACATTTTTGCGATTAATTTAGATCAAATTTTACCTTTCACGGCAACCCGTTTCCGAAAATACAAAGTTATATCACAAAAAAATGCGTTTTGTTACATTTATTTTGCATTCCCAATAAAATACATATTTTCCCTAATTAAGGTCGTCGATGAATCTGTTCCTGTCGTTCAAGCTAGACACACGTTTGGACGAGTGTGGGGCGGTTTTTTGGTCGACGATAAATTAAAAAGTTGCCGCACGTTATTTGTATAACGATAATAACTGAAAATTAAGATTTTATGATAGAAGTGAATTCGTCTCAAGATAGTATTTTACGATTCCTGCCAACAGAAAATAAACACGCTGACAGGCTTGGTTATAACTGATATTCGTTTAATTTATTTTACACTATTAATAAACGCGCCAGACCAATTGCGACCATATAAATTGCAGTCGCATCGGTATGGACTGTATGTTTTTGGCGCTCTCACATTAATAATAATTTTCAACAAAACAATACCCCGATAGTCATTAAAGCTGAATTCGTTACCGAATAATTCACAATTTTATTTACGGAATGTCATGCCCTAATTATTACTGCTTAAATGCCTCAAAATACAACAAATGTAATCATTTTCGACGATAACAGACGCAACAATTCGTAAACGAGCCGTTATAACGAAATTCGCGATTGATTTTACCTCTCTCTTGTTTACAATTTTAACATTCCGCCGGCCACGTATGGTCGAATAAAATGTTCACATATTCGAAACATGACTTGGCCAAGGATGGAAGGGATCACTAAAGAGTTAATAGAAAGTACATACGCGAGGGTATGATAATAATATCGAGAATATTTGTGAGCATATCACAGGACGGAAATATTTTGCACCCACCTGTTTGTTGGCAGAACAACGTTACGCTAAAGTTAATTGATTGAATACAGGGAAGTATTTATTTATCATTTCACTTGCGAACATCGAGGTTTTGGCGGAATTGTACGATCATGTTGTCTTTCTTAAATAATAACTTTTTCAATAAATGTTCATTTTACTTTTGCGTCTTTATTATATGTCGGGTTTTCATTTATTTTAAATTCGAAATTGTCCGAAATACTCCAACAGGTGTATAAGTACAATAATAATAGTACTTACCAAAGTACTTACCAGGGAAGTTTAATACACACGATGTGTAAAGGGCGTCGTAACTCGCGTTTATTAATTATAAATTTTTTCACATTCTGCTCAAAAAACAACGGCAGCCATCTCACGTAACTCTCGCGACCAAATCTTTTTTGTTTTGTATGGCATCGTCTTGGCGACAAATTTATTGCCGACTAAATTTTAATTGTGTTTTAATATAAGTTATTTTCTGTTTGTTGTTTTCTAAACTTTACAAACTTGGGTAGCAATTACTATTAATGTGAGATTTGTGCATATGAACGATTGAATATCGCGACTGGATGTTCGATATCTGAGAATGCGTAATTCTCTTTCAACATTAATTTTCAGGATATCAGCGTTCATGTGGTCGAATGAAAATTATTTATCAAATGGATTGGTATTTCGAGACACTCTCAAAATTATTTGGGATCCACTATCATATCATTCGTTTTTTTTTTTATATTCATGTTTTTCTCAAGAACCGCCCTCGTTATATTTAGTGTACCTTCGCAAAAGAAAACTCTTTGGTGTCATTGTTCCTATTAGTGTAATTGAAATATATGGAAACCTCGCAAGTGGCTTGTGATGCGAATATTTGATACTAGGTCAGCAGCATTACAAAGAGTGCTATTTATGAATGCTGAAAGTACATGACATTACTAAACATTTTGCCAATATATGAAGTTTTCTGCCCGATTTAAACTAACTCGCACACAAACCAAGGCATGTCGACATTTGAAAATTCCTTGTCTTTGGGTAAGCTCTGAAATAGTATAATATAAATGTAAATGAGAAATTAGGTCACGCTAGCTCACGAAACGAGAGGATTTTCAAAGTGATCTTGTGTAATATTTCGGAGAAAAAGGTTTGAAAGGAAAGTAGTATCCTGCGTAATATTTCGGAGGGAACGTAGGTTAACTTATCTTGTAAAACAGCCGGTGGCGACTTTCAAAGTGGTTCAAAATCACAAATTAATAATTATCAGATTAGGTTTAGGGATAAATCGAAAAGTTGAATTTCCAGCGCACCTAACCCTAATTAGTTGATTGCTATTTATATTTGGGGGGGGGGGGGGTTATTTTGCACGGGATTTGTACAAACGATCCAACGTAATTAATATGGTTTCCAGCCTGCCTCGTGTCTGTTAGATGGAAGGAGTAACAAATGTGAAAGTCTTTGCTGTTTACGCGAGTAAGCAACTGACACGATACATTGCATGAAAGTTCTGTCCCGGCAGGTGTTAGCAGATGTCATTTCGTTGCCGATGAATTCGCTTGTTTTAATTAAACATGAATTCGCTTAAAGGGAACGCGGTTAACGAAAAGGCTTCTCTTTAATTCATAATATTAACCGGGGAGCGCTTTTTTGAGTATCTATGCCGTTTTAAATGGGTTATATGAAAGGCTAGGGCACCTAACTTGTTAATATCGGCAAAAGCACTTTCGCACTTTTTTTTTCGACTGCGAAGCACTTTCGCACTCATAATTTGCTTAGAGTTAACACTGTCTAGCATTATCAGTTTATTACTTGAGTGACAAAGGTTTTCATGCAAATTTGAAAATATTAAAGTGAAAAATATTTTTTTTGTTCCTCCCCCTTTAAAAAAACAATTATAATAAAACAGTAACAATATAATCACATTACCTCTTGTTGCCTTGCATCAGTATTGCTGCTATCTTCAGTTGAAGAGCTATTATTCTTTTTTGAAGCCTTTTCTTGTTTCTTCTTTAATTTCTTTTCCTTTTTTGTTAAATTACGGGTTAATTTGAACGAGGAATCCTCGTTGTTTGGTCCGACAAACTGATCCATTAACCTGACCTGAAAAATTATGACAAACGTTGCTTGCGAGGAAAAAGTGAATTTATGCATCATTGAACATGTGACTTGTTGTTACTGACAACAGAATAACTAATTATACACAATTTTGTATACAAGTTTTGATGTGTACATGAGAGAATGAAATATGCATTTTATGAATAATGCAATTCAGAATAATATATAATATAACATATCCAATATTCAAGAATATATTTGAATATATTTGAGGCAAGTAATTATTGAGGTTTGGTCATTCTCATATGAAGCCATTGATGAACAAAACCGAATAATGTACTAATCAGAATACATTCTGAAATAATATTTTTGAGTACAAAAATTTGAATATTTTCTGAATTGGATCATGTTCAAAAAAAGACTAGAAATAACTATATATATATTCAATGAGTGGCCTTCTAAAAAAAAGCAAAAAGTTGCAAATAAACAGTGATTTAGTTGATTTCCAATTTTTAGATTTTTTTGTCTTCAATTGTTCCAAACGATAATATTTTAGGTTGAATAATCTAAATTATTCCCAAAATCAGACATTTGAACCCAAATTTTTTCATCACGCGCTTTATACAACCCTCACTCTGAAATAGAATAAGTCTAAATGCTTTGCAGCTGGGTACGAATTCATTGAATCATTTTGGACATCTGAAGCATTCAATTTCTGTGCATTTCTGTAAAAGATTTGGCGATCCAGAAGTGTATTTACCTATATAGAGGTAACAAATTGTGTTCACCTACTTTACAAGTTGTGTAAAGGTACTGAAACCTATGGGCAGGGGGTATATTCACTTGGCTAAAACAGACAGTCCCCGAACTCTAAGAACTAAACTGAGGAAAATTGGAATAAAATTATGGCCCAACCCTAATTAGGTACACACACTACGGGAGTACCTGAGATTTTCTATAAAATACTCACTGGTGCTTTGTCATCAACATTGTGTAGCAGAAACCGCCCTTCTCGATCATCTTTTACCCAACTAAGTTGCACCAATAATGGTTTTTCCTTGTCTTTTAATTGTCTCATTTCTGAAAAAAATTTAAGCGTTACATAACATTGCATCTTTGTAAGCCTTTGGCATATTATGTGTGAGTAACAGTTTAAGCAAACACGAATTTATGACTTGTGTTATAATACCTTGCATTATCGTAATGATAAGCGTAGTAACGTAGTTTAGTAACGATCTAATAAGCTACGATCTTCCAATTAGCTCAAAACAATATTTTTTATTTCAAGTAGAGTTATTCTCAATTGTCTTCAGAATCAGGAGTAATTCAATATGACAAACTTATTTTAGATATTTTTTATAATTCAAATTATAAAAAATATCTAAAATAAGTTTGTCATACTGAATTACTCCTGATTCTGAAGACAATTGAGAATAACTCTACTTGAAATAAAAAATATTGTTTTGAGCTAATTGGAAAATTTTAATTTTAAATCGTCATATTTTTATCTGTTTGATAATATATACTATTGGCTAAAATTTTGAATATAGAGTTACTATGTTATGATAAAAATTGGTTTGGCGTGATTATTTGATTTCATGCATTACAGAGAAACAAAAGTTCATGCAATTCATACAAAAAAATTCATATTTTGGAGAACAATGCAAAAAGAAGTCAGCAATTGATAGTTTAATTAACAAAGCAACCTAGCAGAAAATGACTTTGTTCACAATAGCTATGCTGAATGCTTGTGAAGTTGGAAACGAGGTCTACTAATTAAGTCTACCAGATGAAAATGGAGTGGAGGATAATTGTGATACTAAACGAAAATTAGTTATTGAAGCAACTAAAGGAGAGAATCAATGTATAAACCAAATTCCTTGAGTTTAGTTGTGTATAAGAATGGTAATATAGAAGCCCATAAAAGCAATCGATGTCGATATCGTAATTGTGATATATATTACTTCAGACACATTACTCACGGTAGCCACTAGTGGTTAGACTCAACTTTTATGGTATCACATGTTAACATCTGGAATTCAAATCTCATGCCTACCAGTGGCTGCCACTTGCCAGTACAGAGCCTTGTTCAGACCAAACATTGTATAAATATGTCATATAATAAAAACAGTACTTGTTTTTTGACTTGAAAAAAAAAAATTTTCGGAATGTGCTATCAGAATACTATCACACTATTTGTTATCAATTAAAGTTGGATACAACCTGTTGACCGTACTTCAGACCACTCGAAATTCCTCAAATAACAAATCAAATATCATTAACACTCTCTAATAGTGGCCAGAGATTTTACTTTTGTATATACATGGCATAGTATGTACTTCGGATACAAAATTTCAATTGCGAAACATCGGAAAAACAAATTTTATAAGCGCAAATTTAGTAACAAGTTAAAATACTTATACAATTTTAATTTTTTTTTTCAAAAAAGTCACAATTTCGAATTCTGCATCTTTACAATTACATCATATATTTACAACCATTATCTGACATAACATTATCCAAATTTAAATTTTATCAATACCAATAATGACTAGATTCAAAGTTGCAATTACGGCATGCAGTCAATGTTGCATTACACACAAATAAACATATACAATATCTAAATTAGAATTGGAGTCGGATTACCATACTCTCTATTAAAAAATCAATTTGTGATTAGGATTTGGATAAATTTCAGATTCAGTTTTCATTTTCAAAGCACAGCAGATCAATTAATGCAGTCAAAAATAAACTCATTATTTAAAAAGGTGAGATGACAGAGGGAATTAAATTGTAACTATGACAGTTCTGATCAAAACGTACAAAGTAAAAGTATATACGGTAACTTATAAATTATTATAACGCATATGCCAGACAGCTAAATAAAATTTGTTTGTAAATAGCATTTATGATTATCCAAAACCAGCTAGCAATTCTGAGCCAAGTTTGTGATAAAACAAGTGTCAATGATAAAATAATATTTAGGTAATCTTCAATGTTTTTTAAAATCAAGACTTATATATAATCAAAGTCACATATGATATGATCAAATGAACATTGTATTCCATTGAAGCATTTGCTCTCAACTATTAGGTATTGTATTTACAATAGATTGACATAAATGTTGAACAAGTCAATATTGACATACAAAATATTCCAAGTATTATAATATTGTGTATTCTGCCCTTCAAAACAAGGCGTTTCCCCGTTCCCATCCATGATTATAAATCACCAATAAATCATCTTTAATTTAACTTGGCATAGAGATATTAAATGCACCCCAAGGCACATTCAATTCAGAACCCATAATTGCCTAGAGGCGATTTTTAATCGTGAGAAAGATGGCTCGAACTGAACGATTGATAATCAAATATACAAAGTAAATTCCCAATTTCTTCTATTTCTATCATTTATAACTGCAGATTTGTGAAAATTTTCCAATTGTATATAAGAGAAATGTGTGCAAGTACTCGAAGAAAAAAATACCTCATAATTAAAAATTAAAATAATCAAAAATTTGCATGAAATTCAATATCATATTGTTATTATAGAACCTCACACGATTGTAAATAGAAATAAATGTTGTTGAAATATTTCATTTCCAACTAGGAACTCCAGGGACAGTTCTAAGTCTGGAATTCTTACAGAATACTATTTGAATGTAGGTACTAAAATATACAACTGACAGAGACAAGAAATTGGATAGAAGTGATAGTTTAATTAAGAGAACAAGATTGCCACTATCCATATGCAAATTTATAGATGTTTCTGGATTTTAAACAATATATAAAACTAGTTAATATATTGCAGAATTAGGAATGCCTGAACAAGTCTTTATAAAAAAAAATGCAAGTATTTAATGGTTTTAACTTTCAGGATTTGCAAAAAAATTCAGTATTCTGACAATTATTGACAGAAACACAACCACTAATACTTGAATTATATTCAAATTACAAATACATTCCACGCTATTCCACTTACCATACGCCTCTGTGAAGTGCAAAATTGACAACAAAAAAATAATTAATTAGTGTTGGGAATAAAAGGAAACGAAGCAGGAGGGCATAACAGAAAAAATAAATTCTTAATAAAGCAAAGATAACAACAATAATGCAAATCACCATCTGTGACAAATGAAATGTAATAACTAATAAGGAAAGAAAGAAAAATTTAGAAAGAGAAATTTGAGCAAATCAGTGTGTAACAACAACAAGAAATCCAAAAATCTTAGTTTGAGATTGATAGTAAAAGTTCAAATTGCTGAAAATACTAAAAATACTGAATTCTATGCACACTGATCAGGGATGGCGAAAACTGAATAATCTGCTATTTCAAATAATATCCCTAATTGGAGAAATCATTGTACCAGTTAAACATAGATTGGATTTGTTTTCTATTTATTGTAGTTTACAGAAATTCAATGAAGAGCCATAGTGTAAGACTTAAATGTTCATAATGGTTATTATTCAAACGCTATTCTGAAATATTTCTAATCTAAAATCAAAAATTTGAAAAATTGAATAATATGATCATTTTTAAATCGATTCAAATTTGAGTCGTTTGGGAAATCATTGGACTAACACAATTTTCTTACATGAACTATCACATACGTCTATCTACCGGTAGTTATAATTCTCATCTTATTCAGCTAACAAAATAGAAATTGAAAATTTGAGTATAATACCAACCTCCATCCACATGAACTTCATTTATGATATAAGTTGGTTTTGTCAGCATTCTCATGTCAGGCCGAAACTTAGTTGACAACATTTCTACGACTTCTTTTGTTGATGAATTGCTGGATACGCGAATACACTTTGTCGCATATTTTCCGTTATTTGCCGAATCTTTATGGTAGAATCTCATTACTCCATGACATTCAAGTTTCTGAAATGATAATCGTATGCTTGATTGATTTCATTTCAAAACATCCCACAAAAACAGTGAAGGGCAAAGGCAAATAGCTCACGATATATCTGTAGTTTATCAAAACTACCGTAATCAGATCGATGAAATTTCCGTCTGTGGATTTGTCCAAACAACTCAATCCAGTCTAAAGAAACAAATTCACTGATTTGGACCCAGGTCCCAATCCCAAGTTCACCGCTTCACACAGGGTGTAATAAATTGGGTAAGTAATGCCAAACCAAAAAAGGGGTAAGTCGGTTAACTCTTTTTGCCTAGCAGTGGATGTTTCTGCAAATACTTGTTCACAGCAAAAGAAATCATAATATAAAAATGTGATGAAAACTTGAATATGTGACAAATTTATTAAAAGAGTACTAGTAAATTATAGCATATGAATTTGGTAATATATCTGGCTTATGATTATTTAAATTCAATCATGAAACCAGTAATAATTGAAAAGTTGTCAACCCTACTAAACAGAACACAATAAAACCATCAATACAAAACACAAGTAAAAGAGAGAAACGATGGTTTGTTCCAAAACAAAGAACAATAGTAAAACACTTGTTGAGTGTAGTGTTATCGCTTATTCTCAATGACCAATGATAAAAATTTCGTCTCATCAATACAGATAGGTATGGGCCATACATAAGAAGCAGGAGACATCTATAGATTATGCTTGATGAAGAGTCATTTCTAACTAAGAAAACAACAATAGATCTATATGTGATCACTGGAAGACAAAACATTACCAGGCTCGAAAGTGATTGGTGATTCAGGAAATAATGTTTTCCTGAATACTTCCTGTAATATTTCAAACAAGGGTGTGTCAACAACTTAGAAATTGGCTCCAAACCTCATTCAAAATATAGACCTAAATAACTTAGGTATCAAACACATTTAATCAATATTACTTTAAATCATTTCTCATTATGATGCAAAAATGCCTGATTTTTGCTGAAAATTAAAACCTTATCTTTCTACTTATGACAATCTTGTTACTTGCAATAAGTGTTATAACACACTTTCTAATAAAAATAAAATAATGAAAAGCATTGTTACTCTGCAAGTCAATTTGTGCACTCTATTTGTCAAACACATCAAACATGATACAATTTGGCATGTTGGCTATTACCTTATAAAATCATTTAATGGCTGCTCTTATATATACAATATTCTTGAAAACATTTTTAAATTTTAGCTCAACTAATCCGAAACTTACCTTCAATATTTTGCATTCACGTTTTAGGAACAACATGTTTTCTGATACCAAAAATGATCATCCACATTCTATATTAGCAAGTAACTAATTCAAACAAAAGTGCTGCCAATTTGAATTTAAATTTGCCTTACAGTAATCAAGTGAATCAAATAAAAATCCCAAATATGATATTACCTCGTCTGGAAGAGATATTGCGAATAAATCCAATCTACTTTCATTCCATTGTTTGATTATTGATGTAAGTCTCTTCCTTTCGTGGTCCAAACTTTTCTTATCCATGATAACTGTTGTAAATTTTCAACTCGAGTTATTGAAAAAAAATTCTACATTATTTTAACCTAATCAGCCATGCTGTAGATCATTTGTTGAAAAAAATACACATTTAAACAGAAAATTTTAAGAAAAAAAGATATCATGCTCCATTTCAACATATTATTGATGCACTCGTCTGGCTAGATACATTAGCAGGCTATGCGATGGCAACTTAAGTAAACTCACTCATGTAAATAACTTCACAGTGACGTAAGAAGGCCCTTTAAACCAGTGGTTCCCAACCTTTCTAACCTGGCGGGCCGGTGAAATTAAATTAAATGTACTTGCAGACCGGCAAAAAATTGAAATGACCCAAAGAATAACATATATTTGCCTAATATAATGCGCACTCAATCGGTCAGGGCACAGTCAGGCACTCAATACAGCAATATGCTTCTAAAGAAAAAGACACACTTTAAAACATTACACACAGAGAAAAACTATCAAATAATGTTGCGGCCAAAAATTGAAATGGATGAAACATAAATAATATCGTATATTTGCGTAATAAATGCTGGGCACCCATCATGCGTAAGAAAGGCACGCATAAAACATCTCACATAAAAAACATGTACATGCCAAATCATGTACAAACATAACTAACTCTAGTGAGAATTTTGCTGCTGTTTCGTTCTGAACATAGGATTGCAAACGAGGCCCCAAAAAGAAGTTTCTGCAATAGTAACTCTGCCACAGTGGGCAGCCGATTTTTTTGCTTCGTTTTAATTGAACCCAGAGGAGAGAGATCGCTCAAGTTAGTCAGTTCTTTATCGTCGACGCCGATGCCATTTTGGGCAATTGTATGTGTATTTGGCAAGCTCCATGACGTGATTGTGAGGTCGTAGTGACATTTTGGATGGCGTAGTCAGGTGGGGGTTAGTATTGACAAGTCAAAAAATTGTTATGCTACGCCCAATACGCACTAGAAATAGTCCATGTTAGGTACGAAACTACACATGACCCCCATTACCGGTACCGGTTGGTAAAAAGATAAATAGTTCATTTCAAAAAATTACACGATCTGACAATACAAACAAGTAAAAAATGAAGAATTCTGGAGAGCGAGCAAAACCTTTAAAAAAGTTTAAAACAAGATGAGTATCACTGTATCTTGTGCCCGCTGACAGGCTCACCAACACGCATTCACAAAAAATAACACAAACATTGTTAAACAAGGCTTGAGTCGGAAATATTCGCACAAAAATACAGATGGGAAACATGTAGGCCTAATGAAATCATATTCATATATTAAATTGCAGAATTGACTGGAATCAGCCCTAAATAAAACTTACAAGAGTCATTGGGTTGTCGGCTTATAGCCCAATACAGCGCTAAGATATTTATCATTAATAACCCTAGTTATGGTACCGGTACCTAACTCTGTGTACAGGCTGACAGGTGTAACAACGATCAGGGAGTCGAATCTCAAGATAGGATAGGATTTACATATTCATCCCGGGGGAGAGGAAAGCCGATAAGACGGCTTATCCATATGAATTCTGTAATTGCGTCTCGGCCCACGGTTCGAAATTATTATACCGTAATCTACATAATACCTATTGCAACTACATTTTCAATTTCTTAATTATCATAATGTCAGAGTAGTCATTTCCTATGTTACCGTACTAAATATGAAAATATACTACTATTCCTCAACTTCAACAGTTCATGAGATTTGGTTGAAGAACTGAATACAGAATATTTGACTTAACGCGCATGCGCGTAGACATTCCGTTAGAGGGCATAGAAGCACCAAAACAAACCCGGTAGTTTGTGTCGGTTTACAGAATTTGGAATTTTTAATATTTGCCTCGCTAAGATAATCTCTACTGTGACGTATCTTTTTCTTTTATTCCTCTTAATTTTATTTCTCGAAGCCCAAAAATCATAGTGAAAACATCGAAATGAAGATGGCCCGATTCAAAAACTTCCATGTGTCTACAAAACTAACACAACGTATCGTTGATGCAATGTTGGTCAACCGATTAGCTGCGAATAGGAACAGGCACTTTAAGTTGATTAATTCTATATGATATGTATTTTTCACTTACGACTTTTGAATGTTCTGGGCCCGAGAGACCCTGTTGAAATCACCATATTTGCACGGGTTTGGTTTATCCGATTGCGAACAATAATAAACTGAAACTGTAGCCTATTTCTAATAGGAATCAGGTATTTCATGCAACCCTGTCGCAATAAACCACGGGGGAAGAAGCACCGTGATGGAGACGCTCAATGGTATTTGGCGTTTTGAAAGTGATGTATTGTAAATATGTGAAGCCTGTCATGTAAATGCATCTTACGTAATTACATACATACATTTTCTGAAATGAAGGAACCTGTTGTTGGTGAGTTGGATTGAAAAGAGAACCAGTTCTTAAAAGTTTGAATCCCAGCGCTTGGATCCCAAAAAAGTCATCCAAATACCAATTACCGTGTAAGCAGGGGGCAGTTTGGAATCAAGCGAGCAATGATTCGCGTTCGTATCCCTACAACATTATGAGTATACTGTATACTATATAATGTGACTTCCCGGGTGAATTATAAGATGTCTTTATTAAAATGACTGTAATAACTCTTGAAAAGATAAATTACAATCGATACAACTTGTTGGACTACAGCATTTATAAGAACGCAAGGATAAGGTATAAAAAACTTCAAGCGACCCCGGTCAAATTCAACTACTTACATAAATTTTGACTCCGAAACAAGGCTAAATATGTTACTACTTTTAGTTCCACCTTGCGAGATGTGCGAAGTCAAATCATTTAAGCTACTACTCTCATATTTTCAAAAAAGGAATGAAACTTGTAAAGCTTTGTGAATTTTATTTGCTGTACATTAATATTGAAGTACAGGTATTAGTGTATTTCAGATTTTATATTTAGACACGAACAATGAAGTCATCCCATGCACATCTTATTTATTTTAAATCCTTCTTCAAAGGATTTATAACGTTTCAGTTATTTTTCTTCATCTACTTGGGTTCATAACGTAATATTTGCATATGCAAGTCGTGGCATTCTCCTTTTATTAGATCCATTCTCAAGCAGGGCTGCATATGCCAAGTTAATACGTATAAACGAACATAACGACATGTTACTGGCTCAGGAAACTTATTGATCACTTTTGTGTTCTTGTCGTTGTTTCCCATAAATATCTAAAAAGAAAATTGAAAGATGTGGATTTAAGTTAGTTTTTCTTCGTTTTTACGGTATTCGAGAAAACCAGATAGCAAGAGCTCAAATATGTCAAATTAGACCGTATGTGATATGAAGGTGTGCCTGTGAAATTTGAAAACAATAAATGTGTGGAGTAACATATCGGGCCTGTATATCTGGCCCATTAGTTGCGAAAAAAAGGGAGGCAAATTTTCATCTCGTTAACGTTTTATAACAAACGGATATAATGGATCCAACAATACCTATAATTTATCAAAAATTGCTCACATACCTTAGTCTCGCCACTTTGTTGGATGAATTTCATGTTGGTTGTCGTATTTCCACAAGACATTTTGTATGTCTTTACCCAATGCTCATCCTTCCATTTAGTGTTGGGTCGTCCTTGAGTCACTACGCCCCCTACCGACTTTGGCCTTTCCAGGTCTATCTGAATCCATCTTTGGCTGTCTGACGCTATAAAATGAAGTCAGTGATAAATTACACTACATCGATCATGAAAAGTTGCTACTACGCTTCATCCTAAATAATAGAATAATAATAATAAATTGTAGTACATGTATGAAACTTACAAACAAAATTTTTACTCTGCAGAGACATGTCATGGACATTGGCCGATAAATTTATACCATGACGCCAACAAATATTTATAATATATATGAACGTTTTGAAGTATTTTATTTGAAAGCCTTATTTACGAAATATTTTCCATAACTGTAGTTTCATCAGATAACCTACATTGTTTTGATGCGGCGGGGTGAAGAAAAAGACGGGAGAGTGTGTTTATATATATTTGATTTGTCCGCGAGGACAGATATATATAAATTATTTTTAAATTCAGCAAAAACTTAACGTTGAAAAATGCAGTTTTTGAACTTTTTGCTATTCATAGTTGGCAATATGCTTTTGGGACTTCTATTCCTATCCCATATACAAGGATGTGATTCAGACAACAACTTAACATCTATGATACGAGAAATATACAAACGTCATATACAAACTATGTTTGATTATTATTTAATCTAATTGAAAGCAGCCAAAACTTACTCCCGTGTGGACACCATGCGCCAATGGGATTTCTTCTATCAGTACTTCCCAGAAGGTTCCTTTCGTCGATTGCATCGAGTCGTCCAAAATAAGGAGCATGGGCGATATCGTAGTGAGAAGACGCCGTGATAGAAGTACTAGGAATCTCAAAATTTTTCATCCCCATGGAGCAATAAAGAACTAAATATAAAATATCAATTGCTTTTATAAATTATACAGTTAGTATAATATTATGCTCTAACTAACAGATCATGATCTGAGTGTGCGTAAAAATATGTCACTCAACCATATGTTTAATACAACATAACGGTAACAAAATGTAATATGTATATATATATATGTTAGGTATGCGTTTTGCACAAATTGGTATGTCGGGTCCGGCTCTTTTGGTCGGGTTCAGGATCGAAAACAGAATATTTCAGCCATCGGTATTGCCGATATATAAAGTAAAGAGTGACCAGTCATTTAAAAGCGTTATTTATTTGATAGGGTTTAAGCGTACTTTAAATCTTTCAATAAGGTATGTTTCTGTCCAAAAATGTACGGGAGAACTTGAATTTAGAATTGCGTAGAACTACAGTAATATTTGGGTCAATATTACGTGATATTTTTATCAAGACTGAAATTTATTGGCAATTTTCTTCTGAGCGAATTACCACGCAAGTGCAAAAGTACCGTTATTACATTCCACGTTACCATGTAATTTTGTTGCGAGATAAGAAGATAATGGCATGGATTTTCAAACCCGGTTATGAATTTAGATTTCCTTGGGTTAAAGGTGTAATAACCTCACATTGCCTTGTCATAGTAGAATTGATTCACGCGCGTTGTAATGTTTAAAACGATAGTTCTCGTTGAAATTAGTATTTTGAGTGTCATTTTTTTTTTAAAAAGAAATTGTTCGTGACTTATGGATGGATATAATTACGAAAATTTTATTTCAAACACGTACAAAAGAGCCGGAAAACAATTTACGTTTTACACAAAATTACGTCGATAAAATTGGCACAATTGGTCTAATGTTTGGGATTTACGCAACAGTAATTCTTCAGTCAACAGAAAGTAATTTTCTGAAATTGCATGCCGTGGGATTATGTCCGAAGTACCGGCAAACGTAACTATATTACCACGAGTAAAACAATGTCTATTTTTAATAGTTGAGTTTTAGATCGATGCTTTTTTTAAACAAATTGGTTCTATTTTCTTCATTGGAAAGAGCTTCATATTTTCGAACTGAACAAGTTCTTAGAAAATCGCAGTGAGAACTTGCTTATGTTTTGAAATGACCCAATTTTCCCTATTATGTCCACAACTTGTTTCAAACTGTGTTAACGTGCTTTTGGGGCACTGACTTTAACATCTCAAAGCTTTATTGTCAGCTCGGTTGGGTCCTATATATATGAGCTATCCACCTTCGTCCTTGAACTTATTTAAGTAAACATATAGCGCTCATTTTTTATATTAGAAGACGCTGACTAGATAAAATATCAGACGTCTAAAAGACTATTCGTTTGAATTTGTGAAGCAGACCCAAAAAAGGTCGAATAATCTTACAGAAAAGTCGTTAATCATTTATCATATCTGCTACACAAAATGGTGAATGTAGCATTATGATGTGAATAAAAAGTTCGTTTTTTTCAATTCACACTCAATATAGAATCTTCGACGAGCCCGAATCCCGCCTCCAATTCTGCCAAACGCAATTTTATGAAAAATGAACGCAATAACAACATAGAAAACCAGTGAGCGTGGTAGCCAGCATCTCAAGAACTTACTCATGCAAGGTTAGCTGACCGCAAAGTCACGACCACCCCGAAGGGTGATATTATAATAACACAATAGTCAATGTTGAAAACGTTGTTCTGTAATTGTGAAAGCGTTTACCAGGACCTTACTTCTAGACTAGGCTACCATGAGCATTATTTTTAATGTATGTATTTGCTCTGCAATCTTCTCCCGTCACTTTGTCATTAAAAGTCGTATAACATGGGAATGAGATTTTATCAAAAAGCTTTCTAATCTTTTTCAAATATTTAATCGTTGTTCAAATTTACATGAAGAATTGAATTGATCTTTCACCAATACAAAATCGTTTATCTTATTTTATTGGATTTTGGCTGCAACCCGCTTGTCATGGCAAGTATCGGTTAGTCAAAGTCAGCATTGCTCATATTTTACATCATCTAATATTTAACTATATATCAGGCTAAATATTGGATAATTAAAATCTGTATATTTTTTATTTTTGAACAATTTTGTGTGTATTTGGCGTCAACGAGGACTGTCTATAAAACGTCGATGTCGCGTTGAGATAATGCCGCAAACACCATCAGCTTTTATCTCAAATACCACTATTCAACTCCATAGATTTATTTTTTCGACAATGGAAAACACTTGAAGAAATCTGTGCAGAATCATTGAACGAAGTACAAATATATTTTACTTTCTTGCTGTTTACTTACCTACTTGAACCCAGCCCAAGCCGGGCGGTTATATTTGTATTTTAGTTTAACATCCTTTTTATATTGAGAATTTTCACATCGAATTAAAAAGTACAAGTTGAATGTTAATTATTTACGGCAAACTATTTGACTTCACCTAGAGCAAATCCAGTATGCTATATATGTAGAAATACATTTTTTTAGGAAATTAAAATATTGATCATGTCATATGCGATGACGTCAATAACATAGTTGTATATTCACTTATGAATTTTCGTGTTCATTCCTCGTCTAAAGTATGCAATATGTACATTAATGATTAAAGCACTGGCAATGACAATGAATATGAGCCACTTACAACAAAATTAAATAAAAATAAAAAAATAAATCTAAAAATATTTATAATTTTATATCCATAATATATTGCAACCATTACTTACGTGGGGGAATCAACTGCATCTGTTTTTTCAATTTTTCTGAAATAGAAATTTTGGTGAGAAATTTTATGAGTAATGGTCTAAAATTGTCAAAACTGAGGACTTTTATAAATGAAGAAGTCAAAATTGTTGACCTCTATAAAATATTGGGTTCATGACCTTTTCTATTGTTTCTCAATTACTCGATTCAGACAAATTGGAGCGGCGATATACCTGACACTCATAATTGCATGGGATAATTCGTGTTCGTATTACTGTGATAACTCTAAAGAAAATGTACTGGTATTTCACAGTAATTAGTGTAGTGCAGTTTTACTGGAATACACTCATTGCAATTATGTAGTAATTCAGCTATTTACGTGGCCAAATATTAGGCCGTTTCAAACATCATAGTCAAGATGATTATTATTAGTTTTTGAAATATGAAGCCATATTCACTGAATTTTTGACATTTTGACGCCATGGACTTGTAACACACTAGCGGAAATCTCTTGACAGTTTGATGTTTAGAATAAAATGTGATATCCACGTTAACTTTTTAAAGAAAAATATCATTTTCTGATTAAGCCACAAGCCATGTTGGTTATAAAAAGGGAAGAATATACCTTCTAATTTTCTCATTCTTTTTGCCATCGCCCGGTACATCAATTTATCTCGTCTGCTTCCACACGATAATTCGGGTTCCTGTCTTCCTGATCCACAGTTTTTTCCTGACTCACCTTTCTGTCCAGGGAGCCCATTCAGTCCGGGCAGGCCAACAGGACCCATTTCACCAGTTTCACCCTTGCAAACCGAAGGGTCACAAGGCTTGTTATTGGAAATGCCTTCGTTGTCAGACATTACCGCAGAGCAGAATTCATATACATTGACGTTGGTTACGTTGCCTCCGAAGACAACGCTTGCCAGGATTAGATTACTGATTAGCAATCTCAAGAATTGCATTGTGTGCTATTAAGGTATTTCCTAACCTAAATTAAACGAAAAGTATTTAGTAGTTTTAACTCAAACTGATTGTGGCAATAACTAATTATATTGCTTGAAGCTTAAACCAAAACCAAAGAGTTTTTCGTATAGATAAATGGCAAATCGGCTGAACATTGGTGCATGTTTGCCAGCAAGATAACCGTTTAGGTACCAACCAAGTTTCAGTCACAGAAATATCAATCTCCAACCCATTCCGTAATAATTTGAATTTTGTGTAAACTAAGAAAACAAACAATCTACACAATATCTTTATCCATCGTTGACGATGTTTGACTGTGTTTTTACAAAAGGAATTGCTTGAAATAATCCCAAAAATAAACATTATTTCCACATCTTTTTCCCAAGCACGACCAAACCATTTCCAAACAAGATAAGCCTAATCCACTATGAATTTTGCACCACCTTTTATGACTATATTTATGTGCGTTTATATTCTCGTGGCACGGGTGAAACGTTAGAAAAATATCGCAGGTTATTTTCTAAAAAATATATTTCACGTGAAGCGTTAAATCAATAAAATAAAGAAAACCAGATCAAAGATGATCAAGTATGAATTATGCATGGAACGAGTCTTTGAAATCATTTCTAATTATGGTCATTGCATAATCCATAAATGTTAAAAAAACGAAATGATTGTTCTTTGCAAAACATACTGCAATTATAACGGTTCGTCAAGATACCAAGATATTTTATTTTAGGCGTAGTTAAACTTTATAATTTTTTCAGGTATAGGTAACTATTTTTGGAATCTGATGAATCTGTCGAAAGTATTAATGTGTGTGAAATCCTTATCGCTTCCATAAAGCTTGATAAATTCTTTTGCCCTGAACTCCCAATTTTTTTTCCACTAAACTTTCCTCCCACTTGATTTTCTTTTGAGCAATCATTACTCTAAGTTGGTCAATTAATAGTTGGTTAAATGTAAATTAATTTGATAAATAATAATAATCTGTGACCCATTCTCATACCAGGGTTTTGTTTCAAAATTGAATTTTTTGATGTCACATTTGATTACAGCATAGCTTTATATAAGTATAATAAACCGATAAGCCGTTTTATATATCTACCTTCGAAAAATACAATTTCAGAACGGAATAAATAGCGGATTTGAATTAACTCAAGAATTCATGTCGATAATATTTTTGCAATGACTGAACTAATTTTTTCTTTTAAAGCCAACACGCCACCTGTACTTAAACTTCAAGATTTGCTATACCTTTTTGCTTTATTCTTACAAGCAATGATAATACTCGGAAATATTACGTTCCCATCAAGCACTTATATATACGTTCCTGTACACAAAATCTATAACAACCTTTTTTCTTAAAAATTATTTTTGTCTCGTTCAAAATGGTATTGCGCGACAAAATTTTTCTTGCAGTCAATGGTGTAATATCCCAATAAGCAATAATTAGATTTGAACAAAGGCGGAAAAACAGCGTAGGCGTTTCTCCTGATTACCATCAGCAGAACTTTTTGCGGAAAACCCCTAATCTCTTGTTAGAAGACAAGGTCAAACAGTTGAAAATGACAATTTGTTAAGTAATAACATAAGTAATTCTATTTACCGGTATATTAACTGTACAATGCTACAATCCGTTACAATTGATATGAAAGCACAAGACTTGCGCAGGGAATTGCTGTTCACAAATCTTACCATAATATATATAATTCAAATTGTGTCAATCGACATTTTGCTGATATTTTTGTTACCGTCAAATATTCAACTTCACTCTCTCAAAATAAATTACATTATTAGCGCAGTCAGAGCAATTTACAGATTGTGTGCCCAGGTAGCCATCTATTGTAATCCGAGTTTGGCGTACAATAACGAATATATATAAAAATATATTGTAAGGCATTTGAAAAAAAGCAGTAGCGAATTACATATGCCTATTAGTCGCATATTCTTTCTAACTTTGATTTGGAAAAGGTGGCGGTAAATTTTTTCAATGCTAGCAAAAGTATATATTCAGATCATCTTATAACTAATGTAGAAATTTATATATATATATATGTGTTATCAGGTTTCACATTAAGCATGTATAATTTTTGAAAATACCTGCCATAAGAACATATTACTTTTCATCTGACCTCAGTGCGGTCAGCGAATTACGGTCGGTGAGTATCAGTCCATCATAACTAATTTTATTTTGGTCGCTTTGACACGGAACAAAACAACAACAAACTATAGAGTTGCCTAGAAGGTGAACATAACTTAGCATTTAAATTAAAAAACGTTGCAGTGCCAGTCAAGAGAATGAATACGTTCCTTCACATGTTCTTTGTGTCTAATCACAGTGTTGGATACGGTCGGCGAGGGGACGGGCTAAAAGTAGGCAATTGAAAATTAGGCACGTTCTAGGCACTTCAGAAAGAGGGAAAATGGGTGTAATAACTTCTGAAACATAATGAATTAGCTAAAAATAGTCAAATTAGATGTGACTAATTTTCAAGTTCCTACGTTTAGTCCAGTGGTTGTCAAATTACGGCCCGTGGGCCGGATCCGGTGCACCGAAGATTTTTGTTTGTGTCTGTTGAAATTACGACTATAGTTTTCAGGGATATATATATAAATAAATATATAACGTACCATAAAATAAATAAATATCGTGATGTCTCACGCATTATCCGAACTTGAATATAATCTAGCCTACAAAACGAGCCACATATACCCAGGGGTGGATCAACCATTACGCTATATAAGCACGTGCCCAAGGCATCAAAGAAAGGGTGGCACCACAGAATTTTTGGTAACCCCGTAGTATGCGTACCAGGTTATGGTTAGGACATAATGTTATTTCGATTTTTCTTATTTTAGTTCTATTATGAGTTCGGGGACTGTCTGTGTTAGCCAAGTGAATATACCCCCTGCCCATAGGCAAAAGTCGCTTTATATAACTTGATGTAATGTAGGCGAACAAAAGTAGTTACCTCCATGTTGGTACACATACTTCTGGAGCGCCGAATTTTTTATAATAGAATTTTGAATTGCGCTTCAGTGTTTAATGAAATAATTAGAGTTGGTCTGACGACTCAAACCCCAATATTTTCTCCGTTAAACTAAATTTTGCTTTTTTCTCAAGTATCATATTTCCCTCTATAAATGTTTGGGGCATGCAAACTATTTCCAAAAAATATCATAATTTGGCCTTCAATCAATAATGAATCCTGAAACTCCATCTTTAATTTCAGATGACAATAGTTTTATTATTATAGGATAGGATTTTACATATTTATCCCGGGGGAGAGGAAAGCCGATAAGACGGCTTATCCATATGGCGAACCACGGCCTCTCGTCCAGTCACCATTCCAAGTCGGGTATATGGGATTAGTTTTACTGTATTGTTTGTTTTCGGAAGCATGGACTTGGTGGTGGAGGAAGCCGTAACCGACCAGCGGTTACGTGAACCACCCAACGACGGCGAGGAGTCCAGCAATCCTCTCGCACATAACCATCCCTGCATGGGATTCGAACCTGCGAACCCACGCAGAGTGATTAGAGGTGCGGTGGCGAGCGTATTCCTAACGCTTAGCTCGTTGAGCCACACCCCCGCGCCGCGCTGTATATTATTATTATTTCTTCTTATACATAGTGCACTAAAGTCTTAAGTGCTCAGGGTCTTTAAACTGCAAATGTCCTGATTAAGCTCAATTAACACTGTTATGCTTAGAGTGGTTGAGTGGGGTACAGCTACCGTACCGATATCGGTATTTCATTATAAATATTGAACGTCAAGGAGTAACGGTACACTACTACATTTCAAAATACTGGTGCAGTATGTGTGAAGATACAAATATCGGATTTAGTGGCGAATGACGCTTTTTTAAGTATTGAAGTTACAGTTAAATGCTATTCAAAACATATAACGACGGACCTTTTCAACTGTATTACTGTTAAAAAGTACCAGTCGTTTAACGTTTAAATGGCATTTTACCGTTACTTTTTGAAGTTACGATGAAATGCTACTTAGAATATTTCATGACTGACCGTTCTTAACGATAACCCTGTTAAAAAGCGCCAGTCGTTCAACGTTTAAATGGCATTTCGCAATGGCAGTTGAGTTACTTAGCTCGCTCATCGCTTCAGAAATGTGCTTTACAAAAGAATAAAAAAATTATAAAACATTGTTGTTGTTGTTGTTGTTGTTGAATATAATATAATTATATTTCTATATAATTCTGTCATAACGCTCGCTAAGGAGAAGTTGCAACTGCAAATTTACGAAAGCTATCCACTGACTATTAGACTGCATAAATTAGTTCTAGACTGCATAAAAATGAATACAAGAAGCATATTAAATATCAGTATCGGACTATCTTTGTTTGAGTCTTGTAAATCAAAAAATGGATGATTTTTTTAAAAAAAGGTAGTGAGAAAATATGACTCTAGTCTGGCCAAATGTGATTTCATTGAGGCAGGAAATGACTTTGAGCCAAAAACACAATATGTTGAAATTCAATGCTACGTTGCGCATGCGCTTGGATCCTATCAAGCCCCAACTTGTAAGTATGTATGTCAATTTGCCTCAAAAATGTAACAATATCTGTATAATAATTAAACAGTAAAACAGAGACGGGATACATGTTCAAGACCTTACTGGCCCGATACACAGATGTGCGACATGCAGCCCTAACAATCATAACAGCAGTTTAAGACTGTTGCGGTATAATAGGACAACAGACATGAAATAGGCTATACAAATAAAACTCTAGTAAAATGCACAAGACGAAGAAGTACGATACAACGACGATAGGTACAATATAGTTAGTTAGTTTATGGCATGTCCATGTCCCAGGTTCCGGTGTGAGAGGATGAAGATCGGGTATGGGTCGCTGGAGTGATATATTTTTACAATGAATCTCACGAAACGTCTTGGTCTTATAATATCCAATATGCAAGCTCAACTTTAGCATTAATGGTAAATTGCATGTGGATACCTACCTCTCTTTTCTCTTATACAGTAGTAGCTAGTAACACCTCATTGTGGGTCGCACAGGAAGAATGGCAATAAAAGTGAGTCGCGGACTGATAAAAGGTTGAAAGCACTGCAATAGATGTTTGTTGTAGCCTACATTAGCTGTTTCGATAATCTTTCTGCAAATAAACTGTTTTCATTCATAGTTTCACATAGAGCCGCCGGCCCACCAGTCGTTGGGCCCACCAAGCATCTGGAACCGGCATTTGTCCGTCTGGTCTGCGCGTTAGGTTGAAGAGAAATGATTCGTAAGTGACGGATAAGTTCTTTGACATCAATTTTTTTTAATTAGCCTATCTACCGATGTTTTTCGACTTCTTTCTATTCCACCTGTATCATAGTTAGGCATTGAGGTCTTTCCAAACCCTGAAATCAATTCAACATAATATGAGCTATTAACTAACACTATTTGTGTTTATTTATTTTTTTTTTACAACATGCCAATCTCATGCAAGATTTACCGAAATATACTCGTTTCATTTGATTCCCACTCCCCTTAACTTGAACTAGATATGGGTTCTCAAGTCATTGTTGTAGTTTAGTAGCTATGAACTTTGTATTATATATATACAGATATATATTGCAAATCTCAGCATTTGTCATGTTGAAAGTAACTTTTTTTATTACACACTTGAAATGACACTTCAACACCTAGTCACATTGTTTTTTTTTTGTTATATTGTGCAGTCCAGTGTGTCTGTACAGACGATAGAATATTATTCATCACGTTACAGCGTTACCGGTACCGTACGGTATTTCATATTCGAGTACCGGTACGGTACTGTGCGGCAGGTTAAACATCTGCTTCAATAGATTTATGTCATTTATACCTGTTCTTTCTTCATTGTCTCCCGTTGTCCGTCCACTACAACTGATGATTATCATAATTTGGTTGTGATAACTGAGCCACTACAAATTCCCGAATATTTCCCCATAACACGCTTTTATTCACTGCCTGTAAGCTACGAAACGGGGAATACCCCAAATTACTATCTGATGTATTGCGTGGCTCTCAGATACACCCTAGTGTCATGACGATTTCTCGTTAAAACCGTATTAGTATATATTTACGGCTAAACTATTCTATGCTATATTGATCTACTAAAATTATATGTTAATTAAATAGTTGAATCTTGGGTGCCGCTGCTAGATAACCAACTTTGGTTCCCCACGGCTTCCCTTCCCCAGTAAAATTATGTTCTTGAATTTTTGCTTATTTTTTGCATCATTTATTATTTTACTGGTTGGAAAAAATAAACTTGACTATGACTATATGACTATGACTATGATCACGGGTGTCGCTGCTGGATAACCGGCATTGATTTTTCGTGTGGTTTGTATGTGCATTGAGGTCAACATACGGTTTTGAAAGTTGATACGTACCGCGAACCGATATTTAGTTTAATCCGTATTCTGGTATCTGTACCGTATTGCCGAATCGTACTAATCTAAATTCAGAAATTAAAATTACGGTACATTTGTCACAAAACTGTGGAGTTGTGACCAGCAATCAAATAATTGATGACCTTTGTACCGGTACCGTAATGTTCTGAGCTTAATACTGTAATAACGCTGAATTTTTAAATTTAAAAGCCCAGCATTAAATTTGTGGGCTGGGTTAACACTGATGTACGGTACCGAGACCAGGGCTACTCAACTGGCGGATCTTTCGAGTAATAATTTGGACCGCAGCTACTTCTTGACATTATTTCATTTTGTAATGTAATACGTTTTCCGCTAAACCACTGAGGATAAAATTCTCATAACAATAGGCTATAATTTTTTCAGAGCATTGACTGCCTAGCATTGTCTAATCGTGGTTCGCCATATGAATAAGCCGTCTTATCGGCTTTCCTCTCCCCCGGGATAAATATGTAAATCCTATCCTATCCAGCAAGGTGTTAATGCTGTAATGGTGGCGTAAAAACTGAACTATTAGCGACCGCATCTGTTTGCTAAAATTTTTATGGACATTCAGACATTGTGGTTTTTCTTAATAAAAAATAAGTTCTTTCCGCAACTAGATATATTATTACGGTTGCTATGGCGGCGAATAACTTCAGATTTATATATATCTTTTCAGCAAAGTGGGCTCAGCTACAGAAGCCTTGTCATACTGGCAGCGAATCGCGATATTGAGTATTGCTCCTGTATTTTGTCAAACAAAACATTTGAAGTATTTTTTGCATAGTTAAAATATATTTTTACAATGACCGAACCTTGGTAATTTTCAAGTTTTGTGTAGCTGAGTTGTGAAAATAGTTGAGTAGCCCTGCTTTAGACTTAACTCATATGATTTCTTGAATAGCCTAGAGGTTCAAATATCAAATTGAGTTGTTGCTGAGTTCTGAAGTTTGTTTTCAGTATAAAACTATAATGGCTCAAGCGGAATGTGATTTGTGTAACCTTTTGCTGAAGAAATATTTTGGATCCATTGTGTCGAATGTTGGAAAATTTTTATGTAAAAATGGACGACAACCATTAGGTCAAATTATAATCAGCACAAAACTCAAACCATCGTTAGTAAAGAAATCACTATGTGTGCTAATTCAACACAAACTTGTGAGATTTTTTAAAAAGAAAAAGAGAATTGAATACATCTTTGATATGAAAATTGGATTGCGACTTTTACAAATTCCAAAAATAATTTACACAACAAAACTACTGTATGGTGATCCAGGAGAATTGATTATAGAAGAGATTCTTGTCAACGGAATTTCAACAATGGAGTCAACTTTAGAAACAGTTGTCAAAAGACTGCAGGAATCAACAGAAAAAGTAAATGAGAATGAAGTTAAAACTATTTTCGAGAATCTCACAAATGCGAGGTTTCTTTTAGTCGAACCTAATGTTGAAGATACTGGTGACGTGGACGCAGCTGAAAGTAGAGATAGCGATTCACAATTTCCGGCTGGGAATCGAAAAAGAAAATATTCTGGTAGTGAAAATGATGCTCCTCAGAAAAAGCGAACAAAAAATGCTTTCGGTACTTGCTATTCCATAAATTATGCTCGTTATTCTCAATATTTTCGCGATCAAAGTATCGTTGCAGGTGTAACACAAAAATTTAATGTTGCATGCGGGGAAATTGTAAGAACATTGTTAAGAATCAGTGAAGTAACAACTTCTGGTGACGCTGAGGTTACTCAACCAATATCCAGTAATGAAATTAAGCATGCGCTCCCTTCAAATATGAACTTATCTGTTGAATACATCGAGCAATATCTAAATATAATGAAGAATGACGAAGGCAACTTCGTACAAAAATCTGACGAAACCAGCAGCGGAACATACGCTGTTAATATAAAGAAATGCATCACAGCGATTTGTCATGCTAACGTTCTTTCTTATGTACAAGAAAGATTCGGAAGTAAATGCTGCAGAATTTTCAAACTTCTCATGTTAAAAAATCATATGGAACAGAAGCAAGTCGAGGATTTTGCTATGATTCCTTCAAAAGAAGCAAAAGAACTTTTATATCAAATGTGGGCGGAAAATTTGCTAGTCATGCAAGAAATTCCGAAAACTGCCGACCATGCACCTTCTCGCACATATTATCTTTTCAATGTGAATATAAAAAAAGTGGTTCGAACATTGTTATCTCGTTTAAATAAAATGTTAGTAAATCTTCTTGCTCGTCAACAGTTTGAAGTTAAAGGCAACAAAAGACTCCTTGAGAAACGGAAAAGAATTGATTCGATAAAAGCAACTTTACAACAAGCTGAAGAGGATCAGCTAGAGGAAATTGAAGAAATGTTGACACCTGCAGAACGAGACCATTTGCAAAAATTAGAACATTGTTGCAATAAACTAGGAAAAAGCCAAATTCAAGCCGAAAATACTGCTTTTCTGTATAATTCATTTTTGGGATCATAATCAGATTGGTGCTTTCTATATTCTATCAGTGACATAACTGTGTGTTATTTCATATTAGCCATTGTGTCTAAAATGTAATAATATTAGCACATATTTTTTGCAATTGCTCGAAAATTCAAGTTTCATAAGCTAATTTTGACAATTTTTCCTATGAAACCACTGCCTATTGTAGAAAACTAGAAATTGTACTAAAACCGATAACATTTCTTTTTCAAACAGAATAATCCAATAATTAATATCAATAACTGTACAATCTACCTTCAATTAAATCACACTACATCAGAAGAGTACAAGATGTCACAAGGTGAAAGCGTTGCAAAAAGGCGGCACGGAAAATGGAACATTGACATGACATTACGTAAAGGTGAAAGACAACAACAAGAACTGCCTAGTCCTCCTGGATATGGTTCTGATCGTCACCAAGCCAAAGAAACTGTACGAGGGGGAGGGGGGACAGACCAAGCATTGATCGATAAAAAGGGTTGGGATGTCGCTCTTGCCCCAATCAAAAGCCTTCCAATGAATGTTTTCCTCATGTATATGTCTGGAAACACAATTTCAATATTTCCAATTATGATGGTGGGAATGATGTTCTTTCGTCCAGTTCAAGCTTTAATGGGAATTAAAAACACAATGAAAATGTTGGAAAGAGCTCGGCAGTATTATCTACTCACACTTGTTTTTATGCTCGGAAATATTATGGCCATTGGTCTTGCAGTATATAAATGTCACAGTATGGGTCTCTTACCAACACATGAATCAGACTGGCTTGCATTTGTTAGTCCATTAGAAAGAAAGGAATACGTTTCAGGCGGTGTTGGAATATAGCGTTGGCGATAAAATACTGTCCCAGCAGAACAATCATATTGTCACGGGTATGGTTCGAAATGTGTGACATATTGTATAGCCTATACTTAAAGAGAAAGTGATAAATAAAATCATTGTAGTAAGAATATGATTATTCTTCATTATTAAATCGTAATAATGGAGTTCCCAAAATTCATTAAGTCATATCAAAAACACCATTTTATTTTGAATTGGCATGTCGTATGCTGCTCATTTTTATTTATTTAATACTTTCTGGAAAAATCAAATCCTTGAGTTTATTTTACCATGACCAGGATAATGGCAACAAATGCAATTGTATAATAAGCCAAAGTATAGTCGGTAAACACATCTTTCTCATCACCCACCAAAAAATTGAAATTTGCTTAATGTAGTGTTTTATTTTGATAACTAATTTGACAGTTTTTTAAATAAAATTTTTCGATATAATTCTGGTTGAGATAAACATGTTATATATAAACTGGAATTGATGGTTTCATCCATTTTAGTCATAAATGATTAAAAAAAGCAATGCATCATTTCTCTGGTGTAATAATGTTGTGTATGCTATACCAAATTACTATTTTTACAGTTGGTCTGAATAACTGGGTTTTAGCTAGCAATAAGCATATTGCAATTTATGAGTTCCATAGACTGCCATGATTTATGTAAGGATATTTATTTATTATTTGCAAAAAGTTGAAGATTTGATTCATCTTGGTTTTCCATTGAACTATCATAAGTTCGGGGGTCCATGCATGACTTTTTGTGATGTGCTTTTTTGGTACATGGTAATACAATTTTCACATTTGTTGCTCGGGAGTTCTAAATTTAGTCAATCTGTGCAATTTTTGATGAACATTTAACAACTGTCAAAATATAACCCATGTTAAAAGCTAAGAATATGATTACCATTGAATATTTTAATGAGACTATTTGCATAGATTTTTTGAATGCTGCTTCTATGTGTTTTGTCAGAATTTTGTATAAATGTTGTATTTAGATATAACGTTGTTTGCAATAATTTCTTAAATATTGTGTAAATAATCAATTTGTCAATTCAGGATGATATGAAAAGTATTATCAAAAAATGGAATTCATATAAATATAGATTTGTACCTTGGATTAAATTGAAAAACAAATCACTGCCTTCAGCAAGAGTAACGAACATTGGCTCCGATAAAATTATATCAGATGCTGAAGTTTTACAGCAAGTGACAAAAGCATTTAAAAATCTCGAGCGAAGTGAAGAGAAACTGGTTAAATCTCGTGGATTTTCCTTGGAAGTGCGAAAAAGTACACTCACTGGAGCTGGGAGAGGAGTATTTGTGAGACGTGGAGCTGTTAAAAAAGGAACCGTGGTTTCTTTCTACCCTGGAACAATTTATCTTCCATATGAGTCGATATTTTTTCAATCGATTGCCAACCCTTTCATTTTCAAGTGCTCTGACGGTATTCTGATTGACGGAAATAACAAAGGAATCTCTAAATTGATTTTCAAGTCGTGCGCAGAAAGAGACAGAGTTGGACCATATTTGACAGCTGATGTAACCTGGCTTAATCCGTACAAAAGTTCACTTAATAATATTGGACAAATTGTGAATAACCAAACGAGTGCTAATCCAGCAAATGTTTGTTACCAAGAGTTTGATTTTCCTGATGACTTTCCTTTAGAACTGAAAAAGTTTATTCCTCATGTGTTTTATCAAAGCCTTTGTGGGCGTCGTGAAATGAGAACAGTGGTCCTTGTTACTACTAGACATATTGAAAAAGGTGAAGAACTATTTTCATCTTACTACACTTTGATAAAGCAATGATTGCAACTCGAATGTTCAGTCGACGAGCATTGCCCATCGCCATGAGGAGAAGGGCAAAATTCCAATCAATGACTAATTCATATTCTGTCTCAACAGAGCCGCCTTCTAATGATTCTAAAAAAAACAAAAAACGACCTGAAATAGGTGGTGTTTGTTGCATGACTGGATGTGCGAATTGTGTTTGGATAAAGTATGCAGAAGAGTTGTTGGAGTATTATGGAGGTGTTAACGCTGGCAGGCAAGAAGTATTGAAAGCTATCGATGATGAGGTTGACGATCAGAGTTTAAAAGCATATCTCAAGTTTGAGATTGGTTTGCTGCTGAAGAGCAAGACTTGAATATGCATTTTATGATGTTTATCTGTTGTTGTTAAGAATAAAAAATGTTTATCAACTGTTCCAGATAATGTGTTATTAGTGTTGGGTCTCCCAATGGGTCAATAGTAAGCAAATCTCAAGTCCTCCAGGTCTCGTCGAAGCCCTGTCAAATTTTAGTGTTAGAAACTCACATTGCTGATGTTACCAGTGCAAGCATCCATACACACTTGAGTCATGTTGACAACGAGACATGAAACATTCCATTGTGAACTGAACCAATGTTAACTATTTCTTAGCATTCTCTCAGCTTATTTCTGTAACCATTTTCTAATACAGCACTAAACGACATGTTGAATCATCCTTTGTCATTTCGAAGAATTAGTAGAGTTCATTGACTTTGTTCAAATGGCAGTACTTTAAAGTCACTTTAGCAACCCAACACTGCTATTAAAGTTGTGGTTAGGCAGGGAAGAAAATTTTAACTCTAATTGGGCGCATGGCTCCAGCGACCTCTTGCACGTCTGATAATGCCACCCCATTACAGGGCGTTGCTTTGGTACAAATAGCAACTAGACTTCTTGCTGATTTACAATTGTGTCATAAAACATTGAATACACAATTTGGGTAAAAATGTTTCAAATTATTAAGAGGCTTATTATTATCGAGCCTTGTTGGGGTTATCAGTTTGATCCCTTCATCTTCCATCATGGTGCGTTATTGGGGGCATTACCAGTGGATGCTTTTCCCAAATTAATACCGTTTTCAAGTTGCTGGATGGGACTAACTTCAGGCCAGTGGACCCTCATTTGAAACATAATATGCTTCCTATACCCAGTACAATGTTTAATGTATACTCACTTTGCTAACACAGACATTCCCTGTAATAACTAAAACCTGATTCTGCATACATTCTAACCAGAACCGATGTTATAGTCAAACACATCAACTCAAAACACTGAAGCAAATATATTTGCTCATGTGAGAATAAGACAAAAAGCACACATTGGAACTTAATTTAAAGAATGAAAACATTTGATGTCTGTAATGCAATTCTAAAATGAGCATCATTGATTTCAACTTAATTCTCCAACATTTTTCTTCTTTAATCTAGATATAACTTTTCTGTCAATTACGAGTCCCAGTGAGACGGCAAGTAAATAATACAAACTACATTTGTAGAGTTTTGAAGCACTGTTACTGTTTCCTTTCCTGTTGAACAAAATTTGAAAATACAATTGTAACTGAAATTGAAGGACACAAAAATTTTACAATTCTTTTTAAATGTTTACCTGTAAAATTGAATAGATTCCTTCATCAACCAGGCATTGAAAGGAGCTGCCATTGCAACAAATGCCCATGAAGTAACCCCGGTGAATGGTGCGGCAAGAGATAACCCACAAAGTGCAAGAGAGTGACCCAAAACTACTGCTTTAGTGGCTTCAGGGTGAGAAAGGGGTAACATATGATAGGATCCTCTGGCATAGTCTCCTTTTCTCCTCCAAGCCAATGCGAAGAAATGTGGAAATTGCCAACAGTACAGAATTCCAGCCAGAATAAAAGCACCTGTTAAAATAAAAATGCCAGTATTTTATTTGTCAACCAATACATGTCCTCATCTCCATCGGGATAGTAATTATATCATATTCCAGAATTTTCTGCTCCAAATTCAAAAGTGCAATATAAACTTTTTATTGTGGTCATACCAGGATTCAGGGGGTTCGCACAAAACTGGGTACTCCTGTAGTGTGTGTACCAGGTTAGAGTTAGACCATAATTTCATTCCAAAGGATTTAGTTCCTTTATACAACTTGTAAAGTAGGAGAACAAAATCAGTCAGCTCAATATTGGTACACACACTTCTGGAGCGCCCAAAATTGTTCTTGATCTGACGACTACTGTTATATTTAGCATTTTGGAAGTTATGTACTATTAGATTTATGTATCGTAAAGCATGTCATACAAAAGAAGTTTACATAGCGACATACATTAGTAAATATAACATATAGCTGCAGGGGTGTAAGTTTGGCATGGTTTTCTGAAATTAAGATCCTGTTAAACATTGCCTATAATTTTGAACGCCACCAGTGCCACCACTGGTTGTATCACGACTCTAGACAAGAAAACACTGAAATTTATGAGATACTGTTTTGGGATCAGCTACATATAGCCTAATCATGGCTAAATTTAAAGATATTCATACCATATAGTATTTGTGTATTCTTCAACTCTAATTTTGATAAAATGATAATAAATAATATTTCAAATGTAGCTTTTCTAAATAGTAACATATTGAAAATTATAACTCCTATAACCTGGATCTAATGACCCTGTTGCAGCTGTCCATCCCATAATAGGAGGAATTGCACCAACAATAGATCCGGCCCAAGTATTCAACCAATGTCTTCTTTTTAATGGAGTGTATATTGCAGCATACAATATAATATTAGAAAGACCAAGCGCTGCTGTAAGACCATTGACACCTGAAAACAGACGGAATAGTCACTCATCAGTTATGGTAAATTGCACATTGCTGTATATAGTTAAACAAAAGGAATACTATGTCATACCATAATATAAGCAAGACACTCCAGCTATAGCAGATGAAATCCCGAATATAGTTGCATGGAGAGGAGATATAACATTGCGAACTAGAGGACGATTCTTTGTTCTGTCCATTTGTGCATCATATGGCACTTCTGCAATCTAGAAAAATATTAATACAACTCAGAATACTGTTTGAAGCTGCAGTATGCAAACATGCCACACTTGAGCACTTTATTATGCCAGCTACAAAATGCATTAAACTTTGGCAAACTTCAACAATTACAGATTATAAATAAAAAAAAAATAACATAAAGAAGCAACAAAGATGAATGAAACGTACTTGATTGAAGGTATTCGCTGCACATGAGCAAAGTAGAGTACCCATAGTGGCAAAAAAAAATAAATGATGATCAAAAGTGACGGGAGCAAGACAGTATCCTGCATCAGCAGTCATGACAACAAACACTAAAAACAGAGTCCGTGTGTTATTTTTATTAACAAAAAAGCAGGTAACCATTGCATAAGTATGTCCTCCTCAAATCCTGTACGTGGATGTTTGCACAGCGGTCGGAATTCTGTCGGTACCAAATTGCAATCTTTCATTTCAAAGTCCAAATTTCGAACTAAAACTCAGCACTCATTTTAGTGCTTTAACAGTATATTAAAGCAAGTTTACAAACACCATGGTTTTTATTATCAAAATATAATTTCCTTGGAGCCGAACTCAAAAATGATTTCAACTCCAAAACCCTCCTCAAATCTATATTCAAGCTATCTATCTGGAACATTAGCTATTCTCTAAACAATAATAAAATCTTCCTATACCCTTTGATTAAATGATCATGAGAGTAAATGCATAGGCTACCCCAGGCAATTGCTGAACTGAATGTTCAAATTACTAAAGTATACGAAGAACACTTACATGTTAAATACCATTTTGAAAGAGACATATATATCTTGGGATACTGGTGCCATTTTGTGTCTATCTTTACCCAGGTTGAACCTTGTAACTCAGGAACATGTTCATTCTTTAAAGGTTTCGAAATGACATCATTTACTGTTGGGAAGATAACAGTACTTGTGTCTATCTTTTTAACTCTATCAGATTTCAAGTTCTTTGTCTCAAATGTTTCATCATAGTGGAATCTAATGAGTGTTTTATTGAGAGTTGAGGTTTGAGATATTGAAGTACATTTTGAAGTTGGGTGTAAAATGCTGAGAGATGCAAACTGAAGTCTGCCGATATTACAACATCGTTTTCCAAGATGAGAAACACGAAAAATCATCATTTATGCCGCAGTGTTATCATATTAAACATAGTTCACATTGTTTGAATGGATGATTGAAGAAGTACTATAGAAGTAAATACTACTAACTCTATAGAAATAAAAAAGAAAAGTCAAAATAGGTTAGCACAAATTGTCCGAGGATCAGTTGACTAATAAAAGAAAAAAGTGAGTGCTACCAAAGACCTCAAGTGAGTAATAGCGTGAGGCCCCAAGTAACCCTCGCGCTATAGCACAGCTTGAGGTAGATCTCACGGCACTCACGGCATAGTATGGCAGACCACAAATTATAGTAGCACTGAGAAATGAATTTGGTTTCATAAAATTATTTATTTCTTGTGTGATGAAATCAAGTATCCTAGTCAGGGATGCCCAAAACAGTTTGAATATCGTACAACGTTTGACATAAATTCGTGTTTATAAGAATTTTCAAAACCTGCCTTCATGAATATATATATATCCATTTATAATGCATTCCCCCAATAAATATCTTATTTGAATTTTAAGTATTCTATAAACAGATAAAAGATATGATTGTCCACTGAAAATTCTTAAACAACCTAGATAAACAAATCCAAGTACAATAAAAAACCTATACTATTGTAAGTTTTCTCATGGGAACATCACTAAAGAAATTTGATGAATATATATTGGACAAGGTCATGCCAGTACAACAAAAGAACATATAAATAGCAAATGCCTAACGCTATCAAGGCTTACAGGTACTAAATATTCGTCCTAAATTTATACAGTACAACTGTTATTTTAGTTCAGATTCAAGATGATGGCACTTTGAAGTTATTGGACACGTTTAGTGGCCATAACAATCGTTTCAAAATTTTGTTGTTATTGTTATTTTCTTTCGTCATTATCTATGAAAAAAAAAAAAATTCTCTCCGAATACTGGACCAATTGCTTTGAAATTTTCAGTGGTGAAAGATAAAATTTTTCTCCAGAAGGCTATTACTTTTTTTTTTCGCTATTAAGTCATCAAAATTATTGCCATTGGGTGGCGCTACGTGTCCATATATTTGAGCATAGCTCTCTTGTTTTTTCATTCAATAGTACATTATCACTTTCCCCACAAACCCTGACTGAACCAACCCATTGGCCTATTACGATCAATAGTCAAAACTTGTTTGTTTTCTTCAAAATTAAATCGTCCCTTTTCATCTTTATATTGAACGACAGTTTCTTCGCTCAAGTTCAATCCACTCTCGTTGAGTTTCTTTCGAACGAGATGAGTTTCATATCGAGTCTGGTCATAGCAAGATTCACATAAATGATATTTCTTATGATACCCTCCGCAACTGTCACATGATACAATCATATGACGAGATCTAATGTATTTACTCCATCTTCTAAGATCTCGCTTTTCTTTTTTGCGTCTTTCATAACTAGGCTTATGTTTAGGGCATCCACCCAAACCACCTGCTAATAAAATACCATCCCAGGATAAAGGATCTTCCATTTCTTGAGTGTTATTATCAAACATAAATCCTTCAGGTGAAGCTAAGACAGTTCTAGGGTAATTGCTACTTGCAAGTCCAGTTGCCTTGATAATAATATCCTCCACAGCTACTCTTGCACATTTTTGTAGTGCTGAAATGAGTTGGAGCAAAGATGTCATCACAGTGCTTTATTTCTGTATTCCAAATGCAGTGAAGGATCCCAAAATTCCGAAATACTTATTGTTTGAAACTGTCAGCCAATATGCACCTTAAAAAAAAATTGAAAACAGATGCATTTCAGAAATACGTAGAAAACAATCTTTATGAGTTCGCACTATCAAATACCAACATTCAAATTTATTCAGATAAGTTGTCATTTTCATTCCAGGTGAAGGGAAAGCCAGTTTGCTCATATGGCAGTATGGATAAGATTTACCTATTTATCCCGGAGAAGAGGAAAGTCAATAAGACGACTTAACCATGGACCTATGGCGAACCACAGCATCTTGTCCGGTTACCATTCCATGTCGGGTATGGAATTAGTTAGTTATTTGTTTTGGGAAGCATGGACTTGATGGTGGAGGAACCGTAACCGACCAGCGGTTATGTGAACCACTCTATTTCGGCGAGGAGTCCAGCAATCCTCTCCCACATAATCATCCCCACATGGGATTTGAACCTGCGAACACACACAGAGTAATTAGATGTGCGGTTGCGAGCGTATTCCTAATGCTTAGCACGATGAGCCACACCGCCATATGGCTGTATGGCGACCCACAGCGAATACAAGCTTGGACTGCTCGACTGACTGTACAAAAGTTCTGATTGTGATATTTGAAAATTGACAATGCACGTTTACATTTTTGTGTGGATGTTATGGCCGATTTTATAGCAATCGATAGTTTTTTTTTATTTTCATGCATGAAACATCAGCATACGTTTGCACATTTTCATTGAGAAATATTTTTTTGGTCGTTTCCGTCTGTATGGTACCTACCGTACATGTTGTCTCACTCATCACATGCACGGGCGCTATTCAGTTCACTATTTTGTTTGCAAGTAGATTGCACCCCACGCGAGGAGTGCAGTACCGGTATTCCTAAAACGCTTAGCCCGTTGAGCCACACCGCCGCGCCATTCATAACTAACGCAGTACCGGTACCGATAACGCTCAGCGCCACACCGCCCTAGATAGGATTATTTCACTTTCCATTTCAGGTTCACAAAGAGTGTCCTAAAAAAGCTACGTTTTATTTCGATGATCTGCATAACCTTGATAACGTGGTTCGCCCTACATTCTGATATTTGAACAATATGTTGATCCTTCTATATGATTTCCGGAAGTTGGAGTGTTCCCAAAGATGAAAAATTAAAAAAAAACAGTAAAAGGCTGAACACTAAAAGGAAGAAGTGGATGAAATTTCTTCCGACGTGTAGTGAGGTGGTTGGAAACATTAAAAAGCTGAAACCTAAAAAGAAGAAGTGGATGAAATTTCTTCTGACGAATATTGAGGGGGTTGAAAACACTAAAAAGCCGAACACTAAAAAGAAGAAGTGGATGAAATTTCTTCCGACGAATAATGAGGTGGTTGGAAACATTAAAAAGCTGAAACCCAAAAAGAAGAAGTGGATTGGATTTCTTCTGACGAAAATTGAGGTGGTTGAAAACACTAAAAACACTAAAATCATGAACTCATTTTCTTAAAGTGCAATTGTGTTTATGTGTTATATCGTGTGGATAAAAGTGATGTTTTTATTAATAAAAAAAAATAAATAAAAAATAAAAAAAAAAAACACTAAAAAGCCGAACACTAAAAAGAAGAAGTGGATGAAATTTCTTCCGACGAATAATGCGGTGGTTGAAATAAAACACTAAAAAGCTGAACACTAAAAAGAAGAAGTGGATGACATTTCTTCCGACGAATATTGAGGTGGTTGGAAACGTTAAAAAGCTGAAACCTAAAAAGAAGAAGTGGATGAAATTTCTTCTGACGAATAATGAGGTGGTTGAAAACACTAAAAAGCCGAACACTAAAAAGAAGAAGTGGATGAAATTTCTTCTGACGAATAATGAGGTGGTTGAAAACACTAAGAAGAAGTGGATGTAATTTCTTCCGACGAATAATGAGGTGGTTGAAAACACTAAAAAGCCCGTGCTCAACCATTTATTTCAATCCATACCTCGACTCACTATATTCTACTAGGATCGAGGTATGGATTGAAATAAATGGTTGAGCACGGGCGATTTATCATTTGTCTGGATCGGTACGTTACGGCTGTACAGTATGGGGCAGGCGCAGAAAGTGTTTCAGTAGTCTATATTCTACGAGACTATCCGTATCTCCCATTCTTTTTTGAGTGATTGCATGGGTACCGGTACGGTCAGACCGTACCGGCATCGCACGAGTGTCCAGACAACTGAGTAGTTAAGCAGCATTCTCCAATTAAATTACCTTCTACACGTAAAAACAAATTTTCGTATTCAATTCTATATTCTCTTATCATTATTATAAATATATATTACTTCTTGTTGAACTTGTAGCATGGAGAATTTGTAGAACATTTTCATATTGAATATTGCTCAAGAAAATCAGTAGTGAGTTGGAAACCCAGGGAGCACATTTGTGCGTGTAGGATTATGCCTGACAACGTTGGTCCCAAGCAGAAGCAAATTTTCTAAAAATAAAAACGTGTGACAACGATGGGCCACGAGGCGGACCATCGTTGTCAACCTTTTTATTTTCTTTTTATTCAATTATTATTTTTTTTTTTTTCAATTATTTTTATGTTTTATCACAACTATTTTTTTATTTTCAATTTTACGCGTGACAACGATGGGCCACCATACAGCAGGGACTAACCGCAGAGCTGACTTAGCGCCGCGCGATCCAATTTTTTTTAACCTGGTCCGGAATCCCAACTTAAACGGACTTGGCTCTACTTTGACAATAGCACCAGGCCTACTCACGCTACAAGTAATAAAATTACATTCTCAATCTTAAGTGTATTTAAAGTTTCTTCAATCTTAAGTGTATTTAAGGGTTTTCTCCGACTGCGGCCCGCGAGACATCCTCAAAAGATTTTGCGGCCCGCCAACCCCGCAACCTTGAACCACCCCATAACTACTTAGGTCGAATAAATTACGGTTTTCCCGATTAACTATTTCTTATAGAAAAATACACATTTTTATCCCGTTAAAACGCAATCCATACTGTCACGGACGGTAGTGTCCGTGTTTTTGTTGTATATATATTTATGTTTATATATATACTATTTTGCTGACCCCTTATTCGATGCTGTGTCAACATCCGAATTTGTATCATAGGATTCCGACGACCCAATTACTCGTGCTAGGGAAAACATATCTTCATAGATGATCTCTTGCTTTTCTTCGGCCGTTGGGGTGGAGACCTGCTATTTAAAGTTTTGAGTTGCCGTTTTCAATAAATAGCTAATCCGGAATTTTGGGTCTTCTGGCTTATTTACACACAGTAGTAAAAACAAACCGTGACAATGCGTCCAACCACGAATCGTGGAAACTTACCGAGGAATACCAGTATGTATTCCACCGTATTACAAATTCTCCTACATGATCAAGCTAAATCAATGGCGAAGCAGTTCAACAAATAAAAGCCTGAATGGTAAAGGTGCTAAGAATAAAAGTGACGTATTTTTTGCTCGAATGGCCTTATACGCCGAGCAAAGGAATACCAGGTTCACTAGCCCAAGGGTTAGTTGGTAGAAGAATACTGCTTCCAAAATCAGAATCTCTTCTTCTTACGAATATCAGTTCATATTTAAACACGAGTAATAACAAAACGATTCATTGAAATATTCAAAACAATTCACTTGACCTCCATACATCAATGCGCATGTAGGCTACATTGTTAAAACATTTTCGTACTGTTTTTCAGTAAAAAGACCATGTGACCTACCGGGATTATTGCAATCGCCACAGATGGAAAAATTGTGGATTAACAGTAGCATTTTAGCAGTCTGGGAAGAAGAGGCACTCAAATATTTATTGATTGTTTTTTTTAATATCGTAGAAACGTAGAGAATATTTTTAGAACTAACGCTGCACCGTCTGTACCGGAAACTATTCGGAGCTAATAGAAGCAAATTTTGGCTATTTTTTTAGTGTTTTCCAAATTTCATATACCGTATTTCCCGGCAAATAAGTCGCTTTTCTAGACCCAATTTTGGGGGATCGTCTTATTGAACAGGTAAGCTTAAAACATGATTTGTGTAAACCTTATATTTAGTTGATATTTTTTTATTATGTAGCCTACTCGATGACGCCAAGGGGTCTCCAATCATAATATTTAATTGACTTTGTACTGGCAGCTGTTATTTGTCATATTCTTTTTTAAAACTCCCTTGTAGTCATAACTGGCTGCCTATTCACGCCCGCCGTTATCGGTACTTTAATAAGAAACACGGCCACCGAGATAAACTGATTTATGACCCTTCTGTTTTGCAGATTCGACAGAAAACGACACAGACATGAAACACAGCTGTTAACAAATTCAGCTGTTAACACACCTTAATTCAGAGGTTATTTCAAAGTTCGGGTTAATAGGTTGTTCAAAATCATTGCCGCTTTCTATCTTAAAATTACCACTTTATTGTTGAAGAAATATTAATTCTGTGAGTATGATTCTACTAAACAAACATGATCTGGTTAAAATCATATAAAATTATATGTTATTCAAAATGATTGCCGCTTCTTATTAACTCAAAATTACCGCTCTATATTTAAGAATAGTTTATTCTAGGAGGATGAATCTACCAAATAAACATGATCTGGTTCTAACCATATGAAAAGATTAGCGCATAATAGTGTTTAACTGAACACCAGAGAAGCAAGTTTTCTACCCCGTAATATTGGGCGGCTATATGGAAAAACCCTCTTTTCAAGTGCTGAAAAGTGAAATTAGACATCGTCTTATTTGCCAGGTAGACTTATTAGCCGGGAAATACGGTATATATCAGAGAGAGTTGGATTTAACTTTATTAGCATTGCAGGTTGAAGATCATTTCATTTCATCGGAGCAAAATTGAATGATAATTCAATCTAGAAGGAAATAAATATAATGTGAATTTCACCAGTATTTTGGCATAACGCCAAGGGACGGGGTTACTTACTAGCCTCAACGGTTATTAGGCCTACATAGAGGCAAATATCGGCAGGACCAAATTTAGTTTTGTCAGATAGGAAAAACATTCCAATGACTTGCTATGATTAGTCGCAGGTACTGTGACTAATTAGATATGTTTTTCTTCTTTATGAACCATCGCAGTGAGTGATGCTAAAAAGAGATAGCCTATCATAAGAAATTAGATGCTGTTTGACGTTATTTGTACCATTCACTCTGACCATCTGGTAAACGACGAAGAAGTGTCTGTGACACAGTTATTTATTTACGCCTATTTATCTAATTTGTATCGAAATTTACAGGTATAAAATAATACCAAGTATCAGTAAATTGCAGAATAAGACAGATGCATCAGAAATGCTAATATTTATATTTCAGTACGGACCGACAAATTGTGCCTGTTCTGTTCTGGTTACTCAAAAATGTTCAAGATTGATACCTCAAACTGGATATTAGTTACCATAAATCTACGTATTTACCAATTATTTAGGATATTCAGTGTGTATAATATATAACTCCTGTTCACTTTCTCTTATTCGTGTGCACAATATATATTCTATGCAGATTGAAAGTTTTGAAATATGTCTAATTTTTTAAACCCGGAAGCTTGTAAAATATTTTCAATATTTCTTTTTTGTATTTTTGCAAATATTGTTGAGTCTGGAGCTACAAGAGGACAATATGAAGTCTTGCTGTACAGACAAAGTAAGTCCTTAATCTGGTGAAACTTGACATATCATATGTAGTGCAAATCTATTGATATATACATATAGAGGCAATTTGGTTGTTCCAATTTGCTGCTAGAATTGAAGCATTTTCGAAAAAATACGTAGATCATCTCATATGTCAGTATATGAAATTACTTATGTGCGCTGCGCAGTTTTGTTTTCCATGTGACTTGTATACATTTATCCAGATATGTCTTTTTGTAAAGTTATCCTCGAGTTGTTTTTCTTTTTTTATTCTAATATATGATTTTAGTAAAGTTGCGTTTGATGCGAAGTTTTTTAATAATTGAAAAGTCAAAATATGTTCACCATAACGACTATTGCATAGTCAATGTTTGTAGCAAATGTAGTTATTTTTTACACTGAACCAATAACAGCGCTTTAGGTGTTGCTGCTTGAAGACCTAACAAGGTCCCTCGCGACTCCTGTCGCACAACTAACATTATTATTATATTTATTTCCTGTACCAATTTTTTGTGCACTAGTCGTTTTTTGTGACGACGAGTAAATGATTGATTGATTCAGCAAACTGCAAGTCGCAGCGTGGTTTCATTTTTGTGCGAACGTTGACTTATAGCTTGTTAAAATGCTTCAAAAAAAGTAATTATTGACAGGTCTGGTATAGCATTTATCGTGAAGCTAATTCTAGGTTTAATTTTAGGTGATTTGTCGGTTACATTATTTTGGGATCTTGACTATTTGCATGAGAAGATTAATTTTTCTTTGCAATTGAGTGGAAATATATTTGATCAAAACTCCGAGCGTTTGGTTGGGTTTGGAATGTCCGATGGGGGCGCTGTCACAAATGCTGATTTTGTTATGATAAAGTATACAGAGGACGGAGTTTCGATTCAGGTAATTCTACGTTCACAGCTTATAATTTTGTTTGAAAAATAGCTTACTTACATTTGCATATTTTTAAACGCAGGATTCGTGGTCTGATAACAATGGCTTGATTCACGAGGATAATGCACAAGACTATTTTTTAACCGAATATGATGTCACTGCAGACCTAATTACTATCGACTTCTGGAGATATTTCCAGACATTTGACGAACACGACTACCAGCTGGATAATGGAACAACACATTTAGTTTGTTTAATTGAATCAAGTACAGGTTAGCTGTGTAACAAGATAAAACGGCCAACGTGAAGTGTGTTTTGAAATTATTCTTTATATTTCATGTCTACGCAAACGAATGAGATTTGGCGTATGCGACGTTATCTTATGACATTGCTAATGTAAAAGTGTGAAATGAACGTCTACCTCACTTGTCGGTTACAGCCAGAATAGCGCCAGGCAATTTGTTTTTGCCCAACTAGAAGTCATTGCGCGAGGTAAAACCAAGCAGCGGTAAAACGCGAGGTAAAACAGCGGTAAAACGCCAGAATAGCGCCAGGCAATTTGTTTTTGCCCAACTAGAAGTCATTGCGCGAGGTAAAACCAAGCAGCGGTGCAATTTCATTCATTTGGAAACAAGATTGCTTTATGAATCCCAATATAAACATATTTTACCGTGATTCAGACTATTTAAATGAGATATACTCGTGAACTAATTTACAATTGCTTACAGGTGACGGCACAGGTGTACCAGCAGACAACGAAATTTTACCCGACCTTTTGGAATTTTTACTTAAGTTGGCCTACAAAATCAATGCACGCAAAATGAAATCGAAATTTGTCGAAGCCCAGCTTCTGAAACCACAAATTCCAGGCTCCTACTTTCGTAACAAAGTTGACGGAGAAATACTCAATTTCAGCATTTTACAATCAAACTTAACTATACCCGCTGAGGAGACAACATATTGGTGGTCAATTCATATGTTGCCAGATTCAATAACAGAGAAAGTTCATGGAATTGGGTTTGGTGGAGATATTCCTGAAGATAGTATCAATTTAATTCATCATATCATTGTAAGTTCAATATATGAATATATTACGTTACAACGCTGCAATTGAGCCCAGACAAAATAGCCATCAGTGCATGTTGGGACGAAGTTTTATGTCTGGTAAGAAATTATGCTTGTACAATTTTTTTACTTCAGGTTTTTTCTTGTGATGCTAAAGATGGAAATGTTTCGGAATACAGCGGACCTTCTACAGCTATCAACATACCTGATGATGTCAAAAGGTGCGACCACGTGATGGCAGCTTGGGCCAAAGGAGCTGATGTATGTCAATAGAAAGATGTTTAATAATTTTATTTTTGATAAATATATATATGTATCAAAAATGGATGTGTGTTTTATGTAACAACGATTATACTGGTATGCCATAATAGATAATGTCAATATAAATAGTGTTGTTCAGATAGTGTTTCTCGTCAAAATAATTAGAATGAAACTTTTGCACTTACCCTTTTCTATGTTTTGTTCTGGATTGATTTTTGCTAAAATAATACTGAATTCGCAACGGAATTACAGATCATATGGTATCCGAAAGAAGCAGGGATACCTTTAGGAGAACCTAGTCAATCAAGATTCGCCAGATTAGAAGTTCACTACAACAACCCTGCAAGAATAAAAGGCGTCGTTGATAATTCTGGGATCAAATTTTTCTACACAAAAAACTTGAGAGAATATGATTCGGGAATCCTCGAAGTTGGGGTAACATATAACGACAACCTTGCGATACCCCCTGGTCGCAAAGATTTTACTCTGTCGGGGATATGTCCTCAGCAATGCACTTCTGAGGTATATAAATATATTTTTAATTCATGTTAACCAATGATTTGTCATTGATAAATAACAGTATCTTTGAAATTATCAGGGAATATCACAAGGTGGGATAAATATCTTTGCATCGCAATTACATACACATTTGGCCGGTAGAAAAGTATGGGTATCACATGTCAGGAATGGCAAACGACTGTCAGAAATAAACAGAGACGATCATTATTCAACTTTCTTTGAAGAAATAAGATATGTTTATCCTTCAATCAAAGTTATGTCTGTAAGTAGCTTAACGAGGCAAGTAGAACAAATAAGTAATTCAAAATTTCGACTTCGACTTCAATGAAAACTTCCCAAACTTCGACTCCACAGCCTGATTTATACCCCACAATGGATACACCATGCAGAGTTTCTCTCATTTTTGTGTGAGTATAAATGGTGCTGTAGTTCGTTACATATCCAATTTATATATTTCATCTTGTGGGTCTTATTCAAATATATTATTTACATAACAATATCCTCGGCTTGGCATTGGACTGAAACACGGCCTGATTTTAATAAAAGCCGTTTCTCCGTGAAATGGTCTATCTGTATGTTTTTCATGATATATAAATATAAACATATTAATCATTTTGTCGAGGAACATGTGTTCTTGCAAGCCGCATGACTTGCACAGTTATAAGGCTCTGTGCTTTTCAACATAATTTTCCTGGCTTACAAAATCTTGTTTATCCCCGTGTGATGTAATTGTATTTTGTTCATATTTTATATTTTCCACCAATTTCAGGGCGACTCTTTGGTAACATATTGTTCTTATGACACGTCAAATAAAGCGAATGTCACGTTTAGTGGATTAGGATTATTGGATGAAATGTGCGTCAGTTATCTTCATTATTTTCCGCTTACGTCGCTAGAGGTCTGCAAAAGTTCAACGTCAACACGGTCTCTGGCAAAGTTTTTCCTGTTAGAAAACTTGTAAGATATTTCTTTTCTATAGTTGCTTCAGTACTATTCAAATTTTTTATTTTATTTTTTATTGATGCTACTTCCAATATGTTCTGTTTTAATATTCTTTTAATCTACTGTTTTGTTTCGAGTACTTTCGGTTTGGCTGAACGTCTTGGAAGGTAGGTTCCTGCGTCTTTTTATTTACGCTTTAGCCATTTATAACCAAATTATGATTAACTATCGGCCGGATATTAACGAATTAATATTTTTCTAAATGAAGTATAAATTTGACATCGCGTTTATATTTCGATAATGTATCTGAAAATTTGTCCAGTGTGCGATGAGTAAAAAATTATACCCCGATGAAAATTATTAATGGCATAAATGTTTTAAATACGTGAAAACGCCCAACCTTTTTTTTTTAGATTGAAGGGCGTTCCAGAGCACATCAGTCTAGGTAATTACCCAGCAAATTTTATTCAAATGAACTGGGACAACGCAACCTCTGACGAATTAGAGAGACTGTACGAAACAGCTCGACAAGACGTGGAATGCCTGCAGCACAATGGATCTCCATTTGAAGGAGAATGGCATGATGTAACCGTAAATTAATCTTTCACAATACACCGACTTCCAGCCTTCTTATTATAGACTAAAACGACTCTTTTGTCCTTTATTTGAAAATTATTCTAAATAACATAGCACAAATAAAATATACCTGGAATAAACGGAGTATTCGATTAAAATGTTTGCACCATGGATTCTAGGTACAGACGTGTTTGAGGTTGTTGCGTTGTGATCCTCACAACAGTAACGTGATGTAGTATTATCAACATCTAGCGGTGTTTGGTGTTTATTAATGTAAGATCAAAGGCGCTCCAGAAGTGTATGTACCAATATGGAGGTAAATAATTTTGTTCGCCTACATTACAGCAAGTTGTGTAAAGGGATGGAAGCCTATGTGCAGGGGGTATATTCACTTGGCTAAAATAGACAGTACCGAACTCGTAATCGAACTAAAATAAAGAAAATCAGAACAAAATTATGGCCTAACCCTAACCTGGTACGAACACTGCGGGAGTACCAAATCAAATACTTGAAATGAGTTTTTGTCCCAAAGTATTCTTTTGATAAGATATACCATGTGCAATGGACGAAATTCGGTATGATAGCATGATCTTGCGTGCCCAGTAGTTTTCTTCGAATTCTACATGCCTGGACGCAAATACCTCAACACTGCCAAATTTTTTAATCTCTTTATGAATATTCCAGAATAATTTTTTATAAACCGATTCCACGGAAGTTTTTCTTCACAAGTTATGGTTGATTGATGCGAGACATCACGGGTGACTGAAATGCCCTGGTCACGTACCTGCATATTAGCAGCACGCATCCGAACGTGCCAAATCATTACGAACGTGCCATTATCATAGCAGCGAGCCGTCATTTTTAGGCAATTTACAACAATTTAATTTCCCCATCATACATAGTTAAATATGGTAAGGTACAGTAATTATTGAAAACGACATAGTAAAATTACACTCATTATTTACAATATATATTTTCACACTCAAGCAACTATCAAAGTCCTGCGATATCTTAAAATTTCCTTTCCGTTTTGTAAATTAATTAAGGTGTCGTAAGATATATAGCATTCTCATGTCTCACATTTTGCTACATTCTATAATACAAGATGTAATATTAGATTTTGGTATTGGATAATATTTTAGTTTATGAGATTGATCAAAACATTCCCAACATCGATTTTCTTCTCCATTGAGCCGTTTTAGTTATCGTCACGCAAATGATTCATAATTTACGTCAATGTGCTCATAATTATGACGAAATTGTTTGAGAGTTTGGGCAGTGTTTTGTTTCACCATTGATGACTACAATTGTCATATTTATGGAAACACACAGTCGTTATTAGTGTCTGTAGATAATAAAGTATACATTTATGCAAATCTCTGGAGTCTCGATAGTGACGAATGTTTGTGATCAATCCATTTCTGGGGGCTGCTTTTGAATTTCACACAGTCTATAAAAAATTGACTACTACGTGATCATGACGTAAGCAATGTATTGTTTGTATTTTCACCCCAATGCTATTTGATTCAGATATTCATTTTCATCGTGCAAGAATCGATTTAAAGCAATTAACACATGTATATACATATAATAAATAAATGGGAATTCAATCAGCATATACAGCGAAGAAACAACTTTATCGGAAATTAACTTAAAATACACAATCATGAAAAGAACAATAGATTATTAGTGATCGAGATCAGTGTGGTAGCAGTTTTACTCTTTGTTTACTAGTATTTTACCTAGAAATCGAAAAACTGCCTCGATTTTCTTTTCCTTTACAACTATATTATTGTGCACCGAACGGGTTAAAATTGGAAACTACAAACCAAATAAATACAGAAAAGAACATTTTGGGGTCAAAAAACCCACCGGCAGCAGGCATTATATATTTAGACTGCTAGGTCTTTATATCCATGTTTTAGACATGGCACGTAGCTCCAGATGTAATGTTTTGATAACATGCCCAACTTTCTCACCCTTTATAGAATGTGGGGAATTCCAGATTAAATGCTGACGACACTATTTTTTCAGGAGCCCCATACATTATAATACGGTATGTTACTTTAACGAGAGAATCGGGTAAATCAAGAAATACGTATATATATTCAAAAATATATATGAAGGATATTTACTTTCGACTCATTTGATTTTCCCGGCGTATGCGAAATTCCCCCAAAAGTTTTTTTTATTTAGACACGCTATAAACCTGAAGCTCGTTGAATAAAGTAAACATAAATTGTATTGAAACGAGAATTTGCTGTCGCCATTAATAGATTGTTGATTCATTGCAACGTGATATTTTTGAAGAAAGCCCAATTTTGAGCGGGATGGAAAAATAATAATAAGCTGTAACTAATAAGCTGCTTTGCATGCTAAAATGAATTCGAGAACATAATAACCATTCGGATATCTACAAAGCGGCGGGTATGGCGAGGGCTGAAGCTGCCCACCACAATTTTAATGCCGTCACCAATGAATTGTTTTCATCACTATCAAATTACCCTTAACTTAGACAAGCGTGGGCGATCCTGTCGACCCACGCTTTAATTTTTCTCAGTCATGTGAATATTTGCGTCGTAGCATCATTCTTCAAGGTATGCTTTGTTAAATTGATTTGGTCTAAATTTTTTGCTGAAAGTGGTGACTTGGATTCGAGTTTCACGTCGACCGATATCCCCACCTTTCTGTCACAACATTAAATCTGAATGTTGTTGTTAGAAGTTTTTTTTTAATAGATTTACCACCGCAAACTATTTTGAGAAATGCCACATTGAAACACAAGTGAGTAAACTCATCCAAATGTTATCCCTGTCGATGAGCTAATTTCTCCTCAAATCCATTCTTCAATAAATTTATCGTATATAAATAAATACTATATTGAAAGTTTAATAAATAAAAAAGCATAAAAATAGCAATTATCACAGGTAAAATAATTCGAAAATTTGATATCAATCCAGGCTTAATAAAAACACAAATGACAAAAATTTTGAGAGAATGTTTTTAAAACTTAGAATCTTATGTGCATACATTATAAATAGAATTTGATATTTATATTTGAGCTGATACAAAAAAAATCGTTGCTCCAAACTGGCATCGGAATATCTGCAAGAAAACTATTACCCTTTCCAGTGATATAAAAGCATGTGTTGATAATGAGAACAGGCAAAGTCTTCTAATAAATACCACAATCCCAAATGAAATAGGGTACAACTCATTTATTCTCGATAGAATTAGAAGAACCTATCTCACGTTACATGACAACGGATACTGAATCAAACTGGGTCAAAGTCTAAAAAAATTGCACAATAGTTGAAACAAGGTAAAGAGTTAAAATTGAGTGAATAACCAAATGTTTTTTCTATTTACAGATCTTGGTTGTTTACGGTTGTTTCCACAACAATATCACATTTCTGAGGTCAATTGCATGTAATGAAAGCCTGTGTACGTGCGCATTTAACCCCGATTATTTTTTTAAATAATTTGAACTTTTTGCAAGTGGTGGTATCGCTGAGTCACTGTAGCATGTAACGACATAGCTGGCATTTTAATATCCATCTAACCATATTGGGGTTTGGAACTGATAGGCTGGATAGGCTCTGAAATGACATGTCCGAATCGCACGACAATCCCGTCCAATTTATTTACAGTCGACGATAAATTTATACCATGCATAAATATCAATATTTGAAAGTGATTCCACCTTTACTTATCTGGCATCGGTCTCTGTACAGTTCAACAAAACGAGAGTGTAATACTAATTTCTTGGGCGAAGGCCGTACAACGACCGATCAGACTTAGGGATGGGCTAAGTACCTAGAACTGTGAGAAGTAAGAAGACTTGTTAATACAGCCAGTTTAACGGGTTGGCTCATCCGATCGACATTGAACAGAACGGGAAATTCTCGAACTCTTCATGCAAATGCATTGTTGTCGTCAACGTAGGCATCAGGCACGCATTTGCAGGCAACCGTGACATACGCACGTTCGCGTTTTCCCGTAGTTCTGTTAAGATAAATTTTCCATTTCTTGATAGGCATTATTGTATAATTGTCCAACGCGTGCATAGTCAATGGATTAATACAGGATCCTCGCCGGCATTCTACAGACCAATAGAAATTCGGGTCCATATTTTTACAGTTGTATAAATGTACGGTCCACGGAGACACGTTGTCGTTAACGGCACGATCAAAAGCTCGATCCCGTTGACACCTACAAAATAATAAGTTTTTTTTAATGTAGAAAACGAAAGATTCAACATAAATTTGTAAGCAAAATGCCCCATATATGGACAATTTCTAAATATGAACCACATACCCCGGGAGTGTATGGAAGCCTGAATAGATAAAGATTGAGTTACGGAGAAACGACGTTCACAGAGGAGAATTGACAAACGGAACACGTGTATTATTGTCGATAGTTAATAACAATACAAAATGCTCACACGTAGGATTTTCCTCGAGTTCGCTGTCTGATGGCTATAATACACATGTGTATACCATGCTATTTCGAAACTTGAGTGGAATATTGAATAGGTTTTGAAATACAAAATAACTAGGTACGCAGTATCGATGGACGACTATTTTTGAGAAATGTACAACAGGTCAGTACCGGGGACTTTTGGCAAAAGCATTCATTGAGTGGAAATTTACATACAACACAGGATAAAAATATTTCTTTGATCATATATACATTGGTATGCGACCTTAGTATGTTTAATAGGCTTGAAGTCAGTTTGAGCGACTGTAACCCTGATGTGCTCTATTTAAAAATCAGATTAAAAGTCAGCATTGGCCTAGACAAAGCCAAACAAAAATCCGACATCATTTCTCTTTCATCTATTTCAAAAGTATTGCAACATGTATTCACGAATGACAATTTCATATCCAACTTCAAATATTTGTGTATCATAAAACAAATAATATTCTTTAGAATAGTAAAAACTATAATTTGTTTTATTTGCAATTCTTGGGAATTCATTCAATTTCTTGCTCTTTGTTATAAAGTTTGTCCCGATAACTTTCCATCGGGGACCAATGTCCTCTAAAAAAATATTACCAGACGTTCTGATAATGTTTATGAATTTATATCTCTCTCATAAAATCACAGTGATGACAGAATTAAAAAAAACGACGACCCGCTCGTTAAAATTTTCTAGAAAGTTTGCGAATGATTTGAGTGGTTTTCCGTGATCGAAGCATAGTTTTGCAATTTGCATCGATTCCATAAATGGGATACCTACGAGAGTCAGATTTCCCTAAGTTTTTGCCCTTGAACTTTAGCATTAATTGATGGCCCAAGTACGAGGTAATGAGGGTGTGAGACGAAACAAAAGTATAACTCACTGCTTTAATTCGGATATTGAAACCATTCCTCCTCTTATTAACGCAGGTAGACAAATTAAAATAATTGGTAAACAGATATTTGTTCGCCAGAAAATGACCTGAAATAATGAAAAAAAGTTTAATCAGTGATTTAATCGTTAACAGTTAACACGTTTGTCTAACAAATTGTGAATTGCGGATTCTAGATTTCGATTACATGCTTCGGACAAGCAGTACCTGCCCATCACGTCTAATAATTCGAATAGATTTTGTCAACAAAAATATCCTTCTTTAGTAAGTAAGTCATCAGCTTCAGTTGAAACCGCACGAATAATGGTTCATGAAGACCCCTAACCACCAATGAGTTAGTTAGTACCTTACTGAAAAATATTACAGATACAAAACTACCATGAAATACTTGAATCGCGAAATTGTACAATCAATAGAGTATAGTATACGGGGTAATTAAAATTTTTTAGTAATAAAACTCTTACCTGCCGGCGCTTCATATTCGAAACGCCAAAAGTCGATGCGCCTGAACCTCGCTGATATGTCTGAAGTCTTTCGTTCAATCGATTAGATGGATGAGAGTATAGAAGCGACCGCCAACCCAACCAAAACACCAATGAGCTCTTATGACAAAGGAGCTTACTTTTGTAAGTGAGCGACGTAAGTGATGTAATAGTATTGGGTTACCCCTAATTTATACGACTCGTTTTTCGATGGTGATGCAAGAAAGCACATGATTAGACGAATACTTATTGAATACAATTGAATTAAACTTCCAAAAAATGCAAGAAACTACATTCTAAATATAAAAGACTAATCCGGCGCCCGATATAGCAAAGGGATAATTTTAGCCCATTGTTTCAAGTACTAAATTATACTCGTCTATTTTTAGTATTCCCCAAATAGCTTCTATTGCGAAGTTTTCCGTTAGAATTAGTTTGTGAAAACTATCGTATGACAATGCTCTGTTTCCCAGACAAATTTAGGAAATAATGAATCACACTCAACAACTATTAATTTTATATAAATTTAATATGTGCACGCTGATAGATATAAATATGTATAAAATAAAACATATTTCAATTATATTATTAAGCTAAAAAGCAATATATGATTTTTGTAAGATAGAGATAGCAAATATAGGAATATATGAAAGATAAAATAATTTTAATAAACAAAAAAGCAAATAGCACGTGAAATAAAACAATTGAATAAAAAATCCCATTGAAGGTGAAAGTGCACAAATTCCTATTAAAATGATGACGTTTTTAGGTGCGTGCTAAATTTAACATAATTTTCAGTTATTTAGCTAATAAATGAATAGACAATTTTATTGAACTTATTGAATATATTATACAGGTAATTACGATACCTACACTTATACAACATTTTGTATGATTGCCTATAATATTTGCACAATAAATATTGCAAGTGTTGGAATATGGCTGTTGCTACCTAAAACAGGGTAAAATTTCCACGATGTCTTTGTTGCATTTTAAGGTTTAGTCCAGCCTACGAACATTTGCGTTGGGAACACATTTGCACGCAATATTCACGTATACAAATATTGTTTTTCCAGTATGACCTAACTTAATTTTTTTAAGTTTTCGTACAGGCAGAACCGTATATCCGCGTAGAATCTGAGATGTTCGGCTGTTAATGCAATGTCCACCATGAGTTTTTCGACACTCTACTGATTTTAAATATTCCGGAAAAGTGTGTCGACATTTATATGTGTATTCTACCCACGGAGAAACGCTATCGTTGAAGTCAATTCCGCCGAATACCCGTCTGCATCTGCCAAGCAAACATATCAGAATATTATTATTTTTTGTTAAAAGCACGACGAATCCAATAAAGTTAGAAAATTGGTTATAGCAGTGTCAAATATTCGAATAAACACTAGTTCATACTATAAAACTTTTACCTACATTTTACATTTTCTACAAAACAAATAATATCCTGTTTGGCACATGAAATAATTTTAACGATCCCTTCAGACTCAATTTTTACTTACGCCATAATAATATTGTACCAAATACGCTTCAAATTTTTCTATTCAATCAGTATTAACATTATCAAGAATTTACTAAGGCTTTAAACGCCCATAACAAAAAAAATAATACTCACATTTTCAACTGCGATATATGAGGTAATGATAGTGTTTCTTGCGACAACAGTAAAAAGAGAAGCAATGAAACAATTATGCTATTCTGCATCGCTATTACAATCTATACTTCTATATCAACTTGTACAAGAAAATACTAATATTATTTGTTACATTTTATATTCAGTATTGATCGTTGCCCGCTAGTAAACCTTGATAAAACATTGTCTACTGGAATTTATGATGAAGCTTCACGAGACGCTTAAAATTGACATTGTAAAAATTTAATTTTCAATTTGATGCAGTTATTGACAAGAAAACAAATACATATATATTTAACAATATTGCGTGAAATAATTTTGTATTCCTTCATATTGTGTAGTCTAATCAATACCTCTAAATCCATACAAATATTTTACAAATGTTGCATCAGGTTTTCTAAAAAATTTTCTTAGGAAATTGTAAGCAAAGCATGTCTTGAGGTTGCTTGTATTGTTATATGGAATGAATTATTGCATCTCTACATATCAATGAATAAATCCCCGTTACAAATATGGCTTCGTTTTTTAACACTCCCTCCCCAAAATACTAATTTATGACCATCGCAGGGCCTCCTAAATCTGAGACATTCGACGACTTTCACGAAGTCGCAACACTTGTCATATCAGTTCGGCGTGTGTTGCAGCGTTTACAGATATAACTGCTGTAAAAATCGACTTGAAAGGCAGATGTACATGAATGTTACCCATTGATCGAAGCACCAAGACACACCGATCTGAATTTATGCGCATCTCTTTATACATTCAGTTACTCAAATATTAATTTTGAGGGGAAATTGGAACATATTTTTGTAGCAAACAAGGCCTTTTGTGTCTGCCGTAAATTACATTTTTCTTTTGTTATAAAATTCCTTGTATTGAGCGGGACTTCACCTCATAGTTCATCATAAACAATAACTATTTTACTAATATTTCCAAGTACTTCAGCCACTTGGTAAAATGAATTATTTTTATATACTGACAAGGGGAATGGTACGTGTATATAACCAAATGATATTCTTAGATCAGTGAAAATGCCAAATTTTACAATGATTGTAACAATAGTCAGTGCGTGTAATATTATAACTTGTGACGTTTCGAAACAGATGACGTACATTTATTGTCTCGGATTCTATTCCGGGTATCAAGATTTTTTATTCTGTGATTATTTTTATACACAATCTCATTCTAGGGTGGGTTAAATATAAGGGAATTTAAATAAAACGGAATTTTGCTGAAGATATTATGGTAAACGATTACAGTTAAATAAAGTTGAGGTGAATCATTGGACCTTAATTAGGGAAGGGAGCAGAAATTTTATTGTTGTATTCAAATCGCTAGACTGTGCAGAAACTCGTACGATCGTCAGGTTCGTTGTTAACAATGCATGAAACTGACGATCGTACGCCATCATAATAAGGTAATCCCCATTCTACACGTCCACGTGACGGAGGTTTCGGAAATTTATCCCATTACGGAAACGTGACGGCAGACGTAACAAATTTATAATGTATCGTAGCTTCAAATCCGAATAGCTGATCGAATCATTCACACCCGCATTCTCAATCACCTATTTTCAAATCATATTGTACACTTTGTAACATTTGATAACAGAGAACTTAAAAATTGCAAACGTTTAGATCACAAAAAACCCACTCTAAGATTATATCACTCAAAAATTAACCTTAGATTGAAGTCAAAGGAGACTCTTTCATTATTTGTTCAGATCTTCTGGTACCTATGTGCCGGTTTGTAAAATACGCCTCTCAGTAGATGTTTCAAATCATTGATTTTAAATCAAACGGTTTGACGTTGTTTACTGTTTTACACTTTTACTGACAAAACTCCAGCATTTTCTGCAGTAGATCATTTATAGTTCTCCCGTCATTTTATATTACTCTTCTCAATTCAAAGCTGAAATTCAAATTGTACTGCCAAATGTTGAATGCCTTGTAATTAATTCAGTGTATGGCATATGAAGGGAAGATTGAACTATATTCAAATTTTAATAAAAAATTTAGTGTATAAAAGACATCATGTTTCGGTTAATACAATATATACCATGATTTGTATTCTCGTTTATGAAGTTTAACCCTCTTCAAGCTTGCTCCATATTTGATCAGTGTCAATTTAACGGGTTATTCTTTTGAAGGTGTCACGGTTTTGATTTTGAATACATCCAATCTTTCGATCGGATTCGGTATTTTGTTGATTTACTTCACAGTCGTCGGACTGGTAAGGCCATTCTCGTCTTGCTATCAATAATTATCAAGGCTTTTACATCTGTACCAAAGTCTGGGTTGGATGATGTACATATCAAAATTCCTGACAACGACGGGATAATACTATAAACATATACAATGATCATGTGATCATGGAATTCTTGGTCTTGTTATGGTGGATCGAACTCATGTCACGAACGTGCTTTTGATTAATTGATTGCAGTTTTATGTTTGTACTTTGCCATTTTGAACAAGAACATTAGTTTGTTAACAAAGTGGAGTCCGGAAAAGTTTGATCATTATCAATATTGTTTTTTCATTTACGTAGATTTGTGGAAAAATTCGGTAGTTTAAATTGGTTCTGTTATCTATCTATCTGTATTTGAATCATGTGAATAAAACAGGAATAGATTTTTATAAACCGCACTAGTAGTTGAAATATAAAATACTTGTTCCTCTTCGGTTTTTCTCTGCCCTTATCCAATATGCAAATCTATCTTCTTCTTCTTAGTTTTTATGTTCATATTTTTGATTTTCGTTAAATTTGCATATAATACTGCAAACCTGATAATAGTTTTCATGCAAAGCGTATTTGCTAAACATAGTGCAAACCGCAGTCTACATTGTTTAAGTTAGAGCCATATAATTTCACGGTATATTAATACTAAATACCGCAACGCTTTACGCAGAAATCCAGCTTATGATAGTTTGCCACAAGCCAGCGCTAGTGAGACGCTGAAATATCATGATCCAGTTTGGACAAAAAATAATTTTTTACGAAAGTGCAAAGAAATTGAGCAGTGACTTGAAATATAATTAAACTTTGCACTATGAATCACGGTGGATATTGTCAAACAAATAAATTTCACAAAATGCTGAAAATTGAAGGGAATTTTTATCCGGATGGTTTTTGTGCAGAATATTCATTGTAGGCACAAAAAAATATATTTTTTGTTGACATGTTCAATCATAGCGCAAATGTATATACTCACTTATATCAATTTGAAATCTCATCATATTTTATTATTATTTTTGTGAACGCCAGGAATAATTTTGCAGACGCAATAGCCTATGCCCTATAGCGCATGGTTTTGATATGCTGGCATCTCGAATTTCAGCCCCATGCCGGCAGTTATACTTATTAGGTGCAGCTAATGAAGAAGACAATACCGAATTCAAAATAATTCTGGGATTTATTGAACCACAGTTACATCAAGGGACTTACGAGCAGGACTCTAGAGTCGAAGAAAACTTCCATTTGACTCCAAGCCAGTGAAAACACGGATTTGTGTACAAAAATTCCGACTAAGACGCCAGTTGACTATTCCACATAAAATAATTGACTCTGGCCCCAACCCTTGGTTGATTAAATTTTTCCACACAAAATCTTAGCACATGGATACCTTTTTCAGTTAATGGGTATATTCGTGTGTTAACCTAATGCCCTTTGGTTTTGTTTAAAATGATTTACTCCAACTCGCCACTTCCAAAAATTGCAAGTTTAGAAATCTCAAATCCGAGTTTCAAAATACAATTCTGTCCCATATTGTCAATAATGCTAAAGTTCAATTCAGTTCGAAGCACGAACGCCCTTAAATATTACATACAAATGTGATTTTAGCAGCAAAATAAATACAAAGTTAATCAAGGTACAAGTAGAAAAGCTTTCCCTTGAACCGTTGCGCAATAAAGTACCATTACGCATTGTTTCTGTTGAACCAGAACGCAACAATGCCGGGGAAAATTTCTTAGTAATTACGACATTTTTAGGCCTACTATAAATATATTTTGAAGAATGCAGAAGTATATAACGTAATGAAAAGCATTGTCAACTAATTTCTAAATCTTCAACGAAATTTCGAGTTTTAACGAGTAAAACAAAACAGTTCGTAAATAAGGGGGATGCACATTTCAGCGGTGAACGTTTTTAGCCTATTGGCCCAAAATTCAGATAAAAGAACTGAACGTTTTTCAGAAATGGAATTTCAAATTTACGTGATATCCTGATATAGCATTATTAAATTTTTTGATGTGTTAGATTTTTATCGTACATAAATAAATACCGCAAACTTTACCAAAATACATTTGTTGAGTTGTCTTTATCATTCCGCTGTATTCAAATCTCTTTAAAACGGTTCTTTTGGGTCAATAACTTCTCACGAACCCATGGGGTAACTAACGCAAATTTTGAATTACATCATTTTGAAAACATGCAATAACATTTTCATTACATATATATATATTCTTGGGAATTGTTATTTTTCCCGATTTTTCTTATTTGGAGAAGTTGCGCCACCAGGTGGATTTTTCGCTGATCTATTTCGTTGAGCGCGGCAACAAGTCAAAAAGGTGTATGCAACGAACACGGTATGTTTATGTGACGGCAGTTGACCTGAAACGATAAAAGTGTTTAGCAGGCATTGTGGGGTGCTTCAATAAACTCTGGAAAGCTATTTTTATGTAAGTCATAAACTTCAAGATAAGTCACTACACTTGCGACACGCCATGCGCATAAACAATATAAAATTACCAAGCAGAAACTGAAACATCTGAATTAAAGAGTAAAAAAAGAACGATAAAAATACATTCAAGATTTTCAGAATGAATAAAAATAGTATTTTTTTCTAAAAATAAACGGGATATTCTAACTGTTCCAGCGCCAGCTAAATTTATGTAAACAGTGGTCATTTCCTTTCCATTTGCATAATTGTACGGACTTTTTGCGATGAAATTTATATTTACCTATACATCGTCTATGCCATAGGTTCTCAAAGTGCTCCGTACGGAGCCCCAGGGCTCCGCGAGAGTAACCCAGGGGCTCCGCGAGCTATTCGAATACTTTTCAAAATACTGACTTGGCTAATTTAAAACTGTTCCTAGAAGCAATAACAGCTTTGATAAAATTTGACAACAATATAGCCTCCAAATATGGCAAAGGGGCGGAATTAAAAAATGACATTATTTATAAGCAGGAGCGCAGCCAGGATTCTAAAGAAGGAGGAGGTTCAAATTTGGAATCGGAAATTTACGCGCAACATTCTTGGCAATTAAAAAAAACGGATAACGAGATTTCTGTTGCGTAAAATATTCATTCATGACCGATGCGAGCATCTAAATTCTAAAGTGTCTTGTCGTAATAATTTAATTGTGCTCATCGTTACTCACGTTCGATTCGAAATTACTATTAGGATTACTAAAATGATAAAATACTATTCTAAAATAATATAAACTGCGTGATAAACTGCTAACTATAAATAAATTGGAGTCGTATTTTTGTGATCTTGGGATTTGTTAAACTTGATTTGTTCTTTCGCACTCGAGATTATTTTTAAGCAAGATGTCGCCGTTTGAAAAATCACGAGGTCTTGGCAAAATACGAACGATTGAAATTTATTTTAGTGCATGCGGCTCTGTCGGTAGTTTCAGAAAGGAAAAATGGTACACCGCGCGTATAATTAATTGACTGTGTGTCAATTTCGCAGTTACTACTACGATGAATAACCGAAAACCTAACATAACACCAAATTTATGATTTACGATGTCTATAACAGCGTTTTTATTCTGACGTGAGTCTGCTGAAACAAAACTTATGGTGTTATCTTCCATTTTAAGTTTTAGTTCTAATATTTTAGAATGCCGCTTTTCAATCAAGAAATTTGAATTGCGGATTTACCTCTTTATTAACTATTATTTTTAGCATTTCGTCGCCGATGATTATAATATGGTAACATGTTTTTCACATTGAACTCATAATTCCCAACGAGATTTATTTATGACTTCTATTGACCCTAATAAAAGTGTTTAGTATTTAAATTGAGTAAAAGTACGTTTAACTTACTCAGGAATATTAATCGGAAAGTAACAATTTTAACATTTATTATGGGGCTCCGTGAATAATAGTCAACCTTTTCAAGGGCTCCGCAACGCCAAAAGTTTGAGAACCCCTGGTCTATGCAACTTATTCAAACAGTTTTATTCATTTTCGGAATTGGCAGAAAACTTTTTTACTACTTTCGTTTGCTAAAATTGAAACCTCCAACAATCAATTGCATTTGCAATAATTGTTTAGGAGGAGATTTCAGGTTATTCATCATATAGAATATATATACGCAATATCGATCTCATATATCCAAGATCAGCTGATATCGAATTTGGGTTTGAGATGAGTCGATACTTTCATCACTGATAGTTCAATCAATTTCTGACAACAGATATTGATGATAAAGTTTTTTTTAATTTTCATTATTATGCTCCTATCAAAAACTCCATAATTTTTATCATTGGCAAGAAACGAAAAAATGATTATAACGCTACTGGGAATGTTTGACATATCGAATCTAAGCGACACTGTTAAGATCGTCGGTATTCCCAAACCAATATGATATATATCTTTACACTTTAAAATCACACGCAAAAAATAAACTGTTATTAGCGTATCAATCGCCGTCGTCATCGGTGTGCTCACTGCCAGACAGACTCGCTCGGACATATTACAGTACCATAGAAATAAAACGACGGAAGCAGCCGACGTGCTGCACGCTTCGCCGTAACGCTCTATTAGTTTAATAAACGTAGAAACACGATGTGTCACTGACTAAGCTTTATGTCCGCCTCCATTGAAACAGCCAATTGCAACACTTGTTGTTTTTACGAAACGCTAAAGCCATCCATCGCTAGATTACCACCGACAATGCAGGTAGCAAGTGAAGACACCATTTGCTGTAAACAATACCAGCAGGAAATAGGAGTCGTGGCATAGACATAATTACTCTGAAACAGAATAACCTGTATTTAAGCTGAATTTTCCACGAAATTTATTTATTTGCAGTCTAACGGGCGATAAAATTTGTCGGCGGTGTACGATATACATTCAGAACAACAGTGACTGCGGTTTGTCAGATACGTAGTACAAAAGCAAGGCAGAATTTTCTGAAGCAGACGTTGAAGGCGAGTGCTCAAATATATGCATAAGATAAAGCGTTGTTTGCATAAATAGTGCGTCCAAGCAGCTTAAATTTTCGATAAGACTGTAGTTGTTGGCAGTAGATTTATTTCTGCGACAGAATATGGCATAAACACCGCGTATTATCAGTATTGACATTAGTAGTTGGCCACGAGCCGTTTTATTGATTTCTAAGATGTGCCCTGCATTAGATGAAAAACAAAGGATATTTTGCATAGCTCTTCTAAGTATAAATTATTTTTCTGCTTCCGCTCGCTAATTATAATTTTAGATTTTGCTGCAATAACATCCAACACGCATGGTCCACTGTTTCTGAGACAAATTGTCATAATTTATGTTCATGCCAGCTGGAACAAATCCAAAAATTATAACCGCCATTGATTGTTGCAGCCAAGTATGCAAATGCAGTTGAGGTGATTGATTGATCGGAAACTTTCGTTACCTCGCAATGAATACTACGTATATTTCAAGGATGAGGATAACGGTTCATTGTCGTTTGACAATGAGTGAGAGTGGCTGTGTGTATATATAAAGCTTAGGAAAATATCGGCCTTACTATCAAACGCGTAGTAAAATTATTCTGAGTGGTATTTTGGGTACTCCCGTAGTGTGTGTACCAGGTTAAGGTTAGGCCAATATTTTATTCCGATTTTTCTCATATTAGTTCTATTACGAGTTCGGGGACTGTCTGTGTTAGCCACGTGAATATACCCCCTGCCCATAGCTTTCAGTCCCTTTATACAACTTGATGTAAAGTAGGCGAACAAAATTAGTTACCTCCATATTGGTACATAAACCTCTGGAACGCCGTTTATTGGACTACAAATCCTTATAAATTCGGTGCGACGTTTTATATAACTTCCGAATCAAACTTTAACCTGTAGATGATGAATTTATAACTTTTTATTTTAAAATAAAATCTATACAGCAACAACATCTCACCTATTAGTCGATGTGTGTTGAATTGAAATAATGGCAAAACTTGTTGAATGCGTTCCAAATTTTTCGGAAGGACGTGATAGCACAATAATCCAAGCGATTGCTGATGCTATTAAAAAAACGCCTGGCTGTAGTGTGTTGGACGTTGACCCAGGAGCATCAACAAATCGTACTGTGTACACCTTCGTTGGATCACCCGACGATGTTGTCAATGGAGCGTTAGCTGGCGCTAGAGCAGCATATCAACTGATTGATATGACGAAGCATAAAGGCGAGCATCCACGAATGGGCGCACTGGATGTTTGTCCTTTCATCCCGGTTAAAAATGCCACTATAGACGACTGTACCACATGTGCGAATGAATTTGGAAAAAGGATTGCAGAAGAGTTGAATATTCCTATTTACTTGTATGGATTTTCAGCAAATGAAGAGAAGCGTAAACTACTCCCATCTATACGTTCAGGGGAGTATGAAAATCTTCCCAATAAGTTATCAGATTCAGAATGGAAGCCGGATTATGGCCCCGCAACATTTGTACCTAGCTGGGGAGCAACTGCAACTGGAGCAAGAAACTTCCTAATTGCGTATAACGTTAACTTGTTGAGCACAAAGGAACAAGCTCACCGGATCGCGCTGGATTTACGAGAAACTGGAAGAGGCAAAGGGACGCCGGGAAAGCTGAAAAACGTCCAAGGTATAGGCTGGTATTTGAAGGAGCAAAATTTAGCTCAGATATCAACAAATATCACCGATTACACAGTTACTCCCATACATATGGTGTACGAGGAGGCAAAAAAATGCGCCGAGGAATTGAAACTTCCAGTTACTGGGTCTGAGGTAGTAGGCCTAGTTCCACTTGATTCTATACTACAAGCGGCGGAGTTCTACATCGAGAAAGAGCATCTGTTCGTTTTGGAAGAGCGAGATAAAGTACGACTTGCTATCAACAGGCTTTCTTTGAATTCTCTCGGACAGTTTGATCCCGATAAGCGAATCATTGAATATTGCGTTAGGGACGACGCGAAAGACTTTCCTCTAGGATCGTTAACATTGAAGAATTTTATTGCTTCAGTTGGGGAAAGAACTCCGGCTCCTGGAGGTGGATCCGTGTCAGCGGCGGTTGCGGCAATGGGAGCAGCACTCGGGACCATGGCAGGTAAGAATGCATGTGCAGCTTGAGGTGACCGTACATTTGAACCCACTTACATTTGAACTATGTACATTTGAACCCATGTGTATATCCGCGGGTTCAATCTATATGCGGGTGCTAAAACCCATTGGTTAGGGTATGGGTTCAAATATCCGTAGACCAAAAAAAATTTCCATAGGTGCAATTGTCGTGGGTTCAGATGTACGTGGTTCAAATGTACGTGGGTTCAAATGTAATGGAACCGCAGCTTGATAATATATCGAACAGGGCGGTACCTCCCTTACAATAGTGTATTCAACAGAGGAACATTGAGTTACTGTATAGAAAATCTACTTTTCACTATAGGCACTGTTAAAATCAAAAGCATACCACATATTATGGAGCCGTGGTTCCCAGCTGAAATTTTTCAACCGGTCCATCGCTTGGTTACCGAAAAGACGAATATGTAAATTTATTTTGATAAAAATTGTTTGCTGTTTTGACAGGGTTGATGACATATGGGAAACGTCAGTGGGAATCGCAGGATGATCTTATGAGAAAAAACATTCCGTCAATTTATAATATAATGAGTGAACTCATTCCGATGATCGACCAAGATGCAAAAGCATTCGATGGGTAAGTGGGGTGCAAGTTTCGAATTAATACAAACAATGAAACTGTCAGAGAAATGATTTCTGCAGGATGCTAGAATGTGTGCAAGTGAAAGTGTTCATTCTTACTCTGAATATTCTGTAATGATATTATTATATTATATTATATGGAACAGCTTATACTCGTGCGGCGTTTGGTCTGCATGTATATAAAACGAATTTTCTTCACTTTCCAGTCTTGTAGCGGTGCGGTATCGGGTATAGCACCAACTATTGCAATATGTTTCAGATACATGGCAGCAATGAAAATGCCACGAAAAACGGAAGAAGAAATAGCTAATAGAAACCAAGCCATGCAAGAAGGAATTGTCCAGGCAATTCGTGTTCCTCAAAAAGTAATTGATACAGTGAATCAATCCTGGGTATGGTTGACAGAAATTGCCCAGAACTGCAATATATCTTGCGCTTCCGATATACAGGTAGATAATAATGTTCTTGTATGCCACCATCATAGATTATTTATCTATAGCAATCCCACGTAACATGTAATTGTGTTCTATGTTTTGAAAAACTTATGTTATGCATCTGCTTCACAACTGTAAACTGTTACTGCAAGAAACATAATTGTGATCCAATATGAATTCTGATGACGGAGTTATAACTGTTTAGCATTACTGTTTCATAAAGTGTTATTTATTGAGTCGCATGCATATGTCGCGACCTAAAAATGTTGGCTTTCTGGCTCAGTAAGATAAAACTCTTCGATTCTATGGAAGAAAAGGAAGTACAATTTTTAATCTGACTTCTCGTTTGAAATCTACGGAAACATGGATGATGTTGAGATTATTACCGATGTCGATAGTTGAGATATGATGGGTGTGTGATATGTTTCTTTAATGTTCCGCATTTTACCATTGTTTCGAATCCGTTAATGATAGTGCTTTGAGGAGCTGTAAACTTTTAATATATTTGAGACTTGAAATTATCAAGTTAGTTGTCATCAACTTTATTTCTTGGCAGGTTGGCGTCAAGTGCCTTGAGACTGGTGCGTGGGGAGCCTTTCAGAACGTACTCATCAATCTGAAGGACGTGAAAGATGAAACTATCCGTGATCGTTTACGAGACGAAGCAGAGAAATCCATTGTAGATGCACAAAATCAATCTAAAACTGTCTTAGAAATAATTCAAAATCGCTTGAATTAGTTACAGCAAGTGATAGCGTATGATATATAACTCTCGTCTTAGTTTTTTTTTTGCTATGCTTTCCCTTTCTGGTGTTTAGATCCAAAGATAAGCGAAAAAGATTAAATCAGAGCGTAAGTAAGTAATCAAAAACCAGAAAAATTTATCATGGGATCAAATGCGCGCGCGTATATGAAATGAATATTGATTGTTGTTATTGTTAGATTGGTGAAATGCTTGTATTATCATACACGGATATGATCCGTGCCTTCTGAGAGACGGAAAATGTGATTTGAATTAAACAGCCTAGCAATGCGTATTCATATCTAAGCAAAGTCTATTTTAAAGAATTTGAGGGGTTGCCCATGGTATTTCGCCTTGAGACGAGAGGCTTGATTACATTGTTGTGTCATTGTCCTATACACTCAGATTGTTGGAATGAATTTGATCTTACACATCTTGGACACAAAGTTTTTGGATCGTTCTTCCAAATATTTCATCAATGTTGTTGTTACAAAATTGCTTCGCGTTTCAACAACATAACATATCGTTTTCAACGTTTTGATGAATGAGAATGGGTTTCAGAAGGTTATAGACTAGTATAGTTTCTTATTTTCTTGTGGATTGATTACTAAAATCAGAAACAAGGTGGGTCCGATTGTTGATCCTCACGGAATACCAGAAAAGATATATATAATAAGTTTGGTCAAGTTTACGGCGTGAATTACTGGATTGTAACTTATAATTTAACACCATGCTCTGTTATCGTACGACCAACAGTCTATCACACAAAACTCTCTTTAGAGCTTTCAAAATCTGTTCAAAGCGATGAACTTGACTTTGACCGAGCAGCCTGGCATAGTCCTGTGAGAAACTTGTTAGCCAACGCAAAATTTTTTTTATTTTTGTGAGCCTGTTTGTTTCCAAAACCACTAACGTTTTTGTTGAAATCATTTCAAACTTAGATCATTTTATAGAGAAGAATAGATTCATTTTTCCAATTTAGAACTTGCTGCCAAAGTGAATGCCATCTTTTCATATCCCAAACGTCGCACTTTTCTCTCAATTTGTTTTGCTATCTTTCACGATAAAGAAATTCTAAAAATAAAATTAACCTTAAGATGTTCGTCGGACTTGCGAATATGACGTCAAAACTTGCAGAGCCAAATATAAACTGAGAACACTAAAATAAAATGCGCGAATTTGTATTAGTACCGTAAACGACTCGTTGAAATGCTCGATTTTCACTGTCATATTCCACCAATCCCAACACACAATCACAGATCCTAACAAAGGAAGGAAGGAACTTGTAATAAAAGAATAAAAAATAGATTCTGAAACAACAGAACCAACCTTATATAGCAATTCAAAAATGCATCCATTACAAAACAAATTACAAGTGTATGTTTTAAGTATTGTCATTATCATGTCAATTCAAATAGTTTATCTCTACTGCGATCTACGTACTAATACCATCTTATTTTGAGACAATTAGTTCCAAGAATATCGGGCAACATATGTGTTTCTAAGTAAATATAAATAATAAAAAGCAATTTTGTGGTAATGAATTCTGGAACGAAGCAAGGCTTAGGGAGAAAATCATGTGCACATAATAAACATTATCACCCATGCAACTTTGTGTTTTTTTTTTCTTCTAAAATTATACACATTGTATTGAAATGATCACCATTATGTAACGAAGCAAATACAATTAGCACAACGTGTAAATTCTTTCATATTTACACATTTCTTAACATCTATAGTTGCTATGCTTTAACTTTAACTAACAATGAACTTACGCCATAACATTGTAGCCTTAGGCACACACGTCAATTCCAGGAAAATTTCCGACGTTCTAGATGTCGAGCAAAAATATCGTCGTTTTATCATTTATTTCTAACGTTTTTGGTGTCTGTACCAAAAAATTGTTAAGTTAAATATTAGATTTTCTTTGTTCCAATTTTAAAAGTAACTTTTATGCAAATGAAATCTATTGGCGGACAAATTATCATGCCAGAGGAACAAAAGGTGAGCGTTACTAATTTGTTATTCCTAGATGTTTTGTTTACTTATGACGTAATATCTGTTTAAAGTGTTCTGGCAAAAATACATTGAGGTCAGAAGAGCGAACAGAGTTTTTGCTGAATGTGATATCGACTTCCTTGTTTACTTCCGTAACATTGGCTAATCGGCAATATTACGAAGGTGACATAAAAATTGAAATTTTAAAATTTGTTCAGATACATTCAGATTTTTAGGCGCGCTTCCGGAATTTGGGTATAAATCAAATAACTCGATGGTCATTGTGTCTATACAGTGTAGTTTTAGTTTCGTTGCAGTTATCATAAATTGATCCCGAAAATCTCCGGCGGGCGTCTAAAATCAGCTATCAGTACTTTTGAACGACATGTGGTTGAATAGTTAGAATCAAAAGTATGCTTATCAACATGTAAACCAGTTTGTAAGCGGCGACTCGCGAAAACACTTACAAAATATAGGCATAGCAAATTTTGCAATGGGAAAGTGTAGGAAAAATATTTTCCGAGTGAAGAATCTGCGAAACATCTATGCCTCTTTGATAATAAATGTTTTTCGGGGAAGTGAAATGTGAGTATAAAGGCTTGCACATGTTTTAATTCAATCTTGCGCCCAACTAGGATGGTGCACGTTGTACAAATATAGGCTAGTTAGACATAAGCTACATACATGATCAATATATGAGATTTCATGTTATCTTGAGTCCAATACTTTCATTGCTGATTTTTTTTGGGCTCATTATTCTGCATTCATTTCAGGTATTGATACCTAGTTACCAATGTAGGTTTGACTTTTTTTTTTGAAATTCTTAAATTTGAATTTCGCTGCCTAGTATTGTACGATAACACTAACACGTGCCTAAGTTTGTTGTAGTGTACTTACATCTATTACTACCATTGTGATTATCATGTATCCCGCTTCATATGCTCTCTAAGAAATTTTAAATCAATCGTTCACAAAGAAATAAAGCCAGTTGTATCATATTTCAAAAATATGACGCACATCTTATAACGGCCAACTATCAACACAGTTTGCAAATTTAAAACAGCAAGGAACGCATTATTTGTGCGGAATTCTGCATTTTTTATTTATGTTTTTTAGCGTCAGGATTAAAACATATAGTGGATTTACATTTTGCAAATTATTTGAAAATGTAGATCATGCTATTATAAGAATTACCGCATGATTTTGTCTCAAAAGTATGCAATTTTGAGTGTAAAATGGAAAAATGTTCTATTTAGAAAGTGAAATTTTTTGAAAATTCTAGATACGGTTGCTACTGTTGCACTTTTATTCTATTTGTGCGTATCTTCTGGCCAATGGCTAGCGAGCTCAATAGTCGTAAAAGATTAAACATAATATAATTCCATTATCCGATTAAACGATCAGAATTCAATCTTTTACAAATACTTTATAATAATTGATTGGTTGTATGCAGTGTTCAGATGTTATTATGAATTTCAATTTTCTACTATCAAACTAAAATTTGAATCAAATTTTTTTAGCTTATTCATACATCATCATAATATTTTACATGCATGTAAAAATTTAATAGGATAGAATGTAGCTATTTAGAATCGTATCATATTTTTCAATTTAAATGCCTGAATATGTTAGAACAATTGGTAAATATTCATAGATCAAAAATAAAATCAATGACGTATATATACAATTTTTTTTTATAATATCCAACTGGCTGTTCAGTACAGGCCATCAGCAGCAGGGCAGTTGCGAGATTCACGCCGTACACCGTCATTTATCGCCCTGGGCCTGTAAATTTCTCGGAAAGCGATCGAATCAAGAAAATTATGGTTTCTTAACGTTTTTCCGAAAAAGTCGGCACCGAGAAACGTTTCACATCCGCCAAATTGTAAGAAAAACATATTTGCGATTTCTAGGAATTAAGAAGCAATAGGAATTATAGAAAAGTAAAAGAAATGAAAATTACTGAATAGCCTGGCATAAAATGGATTCCTGCCATCAAATAAATATCAGAATTTTAGGTTTAACGACCAAAAAAAATTTTCAACAAACAATTTTTATCTTTTTATACTTTTTTGCTTTTTCGCAATTTCAAAGTCACTCAAATGTGATGATGGCTTTTGTTTAGTATTATAATTTTGATAGATGTTTCACCGACTCCATAAAAAGTCTTTGGAAAATTTACCATTGTAAAATTTTTGGTGAAAATTTTGAGTGTTTTAGCGAGCTTGTAGGCAAACGAGTATACATCTTAACAATTTAAATTTTGTTTTAAATTATTCAAGCAATTGCCCAAGCAAGTACTGAAGGGTAATTTTAGCCTAGTTTTCTAGATTATTGGTTATTGCGAATACACTGGAACTTTCCGAAGATAAAATGACCCATGAGTTATACATAATTAAAAACGCCAAACAGAAATCGAAACAAAAAAAACGAATCATAGTTTACAATCGTGAAGAAAAAACTGTCCGAGTGAAAAAGTGTCAAAGCGACGGCTAAAATTTTAATTATTGCGTCAATGTTGGTTGGCCATTGTTACTAGGTTGCTTGAGGAAACATCCATTACAAACACAGTTTTGTTGAAAATAATTTATTCCCGTTTTGTACTGATATTTCATGTAGTCTTTTCATCATTTATATATATTTATTAGTAAATGTCAACAAATGACTGAAAGTCCTTTTGTCATGCGTTAATAACAAATAGCAAATTAACAAATCGCACATAGAGACTAACATTTTTGCAATAAACTTTTTTTAACTGCATGAAACTTGAATAAATTATTATTTGGCGTTTATTGTATATTCAATTGAGTTTTAAATTGATATTTTTATTTTCAGAACAATGAATATTGGATGAAACGAAGGAAGAATAACGAAGCGGCTCGAAGATCCAGAGAAAAACGTAAAATGAATGATGTTTTATTAGAAAGACGAGTGATGATTTTAACTGAAGAAAACAAACAACTACGAGCACAATTACTTGCGATTAAAATGAAATACGGAGAATTAAACGACCTGTGCGTTCCGTTATCAAGTAAGTAATGCTTTGTCGCCTTGTTAATGAAGACAATATAACAGTGGTTCCTGTCCTTTTAAATTTTAGAATATGCATTTGTTCGGATACCAAACCGCTTGCAATACGGTTGAACATTTGACCAAACCATAAAGTATGACGCTATAGTGCAGACATGGGCAAAGTACGGCCCGCGTGCCAAATCCGACTCGTTGGGTAATTCTGGCCCGCCTGATGCTGCCACAATCAAACTGAAATCAAATTTGGATGTTTTAGCTGAAAATAGCGCAAGAAATTTGTTGAGATTGCGGTTAAATTTAGTTTTCGCACGAGGCATATTGTTTTCCACCTTTGCTTTGTTACACCGTATATATTGTTCTTAAAATATAACTTTTTACGTCACATTTACATGGCAATTTGAGCATTTTGATGAGATTTTGGAAAATTAAAAATAGGTCCTAATAAATAAAAGATAATAACATGAAAATATATTGAATTGGTAAAATATTTTGTTAGTTTATGGAATGACTCCTTTCTATTCACAAATGGCATATATATCGAACCAACAATGTTTTGCTCAGCTTAGATGGATATATTTCTACATAGCTATAGCTGAAGTCTAGCCGGAACATTATTTCATCCTTTTTTTTCATTTTTCGTTCCTACTTTGTGATTCAGTTAATAATTTATTTGACTTGGGCGTGGCTAAAAAATCAATGTTCATAAATAAGTAGGGTATAACGTACTTTCATATATATACCGAAAAAACCTTTTATGTGCTAAAATTATCAGTGACTCAAAGTTGTTTTTAAAAGTATATGCATTAAATAATTGTTTAGCCTAATCAATTTGACATTAATCACATATTTGTCCTAACTCAAGTAAACAATTCTTGTACAATTAGGAACTGGCGGCATTTTAGAAGAAAATGGCGTCAAATTCTCTACCGTGTTGCTTGTCACGTTTATTTCTGTTTGGGATTTGTTTAAGGTTAAAATACATTTTTTGTATCACCACAAATCACGCGACGGGCGATAATGGAAATTATACACTACGTTATTACCTTTTCCTAGAAAGCTTTAGATTTCTTCCTGGAAAAACAGCCCTCTTGTATACACGAATGTATACGTTTACGACTAGAAATAAACGTTGAAATTACATAGGATTTTCAATATAATCTGCGTAATTACAGTTTTAATCAACTTTCGACAATAAGAGATAGCGAAGCATGTACTTTTTTATTCAGCGCATATCCTTCTTTTGAATGAGCACCCACCCATTCACACAATAAATCATGCATGCCTTTTTTCATGGTAAAATCTTCAAAGCATACTATGTTCAACAAACACATATTGGTTGCGACAATTTAATAATTTAATCAAATAAACTTTAATAATATGAGCTCACAATTTAAGCATGTTAGAGGTAATATTTATAGAAGTGATTGAGTGAATGTTATACTTGTAAGACCTTACAGAAACCTAAAACTTTTGAATGCTAATATACCGGTTTTAAAACCAACTCGACCCGCTTCACGCTTGTCAAATAGAAAACCAATAGCAATCTTAAAAAAATTACCTAAGTAATATTTCATATCTAGAAACTGTTTTCATGTTATTAAATCAATGAGCAACAAACAATGGAAATTGAGCGATTGATAATGAATTCTTTCTATATTTAATAAATTATGTTTTAACCACTGAAAAATGCTTAGGTTCCAAAAGTCATGCAATACTTTATTTATATAATCCTCAGTTTCGATCAATGGTTTCGCGGCTTTGAATAGGCTATGGTTTCGAAGTTTCGCATTATTGGAAAAGATCATTATCGGTGTTTCGATTAATTAAACTGAAACATGGCCAGAGCAGAATACCTCAAGTTCATTCAAAAAACAGTGTTTTGTTAAATATACCAATTAACGATCTGCATTACTTAAACTCGCCGAGTAAGTAGAAAACAGTTCGGTGTGTTATTCTCCTACCTGTACTGTATTTAACCTTACGTAGTTATTTTCATTAAGTCTCAGATTTATTTTGGAACGTTTAGCTGATGACATAACACACCAGTCGTATACGATGATCGGGATTACCTGTATTTGTTCAATATCGCGTTTAGAAATAATCACAAAAATATGAAAGTTGGAAAATATTTTGAAATATATCTGTAGTATGGAATAGAATATATTTTAATAAAGATAATTCAGGTATCTTGCATAATCTCAAATTACTACGTGAGTTCTCATATCTCGTTTTAAAATCTCAACGTTTATTATTCTAGGTTTTACTAAATCCGAGTATATAAACAGATTACTTCACTCGATAATATCACGTTTTTTTAATTACATGACTATGATGTTTATATTGCGATTATTCGCGACGTCTTCGCGATAAAACATTGAGTTGCTTTTTGAATTGAATTTGTTTGGGTGGGAATTGACACGTAGGTATATATATAGTAAGAGTGACTTTTTGTTGTTTTGATACTTCAAATAGATAAGGATTCCGTTCAATTTGAGTCTTGAATTTAATCATCTAATATTTTTTTTATTTCAGGTTCCGTTGCACTGACGAACGATTTCTATGACAATGTTAAATACGATGTCGATTCATCAGAAAATTCAATAGATATGCAATCTTTGATGTCACAAACAAAAGGTTTGTAAACAAACAATAAAACTACGCGAGAACATGATTGCCCTTTGGGTTTGAATGACAGGACAGCATTGTCGTCAGTTTAAGCGTCGTCATATACGACGTCAAATTTTCTTGTGGCCAGGGGCGTGTCTAGAGGGGGCCATAGGGGCAGCACGTTACAGCAATGAGTTTGTTGCTCAGTTTGATGATCTAAATAATATTAATACAAATATTTTACTCTTACTTGACCTTTAATTTATTTATTCTCATGTATAATATCATCTATAATTTGTTTATCCCCCAAATTATTCCTAAAGTTGGGTTTTAGGGGCACCATCATCAGAAACTTGCCCCGGGCAGCAGAAAATTTTGACACGCCCTGCTTGTACCTCAGCTTTCTTGTCATTAAGATATATTTTTTCAGACATGCGTCTACAGTAATGCGATACTTCTTAAAGTGGTACTTTAGCATTCTATTTTAATAAATCATATAACAGATTTGTAATCTAAACATGCTGTCAAAATATTGAAGTTGAAGAATATATTGAAATACAAAATCAAGAAACTTTTCATATTTTATTACAAAATTAGAAAGATCTAGTTTGCCTGAAGCAAAATATGAAATTTGAAGTATTTATTTAATATGGTAGATATTATATTGATAGAAATGATTACATTATGTAATAAACCCAAAGAGATGTGATCGACGTGTAGATTATAGGAACCTCTTCAGCGATTTTTTCTGTACCGAGCATAAAAATATGAATTTCAATTTTTGTATTCAAATTTTGTTACGGTTATTTAGATTTATCTGAATCAAGATCGGGACCTCGACTGTTTACTTCAAAAGTTTTCACGAACGCATCTGGAGATACGAGCGCGACTGTTCACGTTAATAAACTGTCAGGTGAGTTTATTCAAAAATGATAGCATCTAAAATCGGCGGTGTGGCGGGCGCATCGTGAAAAGCGTTATAGAAATACGCTCGCCATCGCAACCCTGATTACCCTGGGTAGGTTCGAATCCCATGAAGGGGTGGTTATGTGCGAGAGGATTGCTGAACTCTTCGCTGCCGCTGAGTGGCTCACGTAACCGCTGGTTGGTTACGCCTCCCACCCACTATCAAGTCCATGCATCTAAAAACAAATATTAAGTGGCTAACTAAATCATACCGTACATGGACTGGTAACCGGACGAGAGGCTGTGGTTGGCCATATGACTAAGCCGTCTCATCGGCTTTTCCCTTCCCCGGGATAAATATGTGAATCCCAAATTCCATTCTATTCGAATCGTAAGCGCGAGTGCATGTATCCAATGCTCGTGAATGAGAGATTTAATAATTTGCAATTTTTCAAAAACGACACGGTTTGAAAAATTGTATTTTGGGAATAAAGAATTTGGAAAATCTTATTAACATCAAAGGGCTTTTGATGCGGTCATCAAACCGAGAATGGAATTGACTAGGTTTAGGCAATGACCAGTTTACCACACACGAAAATGTGTAGAATTCCTCTTTATTTTTGTTGAGAAAAAAAATGTACATGGCTTTGTTTAAGTCATTGAAGGTAATCGGGGAATCAGCTTACTGCTCAATACAAAAACTACACAATTTGAGTTTTTTTGAAATTGAGCATTTTCTAAAAGAGTGTGTGTTGACTATAAAGTAGAACACATAAGCCTGACATTGGAAATGAAACATTGATTTAGTAACTAACTATGAAACTAAAGTTTTAATTTCAAAAGCTATAAAATTTATGAACTATTTGTTGAAGCTTAAATTTATCATTGCAAAATAAAACTTCTAATACTACAGCAATTTGTGGAAAACCTCTTACCGCATTACAATCACGTCGAACTGTGTTGAACTTGTCCCAATTCGTAAATTAACAATGTCTTTACACTACAATTTACGTTTCAGGTAATCCAAAAATTCACGGCAACAAATTTGTTTTCGCTGATTTTTCGACAATTTCGGAGAATTCGCAATCAGAGGATCGTGCTAACCTCGGGCTAGACATCGACAAGTGTGGGCGAGCAACCATTTCGAATTTCTCAGAAAGAGCTTTGAGAGAGTCCGCAATTAGTAAACAGGCAATATCGATGCCATCATCAAAGCTGAATGGCGACGAAAGAATTCAGCAAGCTACAGACTACATTATCCCAAACTCGTTTAAAAAATCTGAAAGATTATCGTCAATTCTGCACGGAGAAGCTGATAAAAGAGAAGAGGAAGCGGCTTTGCTGCTGGCAGGCAAATTCAACTACGACATATTGAAAACCGTTAATATTAATCATCAAGTTCCTTTAGCAGATCTTTCTCTCCTAACGAAGGAAGCGATGGGAAAAATTGAATATTCATACCACCATGCCCGAAATGAAAAATTTGGTACAACAAACATAAACTCATCCCCAGTGCTATCAGCTGAAATCTTCTTAAAAAACCTTCGATTAAACAAGTCAGATTCGCCTATCAATAACCACGATATCACAAATAAAACGAATTCCACCCAGCAACATGAAGCGCCTTCTATCACAGTAAACAATGTATTGCATATTAGTGACAAAGTTCCATCGCCAATCAACAATGAAACACCGGAGACAATAACCCCGTCATCTGCGCCTTTTACTGTTAAAAGGCATCTTTTAAATGAAGTCATGGCAACCAACGAAGAACCTGACACAAAGAAGCATGTGTGTGATGCCATCCCTGATGACACCCACAAAAAATCGTCAGTTCAACTTCCTCACAAACTTCGTCTTAAAAAATCTACTAACTTTGATACATCGCAATTATGTTCCGTTTCTGCAGCATATTCTTGAATCAAATATATTATTACCTAATAAATTCAAAATGCAACAAAAATTGTTATATTTCCAGGAGATATCATGATTTTAGCCATGGGAAGTTTACATTTATTTCCACACCTGTACGAATTGCCTCATTTAAAAAGTTGAAGCTACGCAGATACTCCCAAATATTTGACTTAACATACAGTTGAAACAGTTAACAACAGCTTGAAAGCGATCCAGTGATCGCTTCGATAATGATCCATGAGTTCATTTCGTCTCGAATATCAGGTTTAACATACAAAGTTTAGAAGCAATAAAGACAACTTTGTCATGAGTGCATTATGCATAAACATCGTTTCCAGATTCGGTTTAGTTGCTATTACCAGAACTAGACACACGTGCATACTCTAATAAGAAAAAAACGAGAATATCGGTCAGAGACCGAAGACTTATAGGTCGAAAGTTAGGGGATCACCCAAAATAGCGCTCTTACTCCATAGTGACACCTTGTGTCCCATCACTAATTAATTAATAACTCGCTAATTATACGACATAATTCATCCAAAATCAATAGGCTTCTGGTCCGACATATGATGAATGCACATGCAAAATCTGGAACAGATTCAATCTCGTTTTCGTGAGATATTGCGTGCATCTAACAGACAGACATACAGACAAATACTCATCTTAAGATCGATAAGTAATCATTTACAAATTGAAGCGAGAGAGGGAATCAGTGACCATGTTTTTAGACTCGCACAGGTATTATCAATATGATTTAAAGATGTCAAAGAATAAAGATCTATGCTCCAGCTTTGAGAAATATTGACATTACAAAATACGATCAAAGCCATTAGAATCAATTTATTATGAGGTGTTTTAAATATTCGTAAACGATTGTAGAGGCATCAATAGACACAACTGAAATTAGACCCAACATGGCCTAACCAACTTCTTAGACCTTACGTGAGGATGTGCACTTTTACCTAAGCAACAACGAACTAAAATATTTTACAAAATTGTACTAATTTCTGTGATGAAACGTTTGTACCAAAGCCGGTGGGTTAATTCAAGGAGGTGGGTGGTAAGATAGGTGCAGTTACTGGTAAAGTTTCGACGTTAAGCAACTTCTATACGTTGTGACTCAGGATCAGTGTTTCCCTTCTAGGGGACAATGAAACAGACAAGGAGCACGGAAAAGATTTTTATGAATACATATCATTGTTCTGTACTCATCAAAAGTTTAAAATAATGACATTTCATGACCAATTAATAAAAAAAATGCTTGACCCATTCAATAAAAAAAGTTATCCCTGCTGTACAGGCAGGGCCGGATCATGGCATTCAGAGGCCCTATGTACTCAAGAATTGGTACTCCCGTAGTATGTGAATAAAGATGGCGGGCGCCGGAACGTATTATGTGTACCAGGTTAAGGTTAGGCCATAATTTCATGTAGAAATACTACGGGAGTCACTTGGCTAGTCCCCAAACTCGTAATAGAACTAAAATAGGGAAAATTGAAATCAAATTATAGCCTAACCCTAACCTGGTACACATACTATGTTCCAGTGTCCGCCATCTTGTTTCATATGCTACGGGAGCGCCCAAGTATTTGGTGCCCTTTATATAAAATATAATAATAAGAATGTAACTAGTGTTCCGTGTTATCTGAAATTGAAAGTAAGTTTCAGTATTCATTACTGATTGAAGGTCAAATTATGATTATTTTCACATTTTTTAAAAATAGTTCTCGTCACTATAAACATTTAGGATGATACTTGAGAATGAAAAACAAGCACAATTTTCTTATTTTTTATTGTTATTTTATTGTTATGTATTATAAGCACTTCGCAATGAATGCATTTCGTGCAGAACAAGTAATATTCACACTTTACATAAATAAGAGTTATTACATTTATCATCTAATCTACAACACAAAATTTCAAAAAATTATGCACCGCATGAGGGTTCCTTGTGTACAGTTACATGTGGTTACCATGGAGGCGACGCACGTCACAATTTATTTTAACCGGGCTAATATTGAGGTCTGAATCGCCTGACCAATTTGACTAATCATTTCATTAAACAAACACTGAGGCAATATTGAAAACTCAGCTTTGAAAATTTCTGTGGTCTTCCTTTATCTTGGTGCCCTTTTGCTCAATGGTTGAATCAGTGCTGACTACAGCATCCTTGCATTATTATACGCCTACAAATCCGTCGGCATAATAGAGGAAGACTAAGCAGTGGTTCTCAAACTTTTTAAGTCGGGCCCACTTTTAGAATTTATCAAGTCTCGGGCCCCACCACGAAAATAATTAGCTAACAATAAGCTACAAATAACAGCTAGTAAAGCGAAAGTATGTTTTATTCAGAAAACACGTTGAAAATACATGTACATAATGAAGAGATGTAAACAATAAAAAATGTAAATATCCAAAACAAGGCGGGGATAATCGAATCTAACAAATAGTTCCATTTTAACTTGGCTTCACGCCCCCTTAAAAAACTCAAACTAATATCTTCAGTGAAACAGAATAATATCAGTATTACATTTACGGTGAAATGCTATTCAAACGTTGAACGACTTGCTCTTTTCAACAGTATCACTGTTAAAAAGTGAAAGTCATTAAATGTTTCAAAATGAATTTCATAGTAACTTTAAAAAGTAACGACGAAATGCCGTTTAAACGTTGAACGACTGGCGCTTTTTAACAGTGTTACTGTTAAAAACGGTCAGTCACTAAATATTTTAAGTAGCATTTCACCATAACTTTAAAAAGTAATGGTGAAATGCCATTTGAACGACTGGTGCTTTTTAACAGTGTTACTGTTAAAAAAGATCAGGTTCCAAATATTTTAAGTACCATTTCGCCGTAACTTCAAATAGTAACGGTGGAATGCCATTTAAATGTTGAACGACTGGCAATTTTTAACAGTATTACTTTTGAAAAAGGTCAGTCATTAAATATTCTAAGTAGCATTTCATCGTAACTTCAATACCCTAAAAGCGTCAGTCGCCCTTGAATCCGATATTCGTTGTTTCATACATACTGTATCAGTATTTTGAAATGTAGTAATGTACCGTTACTTTTTAGATGTTCCATATTTCTAATGACTAATTGCCGAAATACCGATACCGGGATATCGGTACGGTAGTTGTACCCCACTCAACCACTCTTAAGCAGAACAGTATTAATTAAGCTACTTACTAACACACCGACTGTACCTAGTTCTCTTCTGTGTGCTCACTTAATATTGTTATGAACTTATCGGAGGTAACTAATTTTGTTCGCCTACTCCACATCAAGTTGTATAAAGGAACTTGAGCCTATGGGCAGGGGGTATATTCACTTGGCTAACACAGACAGTCCCCACACTCGTAATAGAACTTGAATGAGGAAAATCAGAATAAAATTAGGGCCTAACCCTAACCTGATACACACATTACGGGAGTACCAAAATTCCTCTGTTGCCCTCCTTTCTTTGATACAAGCACGTGCCTATATTGCTTAATGGTTGATCCAGCCCTGCGTACAGGGTAACCCCAGCTTCTGCGCGTGTCATTGTTTCGTCGACAATATACGAAGGAGGCATTTGCTTGAAGCATTCAATGTTGGAAACTTACTCTGTGGATCCTAATTTATTTGTAATGTGAAGAAGAGGTAACCTGAAGAGTAAATGAAGACTGTTTATCCCAGATCGGTGGGTAATAAGACTCTACATCGGATGAAGTGCCTGGGACGTCGTGTAGTGCAAAGTCAACTAGTTCAGGCCACCAATGAATGATTATATATACGATATTCATCATCATTCGCAAGGGTTTGCGACCACGCTGTGTCGAGGTCAAGTTCACGGAACTACAACTCGGAATGGAAGTTATATAAACTGCGCTGACAGTATGACACTACTGTACTGCGCAACAAGTATATATAAATGTTCCGGTTTGTTGGCGGCACGAGTAATCATTACCGGTAAGTCAGTAAGGTATCCTTTGCTGGTATTTTACCGGATTAATAAATCGAGAGAACTTTTCACCGGAATTTATTTTTTATGACACATCTCAGAAGAGCATCAACTTTATTGGAATTGAAGCCACAGATGCATGCAACTCGGGATATTGATATCTCAGATGCTTTATTCGATATGCCTGATCGGTTATGAAAAGACCGTAATGAAAAATATTGAACGAGGCACAAAATTGTTGACCGATGACTGAGGAAAAAATTAGAAGTACTGGAATCATGACTAGATTCAGGTAGTAAGAAGTTTATGCATTATGCCCAAGTGTGAGAAGAAAATCATCAGATCGGATAGGAAATCTCATTAGTCTTTGCACCTGCAATTACATAATTAAAATAAACCAACTATGTCCAAAAATAATTCAGCTGTGCGGCCCCGTGCCTGTAGTGAAACATCAAATTATTTGCGTCAACTCAAATGCCGAAAATTATAATTCTGATGAGAGTTCAACTCGGAATAGCAAATTATTGGAGGTGAATGAAATTGAAGCCTAAATTCTATTGATCCATGCTTTACAAACTCTGGTAAAGTTTTATAATCAAACTTGTTTACGAATATTACTTTTTTAAACCCTTCAATGCAATGCCAATTGTTGAATAAAATACAATTCGATAAAATACTTGGACGTTGTTGTAGCTTTCTTATTTCAGAAGAGGTTTATTCGAGATCTTTTATCTAGGATTACAGATAAATTAATTCGCCCAGGCTTTTGTTTCGCGAAGAAAATAATAACAAGTCAAAATTTTGATGCGTGATCCGGAAACTGTAGGTAACAAACGCTGATAGGCATTGGATATTATAGTGTCCTATTTTATATTTTATTATGGTTTCAATTTGAGCAAAAAAGGCAATCAATTATTTGAGAGGCTGTACACGTTTCTCTATTTTATTTCATGCTTTCAGTCATTTCAATATTTTGTAGCCGGTCAGCGAGGTCATTCGGCTTGATTTTTCTTAGTCCGCCGGGGTGGAAAGGTCGGGAAACACTGGTCTAAACTAGAGCTTTATGGTTTGTCCGAAGCAAATGCGTGATTTTTCAAATTCTCTTGTTCTTACTTAGGTCACGAGATGGCGCTTTTGAATAGCATTTACGCCCGCTTCAGACGCTAAAGGTTAATTAAAAGATGCCACCAGACTTAGAAACAAACCAGGTAGGGAGAAATCACTAACCGAAAAACGGAATGCGCAAAAATTTGGCTTGCTTTCGTGTCTTCTATTAAGTAATGCTTACAATGAAATTCTGATTTAAATTCATCGCACAGCCTATATTTCAGATTCGTACGATATTGAATTTCTATATTTTGAATACATGAATTTAAATCATCTATTTGTTTGCAAAATTCAAAATGACAATATAAGAGATTTACATTTTAGCAAATCTTTTCGAATTACCTTGTTTTAATTTTATATTTATTGTTCTCATGAAGGTCATTAAGAACCGGAGAAAGGAACGTAAAGCTATTATCGAACGAAGTTCGAGATATAATTATTCGTTCGTTACCTCGTCAGAATGACTAATTTAGGCAAAGTTATTTTTGAGCTGCTAAACTGTCAGTTCATCAATGTTTTTTAATTTCACTGTCATCATAATTCGTGATTATTTTCGTGTTCACGATTAATTTCGTCCACTCACATTCCACAAACTCAATTTAGGTAATTTATGCAAATGACTACTATAAATATATATATATATATATATATAAATTTCATAAACCAGTACAGCATTTTAAAATTGCCACTACCGTATGCTATGACAATGAAAATCAGACAATAATAAATTGGCCAGCAAGCGACTATCACAATACAGCATTGTGTACTCCATTTTGGAGATTGAATATGTAAATTTTTTCTCAGACAAGCATAAAATTCCCATGAAAAATGACCACGGAAACAAACAAACGCTAGAGATTCGACTGTAATGAATAAACAAAGTTATGAGAACTTCGGAGTTTCAACCAATTAACTTTTATATATTGAAAGGCAAATCAAACGCAGATTAATGAGACCGGTAATTCATCTCGTCATTATACACAAGGATATAAATCCACGCAGTCCTGACCATGTTATACATATACAGTAATTAGTTATCATGTTTTAAAATTATACACGGTTCACCTACCAAACAATTGATATGGCAATTAATTTTCTAATGATTACACTAATTAAAATCCTTTAAGCATGCGATCATTTGATAACTAGAATCAAAAAAGGGGGAATGAATCTACTCAAACACCTAAAACAAAGTTAAGTTCGCTATAAGAGGTGCCATCAGGAAATCTAGTTATGTGGACTATCTAATCTAACGATCAAATTGATTAGGATAGGACTTCAAGATATAGTAATGGTCAATAGACAATAAAAAATATTTTGTCACAGTAATTTCGAGTTTAATACACATTTTATTTAAAAATTGTCACGGTTCACATAATTGTACATATTACCCAATTTCGTCGCACTATTCATGCCAAAAATGCGTAGCAATATTGTCAAGTATATGTTCGTAACAGCATGATTTTGTTCGATAATCAAACCATATTGAAATTTGCTGGAAAACCCTTTTCCTGCTCAGTTTACTTGAAACATTATTTCATAAATGAATAGTTTGATGATTTGATACAATTAGCATGTAAATAAAATTTCATACAAATTATTTGTAAATTATCATAGTAGGAATTATATGGGTCGAGCAAAAGACTCAACATGTCGTCGTTTAGTGCCGTATTTGACCGAGTATCATATAAAATTGCCTTTGCTATACATTGGATCAGAATCTAAAATAAAATTTCAGACAAATTATTTGTAAATTATCATAGCAGGAATTATATGGGTCGAGCAAAAGACTCAACATGTCGTAAATTAGTGCCGTATTTGACCGAGTATCATATAAAATTGTCTTTGCTATACATTGAATCAGGATGTCAAGAAACCGGTTTTGCGCAATCGAAATTAGCTTGATAAAATTATTGCCTTGACTAAATAAATTTGGTAATGATGTCTGTACGAGAGTAACGCTCAACCATAGAACATGAGTTGCCTGGAGCGTTTAGCTTTACTCGTAACCGGTCACAAACGACGATGAACGGTGTTGGAGGGATAATTGCGACCGGTTTTTATGATGTCGTTTGATGCTGTCAGTTTAAACCGTAACTAAGACGTACGAACAAAAAATACTTTAGATAAATTATTTTCTTTACAGCTTCCTTACCATTAAAATATAGTCCATCCTCTAACGCGGTTTGGAATAAAATTAATTCTTCCTCACGTACCGATTGATACAGAAAAAGCAGGCCGTGTATAATAGCCTAAAAACCCAAACGTTCAAGTTTGAATATTACAAATCATTTTTTTTTTACTTTTTCTTCCATAATATTTTCCGAATATCAACAAATTTTTCACAAACTTCAATCAAACATTGATTGGAAATATATAATTTAGTTTATCAACAAAATGGTGAATTAGTTTCTCATTCAAGAAATTATTTTATGTTATGATTACATATTTCGCGTTCATTTTTCCCACGAGGGGATCATTTTAAATTCGTCAGAAAGCAATATATTGCATGTAATATTGGTGCAAACGAATAGTTTGTAACAAGGTTTATTCTTTTTATTTGAAACAAAACGTGTTCGAATCTAAGTAATTTGCCCTAAGGGCACCTAACATGAAAAGACGTGCTCAACTCGTGACATTCTGTTTCAGTAGCAATGAAGAAAACCTGATTTTGTATTGGTGATGTTGTTGGACAACACATAGTTGTCTAGACTTGGTATTTGACTTCATTAGATAAGAGCTTATTAGCGTAGGTACAACTTACCGTAACAATAATTAGAGAGGCTTCGCAAAGTTCAAGATTTTGCTCGGTTATTTGATATAGTCTAAACTTTCACTCATGGCTGTTTCTAGGTTGAAATTGGACCCGAGGTATATACGATAGTGAGACAAATTAGAGTCGTGTTACAAACTGGTAAGGTAAAAATGTATAGCATAGCGATTATAGCATAGTGATTATGCATCGCAAGACATTGCTAGTATATGTTATCACCCCAACAAAAAATGGTGGGAATAACGTATCTTGAAATTCAATCAGGGTAATGAGAGTTGGAATCGCATCAGCCGGTTAAAGCAATAACTGCATTTTAGTTATAACAATTTTTAGGAAGCTACTAACGGTTAAAAACCTATATATTTTCTCATGTTGAGCGATCTAGTCATTTTTCTAGTCATGTTGAAAAGAAAAATCGTTGTAATCATTGTCGTGTCCATGTAGACTAAAACATTAAAAATATTAATCTTGTAATATCAAAGTAGCTAATTTATGTTAGGCATTTGGATCAGTCGCCAGGATAGGCTGTCGTGATAAATATTATTATCGTCGTTTCTAAAATTAAAATTAATAAAATGCCAATTGATGACCAAGTTGATGAATTTTTTGTTTTGACACCGCACAATTCAAATTGGCGTCAGAAATAAACTGAGATTGAAACAATAGTAGGCAAATTTAACCAAAATTGACTCCGAATATTCCTATGTCATGTTTAGGTATATGTATCCTGTGTTTATAATTATAATTGATAAAATAAGCATGACGATGTGGTCTATTGCATCAGCCAATTTCGAGGCATTGTGTAAAAAGTCAGCTTGAACGGCGAGCTAAACACCCAAATCTGCATCGATGCTTTATATATTTAATATATTCTTATTCATTGTTATAGTTATGCGACTAAGGAGTATATAATTCCAATAGCACATGATTTCTTGGGCAACAGTTTGAAAAAAATCGACCGCTGATCGTTTAATTTTCGTTGAGCAACAAAAACTGCGATATTACAAAGGAGAAGGTTTTTTTGTCCCGGACTATTTAGTGTCAGGGAAGCCCCGTTTTTAATTGAAGGTCAACTGTAACTAGTCGACGAGAAGAGAAATGGCGGGGTTGAGCTTTAACCCGGAAGGGCATCATATTCGGGACGGAAGAACCTTAGCAGAGATTATAGCAGATGAGGAATATCTGGAACCGGAGGAACCAAAAATCAAAGAAAAGGAAGAAAAAGAAGAAAAGAAATTCAAGTTTATGAGTTTTGAATTGGACATGAAATATCCAAGAACTTTAAGAGGATTCATGCGAATTTTACAGATTGTGAGTATATAGATTCGCGTAGCGTGTGAACTAAGATGGCGGACACCGGAACATAATATGTGTACCAGATCACGGTTAGACCATAATTCCAGATACAAATACTACGGGAGTCACTTGGCTAGTCCTCGAACTCGTAATAGAACTGAAATAAGGAAAATTGGACTAAAGTATATGGCCCAACCCTAACCTGGTACACATACTATGTTCAGGTGTCCGCCATCTTGGTTCACATACTACAGGAGCGCTGATTCGTGTTTTCCAAATGTGAGGTTACAAATTCCCAAAACCGGTTATCTAGCAAAACTTATCGTATAATAGATACATTCAACACTTATGAACAATTTATTTCCTATCTGATTAGGTCTTTGCTGAAGATTGTGATATCTGTAGGATTACCAACCCTTAGATTCCTTAACGAATTACGAATGTTTTAATTTCACGAAAAAAAGTGATTCTATTTTATCATGAGGATGCAATTAAAAGTACACAACGTATTTTTCTGTAGAAACTTGAAATACATTTTCTAATTGTTATAATTTTTCCCCGCCGACTGCAGGATGATAAAAACGTATTTGAGACTAAACTATGAGATTATAACTGCGCAGCGTATTTTAATCCAACAACGTGAACCAAAAAGATTATGACTTGATAAATTTAATTAAATACTGTCATCAATTTCTCGCTCTACGGGCTACGCCATTTCATGAGAGGATAAGAATATTCGATTGATTCAATTTTTATTTTAGCTTTTGCTGTTAGTCGCTTTCATCTGTCTCATCATCACATCATGGGAAAACCAGGGAGTTTATTCATTTTATTGTGTATTTCTGATTTTTGGAGCGCTTGTCAGTGGATTCTTATTTTTTACTCTGATTGCTGGAAGCAGGAAAGGATCAATTTGCGGTAAGATATTACAGTATACTCAAATTTAAAATATAGATATTTTTTATTCACCATCACTTACAACGCCACGCACTAACGTGTGAGAGTATGGATTTGAATCCCGCCCAGATTCGAGCAAGAATATCATAAGACGCTTTATCCATTTTGTTTTATGGACCCCGCCGGGTAAACTTTGATTTCAATCTGGCCAGAAATCGATGAAGTGCGAAATTTTGGGGGTGAAATTGATCAACAATAAACTTGAAGAAATTACAAATATTTTCGTGACTAAGTTGCACATTTTACGGGTATTAAAATTCCATTATTGGGTCAATTTTAAAAGATATTGAGCACTGTTTCACGATCAAGAGTTTACATAGACGAAATAATTACACAATATGAACTTAGCGCTGTAGTCATTATATAATATGACGTAATATACTGACTGTAAAATCATTAAAATGCCATTCAAATTCTTTTGTTATGACGAAAGCTCTTTACAAGAACCAGTTTTGACTACGCGATTTCATTTTAAATGAAGGCCGTAATATGAAAATTACTTTTTAAAGGATGTGCCATAGCAACATCCTCAATGGAATTACAGCAATTATATTTTATTGTTATATTTAACAGGTTTATCGTGGGTGAAAGTGGTAAGTTAAAGCTTATATTGAAACAGCGTAATAGAATATTATGATAACGTTAAGGTCTGATATAAGTCTACTAATTCTAGTGACATCACAATAACAATAAATTTTCAAACCGATATTGATGAAAAGGAATGAGCGATATAAGTTCAATATCACGTGCCTTGTATTCAAAAGAATTTTAGAATAATTTAATGAGGCGTGATGTACTGATGTAAAAGTGTTGAATCACCATTTGCTTTTGTGCTGCTCTATAACTATCAAATTTTATTGGTATTTTCTTTTCTTTCTGCAGGAATTAATTTATTTCATTTTCTTCGGATTCATTATATTTATTGGTGCATGTTTGGCAGCCAGCAACTCGGGTGGAAATCCAGCTCTGAATGCAGGCGCGGTAGGTATATTTATTCTGACAACAAAATTAGAATCCAAATTAATTAAAACAGTTTTTTACAATAGAACAATACCATATATCAGCGTAAGTTTAATGTAACTATGTATGAGAGTTTTCTGAGAAATAAATCATTTGTTTACTCACGGGTATAATAGTACTTGAAAAGTTCTGATGCGTTCGAGTAGGGCTACGGAATTTGACACAGAGTAAACAAACCAGTACATGTCTAAAGATCAAAGTCACGATAAAACTCATAGCCACAAAACACACTGGTTACGATATTTAAACGAAATGTGTACCGTGTGACTTTCACTTTATAAATGAGCACAATATTCAATCATTTGTGGTAAAATCTTAGCTTGGTTCTTAACTACGCTTAAGATTTCTAGGAATATGGCGGAAAAAATTTCATTTGTACGTTTTATTATCTTATTGCATCAGCCTACTTACCTCCGATAAAAACGATAAACAACATTTAATTTATCATGTCCGTTAGCACAGTGACTTAAGAGCGAATAAGTTATGCTATTATAGACAATAAAACTTGTCATTTTCATGCTGGGAAAATGCTGTGCACCATCATTTAAATGCATACTGCTACGTGTAAGTTCATTAATCTCCTTCACACAGCCTGAAGCGCAGTTATGTTGCGGTTTTGAATAGTTTATTACCTTGTGGTACACAGTTACGTGGCTGAAAGCAATAAAATTTGTGCTAACTGAACAACATCTGTTAATCAGGCATTTGAGAGCATTCTTTACAGAACAGGGTTTGCAAAATCCCATTATTCATTGCCAAAAAGCAATTGCCAACGGACAAAGACGGCGAGATTAAGACTTTTTATTCTCAAAACCAGTCTGACAATTGTGAAATCTACACATCGTCCACAAAAATGTCGCAACCAGATTTTATAAATACCTGAGTTTTGACAGAGTGGTGTATATATTTCTAAAAAAGAAATTTTGAGTCATTGATTGAAATCAGTTCAAATTATTTTTGATATGGTATGTTTCTGCCTTATCGAGTTTCAATTACTGTACTGTTTACTTCTGTTTTGTCCAGGCATTTGGATTTATTGCCGTTATCACATTCGTTGTGTACATCTTCTGGACGTGGAAGGATTACAAGAATTCAGATGACGATGAAGATAAAAAAGACGACGAAGATGATGAAAATAAAGAGAAAGATTCTCAAGCTGACGGAGATGACGTAGAACGAGGTCCAAGCTACGGACCTCAAGGTAGAAATGGGAGTATGAACGAGAAACGTCTTACGGGAAGCATGATAGATCCCCCGGAACATCAAAATGGGGATTTGAGAATCGATGCTCCTCAGAATAACACAAAAGAAAGTGGAAACTTTGGGTGAGAGAACTATCTTATCGGAATAATATTTATATTATCGAATCATTTCAAAATTAAAACTTTCAAAACCAAAATTTTCAGTGGCGCTCCTCAGTACCGACACCTCAACGACGGAACCAGATCTCTGGAACGACCACTTTCTATCATTTCGAGAAACGAACTTATTGATCCAAAATCAAGAAAAGATCAGCACAACCGCCGCCCAAGAAGGTATGTAACGTTAGTAACGTGATTCAACGTTTACGAGCGATTCCGGTTACCTCAGCCGCCAAACAAAGCTAAGATAAACGTTTCTGGGGCCAGTACAAAACAGATAACCTGAATTACTCGTACAGTTGTATTAACACGATCACTATTGTCATTTTCGAAGTGAAGTGCCTACGCTAAGTAGTTTAATTCCGAATCAAACGATAGAAAGCTGTTATTCTGTTTCATACGAATGTTGATGGTTATTGAATCGAAATAGACTCTGCTCGTCTAGGAACTGGAACTTGTTTTGAAAATAGTGAGTAATGTCGAGCGATGGTAAATAGTTCAGTTAACTTTCCTAAGTTGTAGCAGATCCCAAATATGTGCGGTTTCGCTCTTACGTAAAAATTTAGAAAAGTATCAATTTATGAAGTGCTGTACTGACTATTATAATTAGGTTAACTGCATGTTATTACCTGGCATGTGTTTATTTACAGCGGATCAGACAAGGACTCGGCATATAGCGAGGGATCAATGGTTGACCGCAATCGTTCTCTCCCGACTAAAATGAGACGCACAGCAAGCGCTAGAGCAGATGAACGACAAAGAAGCTCGGGAAGGAGACAGCGCGAATTCAGCGACAGAAGAAAAACTGGATCAGCCGAACGGTAAATTACAGGCGGCAATTCAGTGGCTATAATTTCCTCTAAACGCCTGTAGGTTATATGTAAGAGCGGAATTCAAACGTAAAATCACGTTAATATGACATTGGCTAATCTTTACCAAAATTTAAAATATACCTTATCGTGTACTTACTTTCAGACGCCCACCACAAGAATTATCCGCAGAAATCTTAAACCAGGAAGATGGTCGCCAAAGAAAATCAGTTCCAAGTTGGCTACGAGCGGCGTTGGACGACGATGAGGCAGAAAGAGGTGGGAGAAGACTCGTTTCTACAATGCCTGCCCCTGGTCGAGGCGAATTTCCACTATTGCACATGTCTGATGAAGAGTCAATTGCTTACCCATCTGTATCACAAACTTTAGGCAATGGAGATAGGTTCGGCCCACGATTCAACAACAGCCGCGGGCGCGGAGATCCTCGTCACGTTCAGCACGACCACAGAAGACGAGGCGGCCAACTTCACAGAAAAACTTCACGCAACCATGGGCAACATGGAGTGCATGGAAGAGGCGGGAAACGTTTCGGCCACGGCCACGGTCACCGGCACATACACGGGCATGTCAAGAGGCAAATGCACGGACCACACAGGTTTCTATTTAAATAAGTACCGATAATACTAACGTCACTATCCTGCAAGGCATTGCGCACAATATATTGTCATCAACCTTGCATGCCAGATGTTAGGAATATCGGGAGCTGTTCACACCACACTTCTATCAGTAGTCAAATTTGTATTTAAAATGACCCAATAACTTTTAATGAACTGTTATGGGACAATACTTGAAAACGAGAAAGAAGTAGGCCCACTGGTGGACGACTTTCCACATAAAGGTGTAAAGATAATCCTTCCTTGTTTTCAATATTCAAAGTCGGCGAGTTTTAAAATACGCACACACGTTTTTATATTCATTCTTGTTTTCGTTTAACTTCATAGAGGGCAACACAGGCGAGGAGGTCGTCATGGTCGAGGACATGGTCACCATCGCGCACATCATGGCGGAAATGACCGCGTTAGGCCGGAAGATGACGTTTTGCTTCGCAAAATGGTAGGAAACGACCAACTTGTTCATAGAAGTAACGGACAATTTAGTGGACCAGGAGTGAGTACATAGGTGGGGTAAATGAACTTCCACATTTTTAAAATAATATATTTATATCACTTTGATTTGTATCAGATCAGTGATTCCCAACCCTTATCGTTAAATTCCTACCTCACTATGAATAGCAACTAATTTATTTATTCAATATTAATTAATTCTCAGATAGTAATATGTGCATAAATAAGGGTGCTGCAGTAGTGTGTGTACCAATATGGAGGTAACTAATTTTGTTCGCCTGCTTTACATCAAGTTGTGTATAGGCACTGAAACGTATGGGCATGGGGTATATTCACTTGTCTAAAACAGACAGTCCCCGAACTCGTATTAGAACTAAAATAAGAAAAATTGGAATAAAATTATGGCCCAACCCCAACCTGTTACACACACAATACGGAAGTACCTGAATAAGTTTTATAGTTCTAATAACGAACTGTAGAAAATATTATTAATATACACTACAGCAAAGCCAGACCTCGTGAGTATTCTGCGATCAAATTGTTAAATCGGAATCTAATAAGCTTTGTGTTTTTATACAGAACAACAGGCGTGTCTACCTCGAACAGCCTGCTACGATTCACTTCCCAGAGAAATCACGATGGGACGACAACGAGCCCGGCTTGCCGGATTTTGGTGGAACACATAATATGATAGAAAAATATTTGAACGATCAATCGTAGCGTTTTGATGGCCAAAAATGAAAAATTCAGTAATCCAGTGACACTGAAGAGTGACTATTCGTTATCGCCCAAGGAAGATATAGTTTGGGAGGTTTTACGCAACCATGGGCATTTGAGAAAATTTTCCAACAAAGATGCCGTATTTGACGGACTTTAACTACCTGATTTATCAATAAAACAATTTAATATGCCCCTTATGGTCCGTAAAATACATTGTATATTCTTCTGCATTTTCTTTCAACAATATTCATGTTTCCTTCTCTGCGGTCGGATATCGAGTCATAGACTTGGAATTATTTATTATCTGCAATGATTCTTTCAAAAATTTTATTTGCGTGCGAAGCAATTAGAATCAATGTGAACAAATTTTGAACAAAATATTTCAGACTTGAAGTTTAATGAAGTGTTTTTTATTATTGCACTGATCTACCTATTCACGTGATCAACGAATACTGAAATCATTGAGAGTAACATTCAAGCTTTAATTGGACTTTCATTCTGACAGACATGCAAATGTCAAAAGGAATTCCAATGCGTTCAACGAGAAATAAAATTGTTCTGCTGAAGTTTTTAGACGATGTACTGCAATATATATGAATATTATAGATATACTTTTTAAATACACCCCAAATATGACGCATATCTTGGAATTATCCCCTTAACTTACTGGGGGGAGTGGGTTGGAAATTATCCACATAGCTTTCTCGAATTCCATCTGATCGCCGAGAGTACAGAGTCAAATATATATATTTATAACCCTAACTGTTATTTATTTTTAATGTCTGGTGTCCGTCAGAATATTTTCTTTTGTGCCAAACTCAATAGATCATGTAAGCAGACATATTTTAGGTTGATTTTTCCGCACTTCACTTTTTTTTATTAATTCTGGTGACATTCCTTGAATAAAATTATTGATCTATCGAATGTGCTGTGAAGTTAGCTGTATAGTTAGACTTACCATACGTCCAGATTTTAGCAAGTTTTCCCGCCGTCCCATCGGTAGACCTGAACGTCCCGGTTATGCAGTACGACAGTCATAAATATTTTTAATTGATATTAATACAAAATTGATTTATTTTTTCAACGGAGGCAGCCGATTTACCACTGTTTGCCACCCACTTCACTAGTTCAAATACTGAGATAAATTGTTGTCATAATTATGATATGACGTTAACTTAATGACAAACTGTAATGTTGAATCATCAAAATGCCAAAAACAAAGTGCAAGTTTTTTAACAAGTTGAAGAACGATTTCCATTATTTGAGGCAAAGGCCAGTAGGAGGAGCTTTTAATAGGATTTAAAGCTTAACTTTGATGCCCGTAATCTAACGTATGGAGAACGTATAAACTATCACTAAACCCTGGAATCGAACCAAGGTTGGCTTGTCCAATCCGCACCGTCCCGTTTATTTGCTTCAGATATAAGGTGAGCCAGTGGACAGCCCATATGCGTCAAGCGTTTTTAACATAGGAATATGCATTTTCCGTGGGTGTCTGGCGCAGATGCCCTGAAAAATTGCGAACCTTACACCACTCATCCAGCATTCCTAGCTTAGTTTCTTGCTCACACGACACCAGTGTCCAACTACGCCACATTATGGAAAATGGCCACATAGAACTTCTAACTCGCAATACCAACCTTGTTGGCGAAAATTGAGAAATTGACGTTATATCCTGATATATATTGCAACGCTAAGACACTCTAACAAATTACAATCTAAAATTATACAAAGCACATTCTTACATTCAAATACACACACACACACACACATATACACACAATTAGATATTGCCTAGATAATTAGTAACAGCAATACCTCAAGATCAAACCAGACCAAGCATAATACATATAGATTTATCACACTTAGTTCTATCTTATCAAGAATCTGAAAATAATTTGAGAAAAATTACAGGATATATTGCATAAAAATGTGCTTCAAATTAAAGGATATGTTATTGAAATTAGTCATTTAGTTTTGAATAGCTTGGAGGTGAAAACTTTTTCCTGATGTATTTGAGAAGGAATAAAGGCACACAACTGACGGCTGTGATGACAGCAACTTTCCATAGAAATGCTGTTGTTGTCAAAAACTCTGGATCTAGAAGTAAAAAACGGTTAAATGTCAATGGCGCTGAATCTATTTTTGTCAGTTATTTCATAAGTATTATTGAAATGTTCAAGCAGGATCAAGGTCTTATTCAATTTTCTTTCAAAAAATAACAACAAGGCTTATTTTGGGGGGATGTCTTTTATTTTCATTTATCAAAAACAATATTACGAAGTATAGAAATATATAAAATATGAAATCAATATGCATTTACATATAAATAACACATTTTTAATTAAAAAAAACGGCTAAACATTGATTATTCAAAATGACCAATCATTCAAAACATGTAGGAGAGATTTCCTGCCATCAACTGGGTCAAAAAAAAAATTGTGCTATCGACTAGGTCTAATTTTGAGGTGAGGGCTTACATTAAAATCATTTTTAAAATTCAGGCTAGGTCTTATTTTCGGGAAAAAACGTTATTACCAAAATTTGAAACGGGTTTCAAAAGCTTGAATGAATCCTACTGTGAAAAAAATAAATTTCATTTCTAGATAGATTATTTTATACTCACCGAAATAATCCTTCAAAATGATGAGTGAAATGATATAAATTGTTAGCGAGCCAATTTCTGATATAACCATGACCCAATGCCATGTCCGAATTGTAAGTGCGACCATAAGTAGTTCCGTTAGTATAAGTGAAGTAAAAGTGATGGCTACAACATGTAGAAAATCTTCGTCGAATAAAAGGAGAGATCCATACATTATGACTCCTCCTAAGAAAACAGAATGAGTCGATCACTTTTGAATGCTTTCAACAAGGCACTGGGTTCGAAACATATCAAGCTGTTATCTTTTTGAAATGATTGGTATTAGGTGTAGAGTTTGTGAATTGTGAGATATTTAATATGTGATAACAACATATCAGCAATGGACAAAACCGAATATTTCCCTATTTTGAATACATTTTAAAATAATTTTCAAATATGGAATATCATTAAATTCCAAATATGTAGGCGAGTTCATGTACGATAATTTTGTGTTGCTTGTTACCAGTTGAGATATCATACGTTTTGATCTTAAATAAAAATACTCAAAATTATTCCTAAATTTGAAGAATTTATTATATCAAATATAAAGATTTCCAAATGTATTCGAACTTTCAATTTATTTTGGACATCCCTACTAACTCTATGTCATCGATTGCTTACTTTTGAGTGAGTACAAAAATTGAATCATATCAAATAACAGCAAATTCTATAGGCCTACATCAGTAATCAATAGAATAAAATTCATACCTTGATAAATGCTGATAATAACCCAGATTAAAAATGTCTTCAGAGATAATGATCGACCCTGTAAGATAAAAATCATACGAGATGATCGGAAAAAGACGATACACCAAAAACATACTGAAAATAAAACCTCTGTGAGCATATTAGCTAAACAGATATTATTTTTGCCCCATGGAGACCATCATCTTCCCCCAATTTTACGAAATATTGCACTACAACACAGCTTTCCCCTCGATCTAATTCTGAGAGGTAGGACTGACTTTACAAACGACATATCTTTATTATAATAATACACTACCCTTATATCTAGGTAGGATTGCATTTCATATTAATATTAGGGAAGAGTAAGTCTGTAATACGTAATATTCACATAGTGAACCAGTTTTATAAGTGTATAAGTAAGTTGTTTACATAAATAGACTTGACAGTGCTGTAAACAACGAATGGTCACATGAACCACTATATGAAAGTAAACAGTCCTGCGGTATTCTAGCACATAATTACCCCCATGAGATTCAAACCTGCGACTAACACAGGGTAATCAGAGCTGCAATGGCACGGGTTCGTTTGTATCCCTAGCCATAATGCAAGAGCAATTTCTCTTTTGTTTTGAATATACATACCTTAGTGAGAGCTTTATATAATTCAGGATATAAAAGTGCAGTTTCTGCTGAAACGTCTTGATCAAGAACAAGTGAAAATACAGGAAACATTGTGTAAATAGTTGTGTATCTGAAAATAAATAAAGAAATGTTTACGAATAATTCCTTGAGCTGTTTAAATTTCAATAACAAAGCAAGATATTCGGTTGTGACAATAGTATCCAAATTAATAAACAAGCCAGAAAGTTTCAATGCAATTTATTTGATATTGATTTTCTACATTGATCCATTCTGGTAGCAAAATCAAAATATATTTTTTGAATTTCCTTGATGAGATCTGAATATTAAAAGATCCTTTTTCACAAATATTCCATTTTAAATTATTAATATTGTATAATTCCAAAGTGAGTTTTGTGAAAAGATTCCACCTTTACGATAAATTACAAGAGAATATTCGCAATTTTCTGGAATCCCGCCAAAAATTTACTTTGAACAAGGTATGAAGGATTATTAAAACATTACAATGCTTTGCATTGCATTACTTCTATGATTTATTTCACTGACTGAACATTCATCAATTTTTTTTAAATTCAACTTTAAAAAAGTGTCTCACCCAACCATAAGAATTCCTTGATAAATTGAAACTGATGAAAAGTAAAATACAGATGAAAAAACAGCCTAGAAAAGAAATAATAAATGTTAAATGTGTGCTACCCCTAGGTAATATTTCAAGTTCTATCTGTAAAAACCTGGTAAATTTGAACATTTTTAATACAACACTATTAGACATATAACGCAGTATTATCTTTGAATCTAAGTCAAGTCTCTCAACTAGTTAGCGAAGTTATTTTTACATGGCACAAATTACTTCGAGTCTTCGAAAAAGATTGACCGAAGACCGAAGTTGACCGAAAATTTACAATGACTCTTGACTTCGGTTAAAAACAATTTGGTACCGACTAAAAGTTGAAAAAAATATTCATGTCTGAAAAATTCAAATCAAATTTTGAAAACAAGAGCTTTGGCAACTAGACCATTAATAACGCTTAGTAAATTCAATGACGTGTCTGTGTAGAACATGACCTTTCCTACCACCATTCTGACTGTGAATCCAGTGAATTCAGAATTTCAACTTCCACTCCTTGTTGGGAATTTGGAAATATAGAACATTTACCCAATATTAAGAAGCTCTTCCCACCTGCATGACTGAAATGATAAGACCACGATGAATGATAAATTGACTCAACGAAGCCGATCTTTTATAACTGTTGCGACCGTGAACAACGAGCAACGGACCAACATGTTTAAATTGAGTGACAGAAAAATCTGCGGCAAGTGATGCTTGTCTTCCTTCTTTTCCTACAATACCGATTCCGCAATGAGCAGTTTGAATCATGCTAACGTCATTACCACCATCCCCTGAAAATGTTGATGAATGAATTACAAAATTGCAATTCTCGAAATTCCATCTGAATGTCAAAATAAGGGCGCTCCAGAAGTGTGTGTACCAATATGGAGTTAACTTATTTTGTTCGCCTACTTTACATCAAGTTGTGGATTAAAAGATTGAAACTTATAGGCAGGGTAAGGAAAATCAGAATAAAATTATGGCCTAACCCTAACCTGGTACACGCACTACGGGAGTACCAAAATAAGCATTTCAGATGTGATATGAAGATGTTCTCATTATGTCATTTGAGTATTCCCAAAATTTTAAGTGGAAAACCGGACTCCATAGAAGAAATTTAAAAAATAAAACAAAAGTAATAGATAGCCTTGAAGCAACATCTTCTATCTTCAAGTAATGGAAATTTGAAATTAATTGGTTCGGGTATTGCAGAAAAAAAGGGTTCACACCAAAATTTTTCTAAAATGATCCATATGTACACCAAATTTCCAATAATACTTTAATAGTTTTCATTCATTCATTCATTTTGACATTCCAGTCCAGCTGAAACTTATAAAGAGTTTTGAATATCGTAAGAATCAGTGAATTATGTATGAATTTTCATAGCATAATAAGGTTGGCAGAGAGGAGGCATACTGTTACACTGTTATACTTTGGGCGATAGAGTTTTGTCTACTGAACTGAGTATTAAAAGTTGAAATAAGTCCTCAAGTTAAATCTCGTGTAATTAATCTGCTTGGAGAGTAAACATCATCCACTTCAAGTGATATAACAAAAAAATTATTATAACTGGCTAACTTGTCCCATAATTAAATGGGAATGGTAACTAGGCGAGAGGCTGCAATATGATTAAGCTGTCTTGTCATCTTTTCTCTCTCCCACAAGATAAGTATGACACCCTATCCTATCTTATCCTAGTTATTAAAATAATATTAATCTTACCTATTGCACATGTTCTTTTGTTAGCATGTTCTCTCAATAGCCGAACAATTTCAGCTTTTTGTGTCGGTGAGCATCGACAAACGACTACAGCAGGACATTGACAAGCAAGCTCGATAAATTCATGCTCATAGAATTCGAGACACGAAGCGAGAGATTCTCCTCGTATGATTAAAGCAGCATCAGATGCTCGACGCCGAAATGAATTTAACTCTAAATGTGCTTCATTGCGAGTAGTGACCTGAAAACCAAGAATAGAATTCAGCAAAAAGTTCCCAATTATGCGTTTGACTTCGAATTCTAGCTCCAACTCCGAAATAACTGACTCACTCTTGCGGTACAAAAAATTGGCCTTTTTCTATTTCTAAAATCTGTAAAAACACAAGACTTTGGCTTTTTCAGAATTTTCATTCAGACTTCCAGCTCCAATCTCATAAATCAGGGGTGTTCAACCTTCAATACAGGAGGGCCGTATACAAATAACTGAAAGAAACCGTGGGCCAAAACTTTATTTAACATAGGCTTTCTAGTAGTTACAAGCACAAAAAAGCATTGTAACGTCATAGGCATAGATAATAAATTGGACTCAGGTATAAGGTTTGTAACGCAGAAAGATTGTAATTACTCGCATGTACAAGATTTAACGAAAACTGTTTTGCGGGCCGCACATCATTCAAAATTTGCACTTCTCCGCAGGCCGCACAACTTTCATATGTGGGCTGCATTTGGCCTGTGGGTCGCAGGGTGTATAACTGTATACCCTGCCATAGATACCTAAATTTTGGATAGAAAAACTTGGCGTATACAAGTCTTCTGTACTAGTCTCTCGAGAATGCTAAGTCAACTGAATACTGTTGGAGCTTCTCTTGACACGATCAGAAGTTCCAAATCTCTATTCGGACTCCAAAATCCGAGGAAATCAAAATTTGGACTCCAGCTACATGTAGATTGAAAATACGACTCCAATATGAAAAATTACAAAAAAATACAACAGAAACAGTTCACTAACTTGTTTAAAAATATATATTTCTTGAACTCTTGAAACAAGTCTTGAACTTTTTGCAATACATGTTGCTGTTTCTAGTTTATCTCCTGTTAACATCCAAATCTGAAAATAGAAGATTCAGTACATCATGATTGAAGTTTGATTTGAAAGTGTGAATCAACACAGGGTGATCAGCTGTGTGATAACAATCATGTTCATAACATGTGGCACAATGTCTGTTACATTTCGAATCATTTTCGAAAGTATATTGATTTTAAAGACATGTTGGGAATTCGGATTACCAAAATCATTATTTTTTGAGCAAATATTTTATTATAAGCGAACAATTATTTGATATCAAACTATTTTAAAAGAACTGTAAAATATTGAGATCACCTAGTTTGATTATTTTGATTCGTGTAAAACTATCACAACAGAAAAATACCCATTACAAAAAAGTAACAAGATCATATATTTTAAAACTGTATCCATTTGTTGATATTTCCCTTGAAAAAATGTTTTATGTAACATACCCTGATCCCAGCATTCTTTAAATTTTCTAGAGTAGGTCGAACATCAGTTTGTAGTTGGTCTTCCACTCCAGTGACACATAGCAATTCCATATCTCGTTCCAATGTTTCAACTACTGACGATACATGCATCGATCTATCTGTTACACTTAGTTTTGCTTGGTTGTACCTCGCCTGTAAAATAATTTACAGGTTTTAACAGTATTTGAGACAGGATTTACATATTTATCCCAGGGAAAGGAAAGCCGATGAGTCAGCTTAATCATATGGGAAACCACAGCCTCTCATATGGTTACCAGTCCGTGTCGATATGGGATTAGTTTGCCAGCTATTTGTTTCGGAAGCATGGACTTGATGGTGGAGGGAGCCGTAACCAACCAGCGGTTACATGAACCACCTCACAGTGCGAGGAGTCCAGCATTCCTCTCGCACATAATCATCTCGTATGAGAATAAAAAAAAAACTGAGACTAATAAAGCGATATCGAAAAGTTTTGCGATAATTATAAATACTCCGAATGTAAGAAAACTCTAATAATCTATATTGAAAAGTTATATAGTCCTAGCTGTGGTAGAGTTTGTCCCTTCTTATGAGCATATGAGCATTGAAGTCAGAGTTGTAATTTCCAAGTTGAGTCTGAGTAAAATTACAAATTTTTTGGAATTGAAATTCAGAATTTCAAATATTGAAAGGCAATCAAATTCAAAATTTTTAATGAAAACTAGAAAACATATAAAGTTGATTATGAATTTCCCATGTATTTATATTGTAGTCGAAAGCTAAAGTCTGATTTGAAAATTCTCTGAAACTTGGAGTCAGAAAAAGTTGCCAATCAGTATGCGGAAAGCGAGAAGGCAAAATTTTAAAATTGCTTGAGTTTTGAATTCTGATCAAAATTTTCTCCGAAGCCATAGCCCTGATTGTGATAGCAGAAATATGGTGAACATGTGGTGTGGTATGTATATATGGTGAAATTTTTAACAGAATCTATTATTGATGAATTTGTAAACTTAGAAAATCCAGAAATCCATCACCTTTGCAGCTGCCTGCTATATTTTATTCAGATTTACATCACATTTTTCTCAAAATAAGTTTTCATCCAATATTTAACCCAATTTCTTAGTCATACAGTCGAAAATAGATCCTACTTAAATTTTAAATAATTTTAAACTGTGTGGATCTCTCAACAAGCAAATTTTAATTTCCTAAAAATATACCTCAAAATCTCGATATATTTCTTCTGACAGGATTTTTTTGGCCACGACCAGAGTTCTTAGTCCTTCTCTTGCCATGTTTCCACACTAAAAATATAATTTGAAAATTTGATAATGAACATTTTTACACTCTCGAAAAATGTAACAACATGTAACATGAATTTCATTGTTAATACCTCTTCATCCAACCAATCATTGTACCGCACTACGTTAGTCATAACGACATCTGCACCTTTCATATAGAATGTAATTTCATTTGTCGACGTGTCTCGAACTATGATTCCCATCCTTTTGCTCTCAGAAGTAAATGGAAAAACCTGAATTGAAGAATGGGAAAATCAAGACAGGATTATAGTAAGCCATTTTAATTTATGATTTCCATATAGGATATTTATATGTTTTGGCCTATGAACAAGAATCTACACAAGCAGCCCATGAGGAGGTAACTAATTTTGTTCGCCAACTTTACATAAAGTTGTGTAAAGGGACTGAAACCAATGGGCAGAAGATATATTCACTTGGCTAATACAGATAGTCCCCAAAATCGTAATAGAATCAAAATAAGGAAAATCGGAATGAAATTATAGCCCAACCCTAACCTGGTACACACTACTACACTATTCGACTATATTGGCCAAATTGAGGAATACAGTGCTCTAAATGAAAGCAATAAAAGTTTAGTTGCAAGCCAGTAGATTACCAGATACCATAGTCATTATCTTTTCTTTACATTTCAAATAATTAGAAAGTCACTTGGTTCATTGATCAAAATTGTGATAAATTTTTGTTGTTCCGGTGTCAAAAAATGTATTTTTGTAATTGCACACACTTTTTTTAGAAATGATTTCATGTTGGTTACTTGATTTATTGATAAACTAAATGCACTACAGAATGATTATTGATGTAGAAAACTTTTATCTGAGAAACAGGGGTTTCAAAACACTGATTTTTATCAAATTTTTTAAAAAATTGAGATTTTTATTAGAAATAAATACATCAGCGATAAAAAACTTATCATACAAATTCTAACCCATGATAATATTCATTGAGGTCCTTTGTCGAATTATCATTAATAGTAAGTGAAAAACTACAAGTACGTCCTATAATAAATCTCAATTCTTTCCAAGCACAAATGCATTTTTTCATTCTAAAATGAGAATTCAGTAAATTCCAGATTTCTAGAAAATGCTTTTTTATATATTATTATTGGAAATAAACTATTCAGTTTTTAATGGTCATTGGATAAGATTTAAATCAATTACCTGTAATACAGTGTAATGAATGAGAGTTCCGTAAGGAGTTCGAAGTTCAATTGAAGTTAAATCACGCCGAAACAACGTCATACCAACTAATTCTGTCCATTTAACAAGAGCAATCTGTAAAAACAATTATTACTGAAGCTTCGTGTAGTCTCAAAAGCAAAGAATATTTTTATAATACATGGAAGTCCATCAAGGTTTGAACCTTTTTAAAATTGCGAAGGGAATTTATCGATACCATATACTGTTTTAGCCCTCACAGATGTATTAAGTGAAGAAAAAATACTTAAACAATTAGTGATTAAAAAACAACAAATCTGGTCAAGATATATTGAGAACTGACTTCATAACAAAATTGAAATTGTGAAGGGACTTTATGGACACTCTGTATTGTTTTATTTTATATAGTTTGAAACCTTCGCATAGAACTAATGTATAAAGAGCCTCTTTGTTTGGAAATATCTTAATCTTTAATTTTTATCGTAACCTGAATGATAGTCTGGCTATGTCGGGTATCGAAATAGTTAACCAGTTATTTGTTTCAGATGCATGAAATTGATGGTGACGGAAGCCATAAGTGGTCGACAGTTCTTCAACCATCAATTCCATCCAGAAGGGATTGCTGAACCATAACAGGTTCAGGTAACCGTTGGTCAGTTACGACTTCCGCCATCATCAAGTTCATACATGTGAAACAAATAACTGTTCAATCTTATTCTAATTTTAGACGAAGCTCTAGAATAGCAGGCACTTTAAATAATATTTGAATATGTTTTTCACACAATTTCAAGCCTTTTTGTTTCTAGACCTACCTCATCTGGACTTGCTGCTTGATAAGTCCTTGTTTGATCAAGAGTTTCATGATTGATATTATTCAATTCTGCATCAGATTCTGTTTCTTCATAAACAGGTGTTACATTGTGACATAGAGCAAGAGCTAGGGGAATAATGAGAAATAAGTAACATTCCTCGTACAGAAAATTAATACAACGGTAAAAGCGACTCCCGAGAATAGACAAGAGAAGTAACTATGGAACCGCACTGAGAGAAATCTTAATGGTTCATAACAATATTCCAAGTGAAAGAACAGGCATAAAGTTTTAGCGAGAGTTTGGCAATTTGGTTAAATCAAATAAAATAAAATCCAATGAACTAATTGAACAGTTGTATTTACAATCTTTGAGATATATCAGCCAGAGTGAAATAGTCTTTGTAAAGATGTCATATTCGGTTGGCATTAGTTTTGTATGTCTGTTCACCAAATGTGGATAAGAAAAAAACATTTTCTGTAAAAGCTATATAAGACTTCCTGAAAATAGGGTGGAACATCAAGGATTAGACGTTAGACCAACCTTCAGCATGTTAGGAGTTGAGTTGGAACCATTGTCATAAACCAGGGGTGTGCAATATTTTTTGTCGGCGGACCATATAACTAATTATATAACTAACTTGAGCCACCCTCTTGTCATAATTGGGTATGATCATATTGTTTTATCCCAATATCTTACCTTTGACAGCCTCTACTACTCTGTATTGATCACTTTTTTTAATCTTGGATTTCTGTTTCCGAGGTGTTGTTGAAATCAAAGTTTGATCTCCCATTATTATCGAAGGATCAGGATATGATTGACGAAGATAATTCTCAACCTGAATCAGGATAAGAAAATTTTAATTTAAAAAATCTGCAAAATGCAAAAAAAGAGTAATTTAAAATTTTATGGAAATGTCAACATTACATATTAATAGGGTTTGCTGAAAAATGAAAACTTGCAATGTGGCCGTAATTTTCTACAAAGCAAGCAAAATTTTGAATTAGGGAACAGAGGAAAGTCCAGATGGCTGATCATGACTTGTGATGGCATCAGTTGCAGGTCATAACTAAAGATGTTACCAATTTTATCGCCAATGAATGGAATATCCAGATTTTTATCCTTACATCAGGTATAGATTCCACTCCATATGAAACAGTTCCCACATGAAGTCGTTTGAAGATCATTTCATTTCTAGTTAAAGTTCCTGTTTTGTCTGTAAGTAAATAATTGATTCTGCCAAGTTCTTCTGGAATGGTGCTTGTTCTAAGAATAAAAAAAATGGCGGAATCCAGTCAGAAAAAAATAATACTACAATACTAATACTACAATGATTGATTGCTTTACTTTAAAACAATTTTTAAAAACATTACTCTGTGGGTGCGATGACCGAGCGGTTAAGGCACTAGACCAGGGATGCTCAAACGTTGGAGCATGCCCCACAAGGGGGGCGTAGACTATTTATTAAGGGTGCGTGGAGCTGATTAAAAATAAAAATATTTGTTAAATTTTATCTTGCCCGCATTATTTTAAATATTCACATTTTTTTATTGTTTACATTTCTTTATTATGTACACGTTTTTTCAATGTGTTATTTGACTAAAACATACTTTCACCTTACTATCTGTTATTTTAGCTTATTATTAGCTAGTTATTTTTTCAGTAGGGTGCAAGACTTCATAAATTCTAAAAAAAAAGAACGAGGCTTAAAAGTTTGAGAACCACTGCGCTGGACTTGCCATCAAAGGGTGTATTAAATTGAGTAGACAATGCAGAGCTGAAAAAGTTCGGACCTACTAAAAACAGTAGATTTAGGCATATTATTAGATATGAATGACTGCTTGTACAAGACCTTGTTCGGAGCAGAAGGGACAAATTAGCGTCATATAAAAAAGGATCCTCTGACAATTAATGCTCTACTTTTACCAAACTATTTACCTGACAATTGTCCCTGGTATCCTCTTATCTCTTTCAATGAACCAGCTATAGACGGCTTTACCCATGTCCAGATTAACTCGAAGACTTATTGGAATAATATATGAAAATAGTATAATAAATCGGAACATGTAGCGATACCATGGTCCTTGGAAACCCTGAAAAATCGAAAATTTATAAAAAAAAATTCAAAAATTTTGAGTGAATAGTGAGAAGTTCTCGAGTTTTATCCTCAGTTAATATTGGAATGCCAGGAGTAATGACTCTGGCATTTTTTCAATGAAACTCGACTCATGAAATGACAACGTGGACATGAAATGACATGTATTGTAATGACATGACTACAGTTTCCTTACTGTAGTTAAAATAGTTTTTGCATGATCTCTGAAATAAAGACAATAATTCGAAAGATTAAGAATTAAGTCGACACCAAATGATGCTAATCTGAATCTAATATGACTTGATATTAATGTAAAACTTATCTGAAAAATTCAAGTTAATACCTGATAGCAAGAGATTTCCTAAGAAAAAAAAGACATAGAAAAATAATTGAACAAAATTTGTAACACACCTTCACAGCAACAAGTGCAAGAGACAGAACAACGACGGCAGCGAATAATATTTTTGTCAATTTATTGATTTCTTCATCAAGCAGACCAACCTTATAGTAGAACCAATAAAAAAAATGTATCAAAAAGTTGATAAGATGGAGACTTATTACCAGGGCTGTTGAGTCATTTTCAGCATGTTTGAGTTGGAAATAAAGCGGAGTCCTCTTAAACTCCTGAAATCGGAGTCATAGTAAAGATTTAGAATTCTCAGGAGACGAGAGTATGTATTTTAGATTCTCAATAGTGATAATCGAAATCAATAGTCAGCAACAACCATTTTTTGAGTCAGGAGAGAAAATATCTTGAGTCTTTTGAGTAGTCAAGACTGATTGGGTGGTAAAAAGTTTTCTAATGGTAAAAATTACAAACTTTATATCCTTTTTGGGCTAAAATACCAAAATTTAATATCTAAGTCAAAATTCACCTTGGTTTTTGGATTTGAAGCATTCATTACACTTCTTGTATGTTTTCCAGTATAGATAACAACACCAATAGCGGTACCAGATGCAACAACAGTATCAGACCATAAAGTATTTTCAATGCCCAATGGCTCGTCTATATTGTCACCAGAATCATCAATCTGGATGGAAAAAAAGATATTTCGAGTTCATTGTAGACAGTAGTCTGTATTTATGTCATCAAAATCGGAAGTCATCGACAACATTTAAACATAAACTGATGCTGAAGTTTTCAATAGAAACAAAGAAGGCTTACATCGTTTTCACTATGATTTTATCTACCGGTAAGTCAGGAGATGGACGCTGGGCATCCGAAATAATTCTACATATGAAAAATTCCCCCACAAATTTTCTTTCAAAAATCCTCTTGATGGGGATTAGGGTTTGGATTGAATTTTATATGGAAGGAATTTTTCACAAAAGAAATTGTCCAGTGGGAGATCTTTTTGAAATTTTCCTAGCACAAAGTCAGAATCAAGTTTTTTGGTCTAAAATTGTAGGAGCCAAATTTATTTTACCCTTATTAAGGTTATCTGATTGGGGTTGGAGTTAGAAATCGAATAAAACATTTTTGACTCGAAATTCGTGATTTTAAGCCAAGCCAATTTTTTGGCAAACAAATGCTGTTGGTTATTTATATTATACAAAATTCATATCAAAAGTGTGTTATAATAGGTCAGTTTTTAAAAAAAATAGACAGCTCATACTGCCAAATACCAGCTGTGTAATACAGCTTATTTTAAGCCTTGCAAGCAAAACAACTCACAAAATGATTGGCAAAATATAAAAAGTTGGAAACTAAATTAAGAAAAAGGCAGAATGAATAAGCTTCCTCACTGAAATAATACTTAAATTAAATAAATTTAAAAGCAGATAAAATACACTGGACATTTTAATATACCGGTAATATTAAATTCTTATTATGTAAACTAACCACAATTCCACCAATACAATACATTCAATAAATAATTCAGGATTATGTATTGAAGCGTCTCAAATATATTGAGCAATTTATGTGAAAGACATCAGCAATTGAAGAATTGATGACGATTGCTTTGCCAGCTAATTTTAATGACAGATAATGTTGTCAAATATGAATGATTGATTGTAAGTATGATATGACATAATTGCCCAAACTTTTAGCAAATAAAAAAATAAGAATAAGTTTTTGACAAAAGTTCGGAAAATGTGTAATATAGTACTTTTATTCAACTTTACTTCAAATAATTTGACTAAAAACATTATAGGTAAAGCTTAAATAATTAAGGAACTTGGCAGTTAGCACTATGTCATTAATATCGGAACATCATAGTTTAATTAGGCTTGGGCTCACCTTTAATATCGCAACATGTAAGATTCAAAAACTTGAATCTAAAAACTTGTTGGAATTTTTGGTCCCTACTTGGATAAAATAACGTTTTTATCCATACTCTAAACAAGGTTCCAGACAAGCAGCTGCTGACAGAAATTAATCATTTGGGAAAAAATTATAACCAGCTGTAAATTGTATTTCATACCGTTGTAAATGTACCGGTAAAAGAATTGATGTTGATATGAGGTTTCTCTGCATATAGATAAGGTTTTAATTCGAATATATCAGCAGTGGATTCAACTTTTTGTGTGCTCGGTACAGCAAGTCGTAATTTCCAGTCTGTTTCACCGTCCAGTTGGTCAGTACGAATGAAACATGTACCTGAAAAGCAACAACATTTTAATTACTCAATATCCAATAAAAAGTGCAGTTCATTTGCAGTAAGGCTATGGAAATCAGAATAAGAAAAAATAAGTTAAACGCACCATTCTTTTCCGACGTACGCAAGAATATCAGATCTGCAGGAATTCTTTGATCTTTTTCAATCATTATGACATCAGAGACCTGAGAAATAAAAAAATGAAAATTAAAGCAGAAAAAATTGAAAAGTCCAGCACGATTGCGAATTTAACCACAAATGAGAAGAACCCAGAAACACATATATCAAGTACAGTTTAGGTTAAAAAAAATTAAAACAACAGGATCTCATATTAACACATGAATAATACCTGTATACTTGAAGCAGGTACAGTTGCAATACTCCCATCCGTGTTAATTTTTTTATACATTGATAAATTGATTTCACGATCCCGAAAATGTCTTCTTAATTCATCCATACCTTCTCGTAATAGAGTTACGCTCAAAACAAAAGCCTAGAAAACAACAGATAATGTTGCAATAGACAGCAATATTCGCATTGTTGATAATGACGCTAAATTCATTTCATATATAGTCAGGTGCAAATATAAGCCACATATTACATCCGAAATAAAGAAGTAGGTGCGTGCGGCCCGAATCAAATACTCAAAAGTCCGGATTCAAACCGTCCAGCCAATTGGGTAGCCCCGTCCTAGGTTACCAGGGGATGCAACCAGGATTTGTAAGAGCCGGGCTTCTAAATCGAAAATTCCATTATGATGGTTGCTGTTACAATTGCCACGATCATGCCACTTGGAAAAAAGCAACCTTTCCAGTGGATAATGATTTTTCTTTTGCCTAAAATCTTCCATCTATGGCCGATATGAAGAGATGAAATGTTTTGGTATATTAATTCAATGGTATTAAACGAATTTGCCATTGAGTCAAACTACTCAAAATACTGCAGCAATCTGCATGGTAAACTGCTCGATTTTAATTGGATTTTATTCATATTTTTGCGATCTTACAAATTCATCAAATTTGAGCTGTTCTTGCAACGCTGAATGCCACTCAAGATCATTTTTAAGATATTTGTTAGAAAATCAGCGATAAAATTCCTAGTGTATAATATAAAATTCAATAAAATATTCATTAAACATACTTTACTTGGATTAGCTATATATCATTCTAATAATCTGTGGAAAAAGCTGTGTGTGGCCTCACAGTAATTTAAGAATGTATAACTGACTACAGTGTATAGTGTATATTACAACAGAGCACAATGTGTGTCATAAGCAATAGGGAAACAAAATCTAAAACAGCATTTCTAATCTGTTTGGGCACTCCCTAAAAAAAATTTTTATAACACTGCCTTTCAGTCTCAAAATTCACTCCCTTATTTTCAGTGAATATGTTCAAAGAAAATACATACAAGAGGACCCCAATAAGTGTACAGATATCCTATCTTCAATTCCGGAATGAATTGTGAACATGCCATCACCAGAAAATACAGATTGAGGAAGAATTTAAATTGGTTGTACAGGACCTGAAACACAAATGTAAAATGTTAATTATACAAACCTATTATTACAATTTCATACGATTGTTTAATCAAGCATCAAAATAGGCAGTATTCATTTCATAAACTCAATACAGCTTCATTAGTTTCAATAGAAAATCAATTTTTCAATAAATTCCTAGATTATAAACCGTAGCCGTAGGTTTCTAAAATTATTGGTCTTTAGAACAGTAACAATCAAGGCCAAAAGAGATAATTGGTAATCAAAAAGAATATATATTAATACAAGTAGAAACAAAATTACATTATATAAACTGTATGTGATAAAGAAATTTATATTTACTATATTGCAAAAACATGTTTTTCCTTTAATTCATGCAAATTATTATCAGTTTTGGTATCAGTATTTTATTTTAAAAAAGAGTTACATACCCCTGGAACAAATGTAATAATATTGTACTTCTGATTACAAATCTTGTTCGCTGGAAATTTGTGTTCCTTCCCATCAAGGGTGTTAGCCTGTAACAACAAATCAAAGCATTGCATAAATAGGTATTTTAACATTGGATCGGCCATATTATGGTGTATCGTGATAAGCGTTAGGGATACTCTCACGGCCGCACCTCTGATTACCCTGCAGGGCTCGCAAGTTTGAATCTCAGAACCACAAAAAGCAATTTCAGTAACTGAAAATTCAAAATATCACCTGCAAACCAACATGTACTGTTCTTGGTCCCAATTCCTTCCCTCTTTTGCAGCACGCACAACATCTGGAAATATAAAAATATAAAGTTAAAATTTTCAATATAGTCCTCTTCCCTGGATAACTTCACAGGAAGCCTACTAATACCCTTAATTCTTAGTAATTTTCTTCTCTGCTAGGTAAGTACACAAAACATCTTATATAGCTCATAATAATAAATTGGTTGAGCAAAGCCTAATTGAAAACGATACTGATCATTTCGAGTAATACGCGTTAGAATGAATATATATTTCATATAGTTAGTATCCATGATGGCTTGTGTGTAACTTTAAGAAATTTTTTCAATTTTGAAATTATGTTGGACTTACTTAACCCTTGCTATTTCAGCCATGCCAAATTGAGGAAACTGCTACATAAAGATTTGAATTAAGAATTAAAATGAAGGGACTTGTAGGTAATAATACACAATATACCAGTACACCCCCTAAATCGACGTATATACAGGGTTTTAACAAAACCTGTTAGTCAGTCAAATTTTATTTTATGAAGTATATTCTCAATATATCTCAAACAGGTTTGTTTTATTTTCATCTGTGTTCATTCACGTATTTGAATACACATTTAGATGCCACAAAGTTCTTTTATGTAATTTAAAAAAGAGCAAGTCTTTGCTTACTTCAAAAATAAACCCATTGAAGCGGAACAACATCGTGAAAAAAAAGACTTTCGATGCAAAGGTATGGACGAGTAAGTTTCCAAATCTTCATCTCCTGTCGTCATTTCTATTTCAGTTGGACCCATCGACATCAGTGGAATTTCATCTAAGCCATTAGATGAAACATTGCTGAAATGAGAAATAATAAAGAAAAGTCTGAATGTTGTGAGGTTTGGATGTTTCCATACAGGGACAGCGGGTAAGACAGATCACAGTGCAGTATGAGATTGTATGATCAAGCTTAATCACCAGTACCTTATACATTTGTACCTGTACGTTTTGGCCCGAGCAGGCTTTAGTGCCAGAGTGCGGAGCAGTAGGGTACAGTTCTCGGATTGTGTGATGTCTGAGATTTCGGACAATAAAAAATTATGTCACTACGACGTGATAGAGCTCATCAAATTATGCGAACTGTTATCCAGGACACGCAGACAAGAACCCGAAATCGAACAGCCATTTCTCTCGTTTTCTCAACGCAACAATCCCGATAGGAGAGAGATCGCTGACGTTAGTCAGTTCTTTATCGTCGGAGCCGATGCCATTTTGGTCGTACGAGTATTTGGCAGGGTGTATGACGTGATTGTGACGTCGTAGTGGCGTAATTTTTGGATGGCGTAGTCAGGTGAGGGTTAGGATTGGCATGTCAAAGAAATTTTATGCTTAGCCTACTAGAAGTACGTTAGGTACGAAACTCCACGAGACCTCTTTTACAGTAGGGCACATTATCTAAATTCCAAGAATGTCCCGTCCTTCGGTTCAATAAAACAAACATTTCATGTGTAGCAGATGCATGTAGCAGATGCATATATCAGATGGGTGGGATCAGATGCTTGTTTCGATAATCATCTAAATTATTCGTGATCGTCACATGACCAAAATTGTCGTTTTTTGCTCGAAACTCTCGAATGCCATGGTAGAAAATTTATTCCTTTGGTAAATCGGATTATTTTTTTCCATTGGAATTCATTGATGCCGTTTTTAGATTGCGCTCCTTTGAAGTTTTTTGCGCAACTTCATTTCACTGTATTTTTACCGATATTGAGGGACAACAATGTCCAAATGTCCAATGTCTCTCGCACTGTAAAGTGTTTTTAGTTTATTGCGTGGCCGTGGGTTTGTCGATATTGTATACCAGACTGTCTCGCTTAGGGGAGGTTAACAATCACAGTTAGAATTGATTTTTTTTAATGTGGGGGTTATGTTAATCAACAAAGCACAAATCTTGCTAATAAAAACAACATATTTCTTGCATAATTTTGTGAAAAACATTAATTTGTGATTTTACATTTTGGATTGATTTTCAAAGTTTACCCGTCGGCAAAATTAGTTTTGAAAGTTTCCCAGTGGGCAAACCTAAAAAGGTTAAGAACCTTTGATTTAAGCCTACTACCGGTACTGTACTAACCTTGGTATCCTCGAATACTTCGCACATCTTTTGCGCGAGTCAAGTAAAGGAAATTTAGTTGCGTCCATGGATCAGAAAACGGACATATTTATCCTCCTTCTCTGTAGCACCTTTATCCGTTTGTTTTTTTTTTTTTTTTTTTTTTTTAATGTTTCCACAATGTGGATTAATCAATAATTAAAGAATAAATAAAATAATATAGGAATATCAATAAATAATTGTATACAAGTGACAAAACAAATACATCATCAGCAGAGTAGTTGTTCCATAATAGTCCATTGGTATATCCAGTATGTATTTTCAACATTAATCATTAGTACAATATTTATTCATTAGCATTAATTATAATAATGAAAACATAAAAAATTTATTAGTTTCAATACTAAGGATCACTATGCAATACTAATCAGAAGCTATTATATAAAATATCAAGTTCTCTTGTAAAATTTGGATTTTGTCTACACTTTTCAATATTCCTTCTTGCTATGAGGGAGTTCTTAATTTTCATTATCACATTGTTGACATTAGGATTAACATTTTGGAAAATGACTAAGTTTCTCTCCAACCAAATTTTATGTCTGGCAGTACAAAATAATAGTATAATGGCATTACGTTCCAAGTTTGACAATTGTGAATAACATTGTTGATTCAAATCTAATAAAATACACGTAATATAATTATTTCTCAAAACACAATAATTGATTTTTAAGGCAATAGAATAAACATAATCATACACATCTTGTGTGAATGGACAGTTCCAAAATATGTGTGAAACAAACTCAGGCTCTTGTGAACAAAACACACATAATTCATTGCCAGCAACATGTCTGATTCTGGGTTTTACTTTAAGAGGAAGAACATCCCACATTAATTTATAATTAAAAGATTTTACACCATTGGACAATATTTTACTATGAATATTAGAGCAGGCCCCTTCTAAAGTACCATCTCGAAGAAACACAATTCTATTTCCCCCATTAAGGTTGTTCACTATTTTATCATAAAGTAGCCTATGCTTCCCTTGTTTCAAATCATTCCCTGTGATGTTATGTTGTCTTATAAAATTAATTAAAGCTCCATAATATTTATGAGGAAAAAATACATGAGTTACACTATTATTCGTAGGTAAATTGAAAAATAAACAAAGTTGTTGACCAATATTATATTCAATAAAATTCAAAACTGATGGTCTATATTGCTCAGCAGTAATATTGATTTTATCATAATAATAGTCAAAAGCAGTCATTATATATAAACACATGGTAAACAAAGGTATATTAATTATATCATAACCTCCAAATGCCTTATTTTTGCACAGTGTTTCGATTTTCAATATACTTTTTCCATCAAAAACAAACTTTTCTATACTTTTATTTATCTGTTTTGCAATATTCAATGGAATGGGGTATAGTTTTGCATAGAATAAAAACAAAGGTAAAATTTTCAGTTTTATCATTAAACATTTGCCATCTAATGATAACGGAATATTCAGCAGCTCAGTTATTGTAGTTCTGGCTTTATTCAAGCATTTTTGCCAGTTTTCTTCACATGTGTCCGAATTTGAAAATATTACTCCAAGTATATTCAATGTGTTTACAATAGGTATCTTTACAAAAAAGTTGGGGTTATTCCATATTCCTAATATTAAAAGTTTGCTTTTTCCAATGTTTAACGACATCCCAGTTGCTATTTGAAATCTGTTTATCATATCCATTGCCGTATAGACAGAATTTTTGTTACGTAAAGTCAATGTGATGTCATCAGCGTAACTAATATGTTTTATTTCCTTATTTTGTGGAATCTTTATTCCATTGATATCTTTATGGGTAATAATTTTATTGAGCAGAGGTTCAATTGCCAGCGTAAACATGAATAAACTTAAAGGATCTCCTTGTCTAACTCCTCTTTCAAGTTTAACAGTTTCACTTAAGTAGCCATTTATCAACAGTCTGGTTTTTGAATCTGTGTACAAAGTCCGAATTACATTTATGAACTTTTCTTTGAATCCAAATTTTCCAAGTACTTTAAAAAGATAATCCAAGTCTACACTATCAAATGCCTTATTAAAATCTAATGATAACAATGAAGATTCCCCAGCTTTATTCTGTTCTTGAATGCATATATCTCTCAACAGGTTTAGTGAATCAGAGATTCTTCGTCCTGGAATAGCAGTTTGGTGTCTGTCAATAATGTCAGGAAGTACCATTTTTAATCTATTTGCTAACATCTTTGTCAAGATTTTATAATCATTGTTTAATAATGCTATTGGTCTATAGTTTTCAATTTTATCCAGTTCTCCCTTTTTATGTATAAGAGTTGTATAACTAATTTTCATGTCATTTGTTATTAGGCAGTTTTCATATATTTCTTCCAATACCTCAAATAAATCAAATTTTATGATGTCCCAGCATTTTTTGTAGAACTCTACACTTATCCCATCAGGTCCTGGAGTTTTGCCTTCTTTTAAAATTTTGATAGTTTCCAGAACTTCATTTAAAATTATCGGCCTTTGTATGGTTTCTGCTTCATCTTCTTGCAATTTTATGGATTCAGGAATAGCTGTTATAAAATAATTCTGAGTGTATATGTTGGTGTGTTGCTTTTTGTATAAATCTTGATAAAAATTCTTGACTATATACATTTTCTCTGTTAATTCATCTTGTATGTCTCCTTCTTTGGTTCTTAATTTGTTTATGTAACATTCTTTGTGCTTTTTTCTCAACTTTCTGAAAAATACTTGTTACATTTCTCATGTGTATCGTAATGGTGCGCCAAGTTTAAAATTCTTATTTTTTCACTTTTTTGTCTTTGTTTTGAAATTAATTCTCTTTTTAATTTGTTGAATGCAGTTAAAACCTTTTCACCTTTATCTAATTTTTCTTTTAATTCTTCCATTTGTTGCATTCCTTTATCATAATCTGCCTTTTCTTTTTTTGCCATTTTAATAGAGTGTTTGATAGTCAAATCTTTGATCTTTTTCTTAATTTCGCTCCACCACTGAGTTTTTGTAACAAATAAAATTTTTAATGAACACCAATTATTCCACTTATTTTTGAGTTCTTCAAGGTAGTTTTGGTTGTCATAAACAGATACATTGTTTTTCCAATATCCGTTTCCTTTCTCTTCAAGGTTACTGAAAATTTGGATTTCTACGGAATACATGTCATGATCAGAGTTATATGTAGGAATACAATAGAGATTGGTTACATTACACAATCTATGGGAACAGTAAATACGATCTAGTCTTGCTTGCACAGTTGTATTTCTCCATGTGTAAAAGGGGTTACTATTAGGTAAAAATTCCACAGAGTCAACTAAATCAAAAGTATTTATCAGCTCATTTAAAGCATCGGACACATATTCTTTTTTAGCTCTTTTGTTGTCTATTGTTCGATCTTTGTCTATGTCGTGCACACAGTTCATATCACCGCCTAAAATTACTATATGTCGAGAATATAAGAATCTATAGATGTTATTATAAAAATTTTCCTGTTTTAAATTGTTTGTCCGACAGGGAGCATATATATTCACTAAATGAATCTTTTCTCCATGAATATTTATATCTGAAGTGAGAACTCTTCCATCTTTATCAAATAGGATATTATAAAATGAAAAACTTGCTAGCTTTGACTTTAGTAATATGGCAACACCTTTTGAGTTTGAATCACCATTATTCCATATGCTATTTCCATATTTCCATTCTCTACTCCATTTTAGTTCAACATCTGCAGTACAATGCGTTTCTTGAAGAAATATTACATCTGCCTTTTTCATAGATAGTTCAAGAAAAACATCTCTGCGTTTCAAATTGTCTCTGAGTCCATTTACATTTAACGTAAGAATTGTTAAATAAAGTACCATTGTAAGACTAAGGGTTTTATTTTTAATTTTTAGTGTATATTAGTTGAGTAAATGAGGATTTAACAGAAACTTTATTCACTCATGCTTTTCAGGTATTCATTGGCCTCTTTTAACGTCATGGTTATTTGTTTTTTTGTTTTTTTCTTTTTTCTGGATGGCGATCTTACATTTGTAGAGGTGTTAGCCGATATCTCTTGTGTTGAGTCATTCTCTTGTTGCTGTGCGGTTGTTCCTACGTATAAGACTGTTTTTTCTGATGTACTGGATTGCGTTGTTGTTTTGAAGTTCATCTCTTCTTCATTATTCAAGTCAATCATCTCATCATTTTCGTCACTGATATCTGAAAGATTACCAAACATTTGTGGTTGTAAGTATGGTCTTGTTTGAGTTTCCGGTGTATGATCTTCACTTATTTCATTGGCAGGTGTGCTTTGGGTTGGGTTTTCATTTGGTTGCTGTTCTCTATTATTATTATTATCTTCTGTCAAAATAATTTTCTCTTTTCGTGTTTGTTGAGTAACTTTTTCTGTTCCTTTTTCCTTTTCGTCAATTTCATTCTGTCCTGGATTTAGTGGTCTTTGTCCTGTGTTTTTATATCTGTCAAATTTCGGAATGAAGTTTTCGCATTCATTTTTTATGTGTCCAATTTTACCACATATACGACAAGTTGGAGTCTGGCCCCAATATTTGACAAAGAGTGAATGACCTTTTATTTTCACATAGCTTTTAATAGGTTTTTTCATTAGATCATCTTTTTTTATAAAAATCTTCTTATGCCATTTTTCATATTAAATCTGTCTTTCAATATAAGTGGTTCTCCTACTGATCCATGATGTTCTTCAAAATGTTCTTTGACTTCTTTATTTTTCATCGGACATGGTACATTGTGCACAAATACTGCCACATTTTCAGGTACATAGAGCCTATGAAAAGGTAGAGTTTCAGCACCTACTTTTTTTAACTCCCAAAGTTTCTTGTCTACATCAATAGCTGTTGTTCTTGTTTTAAACGTTAAATCAACAGTGTATCTGGATGTAATAACAAATCCATCCACTGTGTCAAACACTACATCAAGTTTCCTAAAAAATTCCCAAATATCTTCTCTTCTGATCACTTTTTCATCATTAAATTTCAGTGCCATACATTTCGATCTATCTAGTGTGCCTCTCTCCTCTTCATCCCTTCTACGGTTTTCCTTCAATATTTCAGAGTAAAGCGACATCTTCAGACATGCCGTTTTACTCTCAGTGATTTTATTCAAGTTTCAATTTAGATACTATTTATGTAATTTATATCTAGAATCTTAATTATACAGCGAATCCTTTATCCGTTTGTTTACCTCCGCTATTACTAAAAAGCTGTATACTTTGACCGTAAATATATGCTACTACGCTTTGACGATAAAGGTTTACAACAAAACTCAACCAAAAGAATGAAAATCAGACCACTCGTTCATAGAATTAGATCGTTACAGCGATTTCCTGAGCTTCATCAACAAAAATGTCACGAGACTTTATCGCGTTATTGACTAGGTCTTATTTTAAGGGGAGGGCTTATATTAAAATCATTTTTAAAATTCAGGCTAGGTCTTATTTTCAGGGTAGGTCTTATTTCCGGGAAACGGGGTAGGTTGCGAAGAGCATGAAATATGGGCTTTGGAAATAATAAGAAACATTTTACGCCCTCCCGTGGATTCCATTAAAAAGTACAAAAAAAATAATTGTTTATTTTTTTGGTAAACTTGGTTGAAATACAAAATTCTTTTAAATACGTTACATACACATTATTCATGAAATTAAAGATTATACTCTATATCAGTCATTTTTGAAAAACTAGCAATTCTGTCTGTCTCCAATTTTGTGATTTTCTGTTGGCGTTGCACAGGCCAAGAAACTTCCGATTTTCAATTCTCAGAGACATAAGTACGGCCGGCGCCGATAACGATACCGGTACCTGTTGCTTTTTCTATGCGAATGTACATTTTCTGGAAATGGAATCTAATCTAATCAATTTTGGATGGGAACTAATCAAATTTTAATTCGATCAATTGGCATAAAAAAGCAGGCCGGCACCACACAGGTTTGTCATATTGGCTTTCTTACAGCCAAATTTATCAGTTATGTTTTTTTAATTAAAGCACGTTTGGCGTCAGAATTTCTGTTTGATGTTTTGTCATTTTCTTGACTTTTTGATTTAATTGAACTTAATTAGTCTAAATATGCTACAATATATAGTGTGCAACAATAGCCTGTTGCTTAGCTACTCACAGACTCAACATTCTGACTTTTGGTTTACCTTAATCAGAGACAATGCTTAACAATGTAACATTTATGCCTTAATCATAAATAAGTCAACAATAATGTAACAATTGCAATTATTGCAGCTTGTCAGATATAAATTCATGCAGTGTCAGATTGTTGTAAACTTAGTTTTGCGTGTCATTTGTCAGTTTTTTGTTGTGTTTATAAAAATATTTGAAAAAAGATAACCTAGTTGCCTTCCGATAGTCTGAGGAGCTTTAATTATTGAAGGCTTTAAGCAGTCAATATTCCACTTCATTCTCTACATACCGTAGCTCTGAGATTGTGACTTGTGAGGTTTAAGTTATTTATCTGATTAGGCTTTGCCTTTCCTTATAGTTTTTTTTTCATTGTAGTCATTGTTGCATGAAGCAAGCTCTTTTAATTATAGTTTTTCTAATGTTTAACGTTAAGGTATCATTATTAATATTGGTAGGCTATAGTCATATAAGCAGTTCTTTAAAAAAGTCAAATAAAGTCATCTCAGAAATGGAAAAAAAAATCAATACAGATTCTAAAGAACATGCTTGCGAAATTTTACGGCAATTAAATGAATATCGGAAGACTGGACGTCATTGTGATTTCATGATCAAAGCTGGATCTGAGGAACTTCCTGTTCATAAGAATATTGTGTCGGCAAGTTCCGATTATTTTAAAGCAATGCTATCTCATGAAAATGTTGAAACAAAATCTGGTGTTGTTGAAATAAAGGAATTTGATGAAGTTTGTGTTAAAAAATGTGTTGATTTCATTTACACTGGGGATGCTTATGTTGCCAAAGAAAAACGTGAAACACTCATGGGTGTCGCTCATATGATGCAGCTGCAAAGACTTTGTGATAGTATCGCAATTTTTCTGGAAGATGATCTTGATCCTAGATCGTTTTTTCAAACTAAAAAAATTGCGAATAGGTACCACTGTGAACAACTTGAGAAAAAATGCAATCAATTTGCATTGCAACGTTTCAAAGAAAGTCTGATGAGTTCATAGATCTTGACGAAAAATTTATTTCATTTCTGATGGAATCAAAGGAAACAAAAGCAAAGGAAGAAGTGAAATGTAAGGTGTTGTTAGCATGGACCAAACATGATATTGATGAAAGAAAGGAATGTTTTCTCAGTTTGGTGATGAAATTTCAGTTGACAAAAATGACTTTGTCATATAGACGATTTCTTGTTGAAAATGAACCACTGTTATTCGAATCTATGCAGTCTCTTCGTTCACTGACTTTATCAATCCTGGACAGCCATCCTGAGAATATCAGTTCAAAAGATTTCAATTTGACAGAGAATAAACAGCTTGTTGTTTTTGACCAAACTTCTCAAAGAATGCATTCTCATGATGTTGATCAGGGGTCACCAAACTTTTTTGACCGCGGGCCGGGTATGACTCAAATTGTGTTGAAACGGGCCGGATGAATATTTTTGTCAATGCAATACAATAAATTCACAAATGTTGGAAATATCGCAGAATATAGATCGAGAACATCCTAGGAAAAAAAATTAACAAGATTTCTATATCTAGACAACTATCCTGAGTTTAGCTGTTATCAAAACGTTGCTGTCATGAATTAGAAATGTTACAAAATCCGCGGCAAAAATTGTACGCATCACGTCTGCTAAGTACCGTTACGCCGTGTTGAAATACCGCTCATAAAAACGACTGCATGCTGTAGCTTGGAATTCCATGAAATTTTGACATAATTTAGATATAATAAACAACTATTATCTGGTATTTGAATTTTTTCATTAGCGCATAAATTTCCCAACATTCGACGCTTTTAAAAATTACGCTCCAGTTATACGTAGTGCAAATTATTGATATTGTCTATGCCTGGACATCAATAAAATTTATATGGACGTGTGTATTTCTTGTCTAACTTGATACTTACCAATTTTTATGAAGTTCGTACAATCAGAACATCGTTAATTATTACCCACAATGAACCACTGTCAAACTATCATGCACAACTCCAGCGTTTATTTGCGACGATCTTTCGGCGGTGTCAATGACCGTTGCCAGAATAAAATCCTGAAATTATCTCAATATACCATAGATGTGACGCACATCGAAAGATTAGTGATTGATATGTGTTATTTTTCCATATTTAGTACCGTTCTTATCAAAAAAGTAATACAATCATTATGGAAAAAATTGGCTGTCGGGCGGTACTAAAATTCCGACATCTCCGTTATTTCTTGACCGTTTATTCCAAACTTGGTATTGTTTTCTATTTTTACTCAGATCTTTCCACTGGAGCAGTTTTTATTTAAATCGGATGAACTTCCATTTTTTTGTAACATGCCTACATGAATATCCGCATTAAAGCAGTACAAAAGTTAGTGTGGCTTTTGAAATTGGAGCAGTACGCGAGGGATTACAGTACTGTTAGCACAAAATGCACATTCGACGTTTATTTTAGCACGAAAAACAAACAGTTTCGTCGAAAGCAAGCGCCACGAGTGTACAAGTGTATCACAGAAAACGTTACGTACTGGTAGCATTCAAAGTCGCAAAAACGAAGTTTTGTTTACAACCACGACTGAAAATCTGTCAGGGTGACAAAAGTGTCTGAGCGGATGCGGAAAGGCCTATTATTACGTCACTTTTCTGCATCTTGCCGATTGGCCAATGTTACGAAATAAACAAGGACGACCATGCTCGTGAAAATCTTCCTTGGAAAAAAATTTAGCCATTTTTGCGTGTTATTGCGGACCGGATAAAATGACGCCGCGGGCCGGATAAAATGACGTCGCGGGCCGGATCCGGCCCGCGGGCCGTAGTTTGGTGACCCCTGATGTTGATGATAAAACATGGACACCAATGCAAACCATAGATCAAGCAATTATACAGAATACATTATGTTCTGCTGTAGTGATGGAATCTTACATTTATGTGATTTGTACAAATGGTTTGTTTTACAGACTTGAATATGCTGAATCAAATGCAAAGTGGGAACAGATGACAAATACAAATCTTCAGTGGGCATGTGCAGTTGCACTTGATGGTTTTGTTTATGGTATTGAGTATGGAAAGCACTCAAACATAATGGAAAGATATGATCCATCAAATAATAGATGGACCAGACTAACAAACAAATCATTGATTCTAGCTTTTGAATCTTTGGTGTCTGCTGATAGAATGGTATTTTGTATTGCCGGATATAATCAGCAATATCGAGCAACAAACCAAGTTGAGATTTATGATCCTGTCACATCAACTTGGTCAATGGATAATAGATCATTAAATGAAGCAAGATATTGGGCTTCTGCAACTGCAGCAGAGAAAGGAATATATGTTATGGGAGGTTATAATGTTAATGGAAAATCAACTACTGTTGAATTTCGTTCATCTGTAACTAAAACCTGGATGATGTTGAAACCAATGAAAACTGCAAGAGCAGAGGAGTTCAATAGTTGTGTGATTGATGATAAAGTTTATGTCATTGGTGGAAATGGAAATCCTGCAAATATAGAGGAATATGATCCGGAAACAAAAGAATGGAAAATCATTGAAACAATACAAGGAAAAAATATTTTTTCAAGAGCAACAGTTGCAATATCTATATAACATTGAAAGCGTTTATTCCTGGACAAACATGGCTCTCATATGCCTATCAAAATCCCTGTCAACATTTCTAATTTCTTCCCAAATTTTCATCATAAAATGATGAGGGCTAGAAACCTAATTTTTGTGCATCATAATACTCAACTAAATAATTTTAAATTTATCAAATATTCATTACTTATCGATCTTAAGATCGGTAAGTATATTGATAGGTATTTGTCTGTATGTATGTCTGTGTGTGTGTCTGTTAGATGCACGCGATATCTCACGAAAGCGAGATTGAATCTGCTCCAGATTTTGCATGTGCATTCATTTTATCTCGGACCAGAAGCCTATTGATTTTGGGCGAATTATGTCGTATAATTAGCGAGTTATCAATCAATTATTGATATAGTGATCTAGATTTTTGTAAAGCGAGAGAATTTTGAAACCCGCCGAGTGTGTGTGTGCGATGCGCAGTGCGCAAGTTACAAGAGCGAATGAATTGAAACTGCAGTTTCTGTTTTGGGGGATCCCCTAACTATCGATCGATAAGTCTTTGGTTTCCAACTGATATTCTCGTTTATTTCATTATCTTATGTTCTAGTATTAAGTTATAGTTAGCTTAAGAATGAATGTATGATTTAATATTAAGTTTATTGAATTTTTTCATAAATACTTATTAATGGTTTCTAGTTTTTCCCAATTTATTATATTATCGAATTGTTAATGATCAAGATTTTAATTTAGTATTCTTCAACATTTCCTATTTTATCATTATTTCATTCAATTTTGTGACATGCCACAATGGGGCTTTGACCAATTTCAATTTTTATGAATTATGGTTTCATAATTTGAAATTCTTTTATTCACAATGTCTAAATTGTTTTCATTTGATTTTAGTTTAACACAACAATTCAAGTTTTTCAATTGTTGCTTAGAATGGGTTAATATTAATTAATCATTTGCTTCAGTGATAATCACTGTATTTTTTTGAAGTTTCCACTGCTTTTCTGATATAATCAATTACAGTACCTAATATGCATTTTTTTAAATAGGTTTATTAATATCTATGCTTTTTATTCATGAAATAACTATTCTTTAGATTTGACATTTTGAAATGTCATATTCAGGCTAGTGGCTATAAATCTATTATTACATGGCCCCCGTTGTACAAATTTTTGCAAATCTATTATTACAAATAAAAGAAAATACAAAACCTTTAGGTCCAGGAGAAGTAGTGTTTATTCAAACATGACTTAGTAATGACCATACTGCTTGCTGATCACTGTTGTCCAATGCATTATTATAATTTTGTGTCTTTTTGAGGTGAGGCTCATTTCATGCCAATATCTGTATAACGTCATAACAAACTTGTTGTGGCCTTCTAGGCTGAGAACAATTATTCAACTTCTGATATTTCTATTCTGAAAATGATGATGATTTTGAGAAATTTTTTTTTTCGTGAATTTCTTTGCAACTAATGAGCCATGAAATATTATTATTATTTATTGATTTCAATTCCTGATTAACAGACAATAAGTTCTGTAATAAAAGAAATATGGTTTTATTGAATATTCTTGAAAATTTTATTATTGTAGTATATTCATATTGACTAATTCACTGAACTTGATAAAATATACTGTGTCAGTGAAATTGTCATTGTTATTGCTTTATGTACCTATATAAGGTACTGGAAGGAAAAATAAATTTTCATTTTGATGCTTGAAGTTAATCTTCTGACAAATTCTTACTGGTATTATTTATGCAATTTTTCACAGCTGTAATTTGCAATATTGATATCATAATTAGATCAGCTGAGAAAGAAATTAAATATTCTATGATATTTGCAAAGTTACTGTCAGCCTTTAAAACATGCTTGATTCGGCACTCGACAATTTCCCATAAGATTGCTGATGATGTTTTGATGCATATTTTTGATAAAGATCTACACAGACAACACATGTCAGTATTGTTTGGCAAAAAGTGGAATTGATATCAGGCTGTGGAGTTGGCAGTTTAGTAAACTCATTTTGAAATTTGGCTGGAAACCACTATTTTAAATGTCCTCGAGTTGGATTCAAAATAGATCAATGGCTTAAAGTTTTATAAAAAGTTTTTCATACCTAGAACACCAGTAGATTCTGGAATCATGAGAAAGTTTAAAAAGTGGAGTAGTTTTTTATTTTGATGTCGTCGCACACAAAAACTGAATACTAAAAAGCCAACAGAATTTTTTAAAATAAATGAAAGTCACAGACTTTTAGCAAAAAATACAATCTTAACCCAATGGAAATTTTAAAACAATTCCTCCAGTAGGTAATGAGGAAAGATATTTTTTCACAACAACAACAACATAATAACAAAACGATCCATATGTACACTTCATATCCAATTAGAATCTAGAAGATCGGGAAATCATATTTTAATTAATATTTTTGGTGATCTGTTATTGTCGAGCAATCGTGATCACACTGGATGGTATCCAAGAGTCACACAATCCAACACCAGATAGTTATTGTATTCCCCGTTTCACGGACAACAGGCAGGAAGGTGTTGTGTTGTGGGAAATACAACACCGTGTATTTTCTTTCGGCATTCTGGACATACCGGTATAAGTTTATTTTTATTCATCAATGAACTAGGTATATGTGTGAATGCAATATTGAAGAGACTTTATGTCATTAATTTTTGGGGTCTTACTACTTACTGAATACCGTACAGCGCGAAACACCGCAAAACAGAGGGAAACAGCGCATAACAGAGAAAATAGCGCAAAACAGAGGGTCTTACTACTTACTGAATACAGCGCGAAACACCGCAAAGAGCGCAAAAGAGCGCGAAACAGCGCAAAATAGCGCGAAACAGCGCAAAACAGAGGAAAACAGCGCGAAACAGAAGGAAACCAGCGCAAAACAGAGGGAAACAGCGCAAAACAGGAGACGCAGTCATTACCACCTCCTGCCACGAAAGAACCACGGCGCCTCTCGCCATGGTTTTATGGCGCTATTTTCGGCATATTTACAAGGTTATGTACCGGATTATAGGTCATCATGCGAAATTTCATCTACCTTTTTGGTGCTCCAGAGGTATGTACAGCAATATGTCGCACAACCTGAATCCGCTACACACACACACACATACTATTTTCAGGTTGTGCGCCATCTTGGTGCACATACTTCTGGAGGTCCCTTTTTACCTAACCCTAACCCTAAAGCCAACCATATCCCTATGGAAAATGTCCTAAATTATGGTACCCAAAATGTGTCACCAGCAGGGGCAGACCTGCCATTACAGCATTACTGGTTACATACGTTGGTTTTGTTTTTAATTTGCTGCCGTGGTACTCCAACTCAAAACAAGGTGCCCCGAACTCATTGCAAAATTTTTTTCTGCTTCACACTGTTTCCCTCTGTTTTGCGCTCTTTTGTGCTGTTTCCACACTGTTTTGCGCTGTTTCCCTCTGTTTTGCGCTGTTTCGTGCTGTTTTGCGCTCTTTGCGATGTTTCGCGCTGTATTCAGTAAGTAGTAAGACCGCAAAACAGAAGGAAACCAGCGCAAAACAGAAGGAAACCAGCGCAAAACAGGAGACGCAGTTATTACCACCTCATGACGGCTCCTGCCACGAAAGAACAACGGTGCCTCTCGCCATGGTTTTATGGTGCTATTTCCGGTATTTTTACAAGGTTATGTAGCGGATTTGGGTCTGGTATAGTTTAGTACCACATGCACTTCTAGTTGGCCTGGCTCAACAATTTTTGCATATGTTAATCCTAACCCCCACCTGACTACATCACCGGAAAATTACGTCATTTGAACGTCACAGTGGCGTAATAAGACCCACCAAAGTATGAGGATGGTCGTCAACATCGCGCAGACGATCACCCGAAATCGAGCAAGCTAGTTCTCTCGTTTTTTCGTCACAACGATCACCATAGAAGAGGGATCGTCGGCGTTAGCGAGTTCGTTATCGGCGGCGCAGATGCCATTTCGGGCGATCGTAATTATACTTTGGCAAGCCATATCACGTGACGGTGACGTCCTAGTGACGTAGTTTTTGGATGGCATAGTCAGGTGGGGATTAGGTATAACATATGCAAAATTCGTTATGCTACACCCACTGGAAGTACTTGTGGTACTAAACTATACTAGACCCGCGGATTCTAGGTCATCATGCGAAATTTTATCTGCTCTTTTATTATCTAACCCTAAAGCTAAATCAATTAAAACTGTATCCATATGGAAAATGTTCTAAATTGCATTACCCAAAATGTGTCACCAGCAGGGGAAGACCTGCCATTACAGCCTACATGCCTTGGTTTGTGTTTTTAATTTGCTGCCGTGGTACCCCAACTAAAAAAATAAATAAATATGTGCCCCAACTTATTGCAAATTTTTTTTCTGTTTTGCGCTGTTTCCCCCTGTTTTGTGTGCTGTTCTCCTCTGCTTCTCGCTGTATTCAGTAAGTAGTAAGACCGTTTATTTTTGGAATGTCAATGGGCTGTTGCATAGAAAATAATCAAAATACTATTTTAGCAAATGAATCACAAAATAATGCGAAAAATCAAATATTTGGGAATATCGAAATTCAGTAAAAAAGGATGAAATAGTTAAAGCAGAAGTACTATGCGTTCAATTTTTAAATGTTAACTGATAGAAATTTTAAATATTGAAAACAAGTGAAAGAAATGATTTATTTTTGTATGAACACATGGATGATCTCATACATAGATCAATCATGATGTGACATTTTTTATGCAACACCAGATGGATTCAAATGTCCAAATTTATGCATCATTTTGATTTAATTCATAGATAGATAGTGAATAGAAAAAAATGCCAAAACACCCACTTTGTTGTCTGATTTTCTATCTAAATTAACTAAATCAATCAATTATTGGTAAATATATATAAAATGTGTGCACGAATTCGATGACAACTGTATGATAATATGGATTAACTTATTTACAATTGACATATATTGTATTATATATGATACAAAACTCCGGTGATGGTATGGTTTT